CAGTCCAACAGCAACGCTCCGCCGCAGGCTGCCTCGGCCTCGTCGACATCGCTCGCCATGAACCCCAACAGCCAGCCTCTGGGTCGGCCGCCGTCATACCAGTACGCCAATCAGGGAGGGAACTTGGGCGCTCCGGGGCATCCTAACCAGGGCAGGCCATCGAGCCCTATGCCTCCGCCCATCAACACTGGCGGTGGTCACGGCTACCCACCGCAGCATCAGCCGCAGCTGTATGGTCAGCCCGCTCCACCCGGCTACCCCATGGGCCAGCCGCATCCGGGACAAGCAGGCTACGGCTACGGACCGCAAGCAGTGCACCCCTACAACAATGGGCGACACGAAGTGCAGGGCGACAATTCTAGAAGCAAAGCGCAGCTCATCGTCGGCATTGATTTCGTGAGTTGGTCTAGGCAGATGATGGGGTCGGTTACTGACAGCGACGGCAGGGTACGACATTCTCTGGCGTAGCGTTCGCCTTTGCCACCAATACCGAGGCCAAAGAAGATATCATTGTCGAATGGCCAGGTGCTGGTACGCAGACGAAGCAGAAAGTCAGTATTGATGCTGCATGGTGCCTACAACGTCGTGCTAACAGAAGCGCAGATCCCAACTGTACTGTACTATGATCAGCACCAGCAGGTGGTAGGTTGGGGACCAGATATCGCCGAAGCCCTCGCACCTACTGGCTACCCAAAGCCGGGAGTGCAGAAAGTGGAGTGGTTCAAGCTTCAGCTTATGCTTTCCGGCAACACATATATCGACCCTATCAACCTCCCACCGCTTCCACCTGGAAAGTCCGAAATCGATGTCGCCGCCGATTATCTGTTCAAACTGCGGCAGGCGATGCGCAACCAACTACAAAAGACACTGGGTGAGGTGTTCAACCGAGAAGAGCGTAATATCAAATACTTCTTGACAGTTCCGGCCATTTGGAACGATGCCGGCAAGGCAGCGACCAGAGCCGCGGCAATTCAAGCTGGTTTCCTGCGAGATGAGAATGACAACCGGTTGACACTTATCTCCGAGCCAGAGGCTGCAGCTATGTTCTGCTCAAAGACTGGCCTTCTGAACCTGAAGGTACACGATGCGGTCCTGATTGTCGATTGTGGTGGAGGCACTGTCGATTTGATCGCATACGAAGTGGAAGAGGAGTCGCCGTTCACCGTCGCTGAATGTACTGCTGGCTCTGGAGACTCCTGCGGATCGACAGCGCTGAACAGGAACTTCTCCAATATTCTGCGGGCCAAGATTAGGAAGATGAAGCTGCCGGATGGCTCGAAGACTGCAGGCAAGGTCTACGCAAAATGTATCATGGACTTCGAGAACAGAATCAAGGCAGATTTCCGCAACAATGGCCAGAAGTGGGCTGTTGATGTTGGAATTGAGGCCGAGTTCCCTGAGGCGGGTATTGAGGAAGGTTACATGACTTTCACTAACGAGGAAATCCTGCAATGTTTCGAACCCGTGGTCAATCGCATCTTGGAACTGGTCAGGAACCAGATCATTGCGATTCAAGCACAGAACAGGGCGCTCCAGGTATGACGATCGACTCTGTCTGTTATCGCTGATCGTCGCTAACGTGAGGTAGAACGTGCTCGTGGTTGGAGGTTTCGGCGCCTCGGAATATCTCTTCCAGCAGATCAAGTTACACGTGCCTCCGCAATTCCAGAACAAGGTCGTGCGACCTATGGACTCGGTCGCAGCCATTGTCAAAGGAGCCGTCACAGCTGGTATCACGGAGCGAGTCATCACGTCGCGTGTGGCACGAAGGCATTACCTAATGGCCACGCTGCAGCCGTTCAAGGAAGGACATCACCCCGAGCAATACCGTGTGCCTTCGCTCGATGGTAAGGACCGCTGCAAGTACACACGACAAATCTTTGTGCAAAAGGGACAACGGGTCAAGATTGGCGAGCCAGTCAAGGTGTCTTTCTTCAGACAAGTCGCGCCCGGTGCGACATTGATGTACGAGGATGTTCTGTATGCCTGCGACGAGGATGTATGCCCGGAATATACAAAGGATCCCCGTAAGCACAATCTCACTTTCGGCGCTCTCAAAGACCTTACTAATCACGTTCACAGGCATCAAGGAGGTCGTCACACTTACATCTGACCTCAGTCGGAAGAACCTCGAAAAGGATTTTGAACGAATGGATACCCCACAAGGCACCTTTTACCGCGTATACTTTGACATCTACCTCACCCTCGATGGCTCTGAGTTCAGCGCAGAGCTAGTCTGTCAAGGCGAAGTCATGGGCCGATGCTCTGCCAGATTCCGATAAACTTACGACACGCACGCAGAAGCACAGCACAGCGAGGCGTTACGGGGGTAATTGTGCAGTCAAAACGTCGTCCCAGGATCGAATATGGGAACTTGAGGAGCTCATCGGAGCTGGCGGGTTCTTTAAGCATGAGTTAGAAGGGGAATTGGGCACTTGGATGAACGTATGCTATTTCCATTGAGAACGCCAGGACTGGGGGCCGAACATCTACGAAGAGACGCGACTTCTTGACGAGAAGTGATGCGACAAGGCAGCAGAGCGGCGGAGCATGAACGCCTTATTCCCAGCAGCGACGCATTCAGTCACGCGTCAATTCGACGGACACCCAACTAAGGCCTGACGCTGGACAGTAACACCACCTCCACAACCACAAAACCACGAACACGAGCTTGAGTATACAGCGCAGGCGTAGCGGAGGACGATAATGCGAATCCACAAATCTTTGGCACGAGTACCCATGGGTCGATGTTTTGGCGGGCTTTTTTTGTTCATCTGGACATGATGGGATTTCTTTTTCGAGTACTTAGCTTTTTTACTTGGTTGCCCATTTAAGAATCGTGTCTATAATCTGTCAATTGAGACATATCTTGTCACCCATTGCGGTTCACAATGCGGTGAGCAATTTAAGGTTCGAGGTGCTAACTGCTTTGTGCCAGTACGGTCGTGTTCCTGCTGTATTTCTGTACAAGTTCGTCGTATCTGCAGGTGCTTGACTCTTTCCTTCTTGCTTCCGGTCTTTCGCTTGCTTTCATGTGCGGCTGCCGACTGCCGAGCCGAAGGCTGTTCCCGAATGGATATTTGTACAAATCCAACAACCGTCGCTATCCCTTCCCTTCCAATCATTCCCTCCTCACAACGCGAACATTTGCTGCAGTGCATCATTCAGAATACTTACGTTGTAGTCAATCAGAACACGTTTGTCTGCTGTACTTCCTTGGCCCATGACGCAGATGAGGGAGAGATATCTAGCAGAAGCATATATTAGTTTCGTCTTACAATGTGAAAAGAGATAAAGGGAAGGGAAGGGAAAGGGAAGGGGCATACTCATTAATCTCCCGCGCATAAATATACGTGTTCCCGCTCTTATCGTACGTGATGAGACTTTCGCCGACCACAGCCGAAGAAGAAGAAGAAGCTTCGCTGGAATGGTTCTTGTTCTCCGGTCCATGCCATCCATAAATCTGCTTGATATCGACAATGACATCGACGTAATCCGAACAGACTTCATAGTCTTTTAAGAAAGTCGGACTTGTATCTGTCGCGAGATAGATTTTCGAAACTGTGTCGAAGAGGTAGGCCTTTTGTGTTCTGCATGTTGAGCAGAGTTTATTGAGAAGAGCTTCCATGGCTGGTAATTGCGGAAGCAATTTCTGAACGACTTTACTCATAGCTTCGTAGACAGAGTGATCGAAGATACTAGTTCGATAGAACGCCACAGAACGATCTCCGTAACCCGCATCAGAAAGTTCATCTTGTACTCGTTGCCGGACGTCGCGGAAGGTGTCGTATTTGTATTCTTCGGAGAGACCGTCGGTTTTATGGACGAAGACTTCGAAGTTGAGACGTGGGTAGTTGTCCATTATGAAGGAGGCGGTTTTGATTAGGGCGTCGATGGATTGGAAGTATTCGTCTTGCATGTCGAGGACCCAGATTATGGAGCCTGTGGTTCCGCCGAAGAGGGCTTCGCGGTCGAAGTCGGGGGAGAGGTAGGGGATGTTTGGAGGGATTTCGGAGGATTCGAAGTTCATGAAGGAGGACATTGTGGCGGGTTCGATTTTGTTGGTGGGGTCGAGGTAGAGGGTTTCGGCTGGGGAGAATTTCTCGAAGAGGACTTTTTGGATGGAGGATTTGCCGCTTCTGGGAGGGAGGTTAGGTGGGTGGTGGAGGAGGTCAACAGGAAGATTTTGGCTTACCTTCGCATTCCCATGAAGAGCACTTTTGGGTTGCCCTTCCTCCGTGCGTGGCCAGGCCGTGTCGATGCATTTTGAGTGGCGTGACTTTGGTTGCTCTGAATGTGGACCTCATTAGCGAATCGTTGTTGCTCGCGGTAGTACGATGTCAGCCAGTCGTTCTCCTTGGGCGAGTTATGCGATGACGCTGTCGAGCTGTTGTGCGCGCTGGGGCCGCTGGAGGCGAAGGAAAGCTCGAAGGGGTTCTTCTTGTTCTGCTCAGGCGCAGGGGTAGGCGTGGGCGAGAGGATGTTCTCGGAAAATAGAGTGCGCATGGCGGAGACTGTGGTGATGGAATGTCAGATTAGAAATGACAAAGTGGTGGCGATGGGAGAAGTGTCGTCGGCGTGGGAGCCCAATATTTACATGCTCGATCACCACCACCACCACCACACCCCATCTTCTGTCGACACGAGGGAGCACGCCCACTGTCGCACATGCTTATCGCCGCCAACGAGTTCGAAAAGACAAGACTTACACGGTGCCTTGCGGCGGTAGGCAGCCGCTGAGATAATGTCGAATAGATCACATCTCCCTCAGAGCAAGGTCATCGCCCACACGCGCGCCTCCAGCAGCAGCAGCAGCGGTTGCAGCACCGCAGCAGGACGGGAACAGGTGGTCATCGCAAAAAAGCACCGCATGGCCTTGGTTTTGGGTAGTGCGCGTGAGGGAGCGAGCGGGATATAGCCTCACCTCCATCATGGCACGCTCAAGTCACAAACTCGGCAGGCAGGCACTTCCTTGCCTGCTGCTCGCGGAACACGGCCTGTACACCGCTATTCCTCTGCCCGCTGGGGAAGGCCTTCCGCGCGCCAGTGAGCCGTAGGCGTGAAAATCGACGTGACGCTGCCCGGCACTGTGAGTCAAGATGCCGGACGCCAATCAGCCCTGCCTGCGCAGTACCGAGATTGTGGGATGTTGATGCTGGCGTGGGTGCTGCCCAAGCCCAATCTGTGCAGCGTGCGCCGTCTGCGATCCAGCCGACGTGGGGAGAGAGAGCCCGGCCGTGTGTCGTGACACCTTCCCGTGCCGTGCTCGCATACAGAGATACAGAGTATATCGATGGATGCACGCGATGTCAAGGCCAGGATGGTGCTACACTCGTCGCTGTGGAATTCGGACCACAGGCGAGATGCAGGAGGTACAGTATATTGCTTGGCATGCTCCATGCTGATGACGCTGACGTCCCGTATCCTGGCCACTTCATCTATGAGATCTACCACTATCATCCAGACCGCATTAGCATGCACGTGGCTATACATGGCAATGGGACAGCCGATGCCGTGACCGAAGACCGTCTGGGCATGCTCACTTCAGTGGCACGTTACGTATATCTATTTCGCGTACATTTCCCACGTCTTGAGCAACAACGCGTGCTCCAGATAAAGTACTCAGATTACTTGCAACAGTCATTGTTGTACGGGTCGACAGATCGCTATTGTTTTATCCCAAGTGCATCACGAGTCTGTACTCGCGTACGAAGGGGCTGACAGTATCACTACTCAAGTGTCGTTCTCCAGCTCACCGCATCCTCATTTTTTAGGTACAGTTCGACGTATGCAGGCCCGCGTATTTGCTTTCACACATCCCGAGCCAGGACCTCTTCCAGGAGGAGATTACCATATTCACAACAATGGCTGAACCTCAACTCTGCAACTTGCACGCCCGACAAGAGCAGTCATATCCAGGACAAGTATGATTGTGTTTGCGTGTGAGACCGCGAAAATGCCAGAAAGGGCGTGAAAGACGAAGTCTGTTGATTCCACCCAACAACTTTCACATGCACAAGCAGCTGCGGCAAACAACAAAACACCTCAAATTCTCAACAGAAAATTGCTGTCTAGATGGACATCCGCAAAGGATTTCACACTGGACCAATACCTAGTCCCGAGCGTCACTTCTGCCGGACGAGGCCATCTCAGATACCTCCAAGACATCAGAAGTTGCCAGCCCAATGTCGCAAGTCGCTCGCCTCGAAGCACTGCTGGACGACTTGTCGAAATTACTCAAGCGACCCGACGACCAGCGCAACAGATCCGAGGAAGAAGAGAGTTCTACCACGCCCGACCAGGAGAATAGCGACAGCGGTTTCTCTGACGAACAGCCAAGCCCATCAACCGGAACCTCCAGCCACGAGAGATCTGATCAAGAGACTAGCGAAAAGCCAACACTTTCCACTCTACTCGAAAACGCCATAGACAAGACAGCCAGTCTCTTCGCCATCGAGCCACCTCGGAGTCCAGGCGCAGAGAGTCATCTCAGTTACAGCTTGGAAGTCAACTCCAAATATCGAGTGCACATGGACAAAGCACCCGAACGTGCCGTGGAATTGGAGAAGGATCTGAGGGCTGCTAAGGCAGTTCTCGGAGATGCTGCTGGTCTCGTGGAGGAGTGCAAGTCGGTGGCGAGTAAAGTGGCGGCAGAGCAGGAGAATTCGATGACGCTTGAGGAGCGAAGGGAGAGGGCTGGTGTCAAGTCGGCGTGCTTTCTCTGATTTCATAGATTTCTCTGCCTGGTTGAGAATCTGGAGTACTGTTCTTCCGACGCATTTCGGGTTCCTCGCTCACAGGGAGGCGGGATCAGATGACCACAATCGGTCTGTGGGAATATCCTCGCGTCCACGGACGTGCCAACACGATGGGCTGTGATCAGCTAGAATAGCTCACTTCAAGACCAATTTGACCAATAATCCTCTCACTCTTCTTGAGATCCACATCGGCACCCACACCCAGCAGTAGCTCTTTGAATCGGCACTCCCACAGCACCCCAACCTTCCCATGATTGTCCACTCTCGCCTTCAGAACTCCCTTCACATCCTCATCTGTCTTCTTCCACCCAACACGAATCAGCTGCTGCGCCCATACATTCTCCTCAGTAGGCTGCTCCCGCTGCCACAATTCCAGTCCTACAACAACGTCGCTCTCATAGCTGTACACGTTGAAATCAAAACGCGAGCACAAAGCCAAGTTCGGCCCTGCTTTGACGGCATATGTGGAAGACAGATTCCCCATAAGCGGATTGACTGTCAGAGCCATCGTATAGGGAAAGCCAGTATGCGAGGGCAATGTGGTGAAGCGCAAGCCTGTGCTGATGCCGCCTGATTTGTTCAATGGACTAAAGTATGCTTCGGCGCCTGCGCTGAGTCTTCCGCCTTGGTGATCCCACGGGTGAGCGGGCAGCTTGTCGACCTGTATCGCATGTTGATCGTCGGGGGCATGGCGTGGGTCATGGCCGAAGTTGTAGAGTCCGCGAACGCCCAACAAAGCTGAATCTGTCGAGTATAGATACTCTGTCGTGTATTTGCCCTGATCATTCTGCAAACTCGCCAGAAGCGTGCCTCCATTCGGCAATCTCTCGTCCGACACGCATTTGAGCTGGAAAAGTCGGCTTGGAGAAATTCGTCTCAAATACAATGCTTCGAGCGAGCTGTTGGGCAAATACAGACGGCCATAAAGCAACGAATCCCTTTTCCGATCTTCCAGTGAGATATCCTTCGCATCTGGCCCCCGCAGCTCCTGCAAATGTCTATATCCTCTCACCAATTTGCTCAACGGCACATCACTGCTCTTACTCGCAACTTGTAGTCCCAAATTCGTGTACAAGAAGCTCAACGACCCATCCACCACGCCTCTACTACCCAGCGTATACGACGTTGCGAAGTTCGGCGAGGACAAGGAGGAGACATGGAGTCTCAGACCAGATGGTATTTGGAAGTCGAGAAGGTTGATCGAGGTCGTGGTCAAGGAGGCATAGCTGTTGTCGACGTTCCATCGCGATTTGCGATAAAACGCTGTCTGGACATAGTCCATGAAATTGAGCATGTTGCTTTTGGAGGTTTCATTTTGTATTCATTGTTTCGGTGGGGGTGAGCAGTGTTCTGTCTGCTGTGGTTGCAAGAAGCGCGTTGTTCGAGGAAGCTACAGCTGGAGATGCGGGTGTGCCTGAATGCCTGAATGTTTGACTTCACTTCTTGGCGCTGAAAGAACCAGTTCGCGATTACGATGCAACTCTGCAACGGCGATACCTGAATCTATCACACGCTCCTTTCCGATTTAATAGTCTGTTACAAGTCTTTCACATCATTCGTCTTGCTCTATTCCCACGGAATGCTCCGGCACGGCCGGACTTGGTGAGTTGATAATTTGTCGACCAGATGCAAGTATTGGTGCAATTGACGGGCGGAAACGATCCCGTCGTGAAACGAGTGAGCTTTCCTCATGCCTGAATTGACTCCAAAAAAAGACGTGGTCGCCTGCCACATTTTTGGGCGCCCGAATGGCTTGGCATTCACCTGGCCCACGGAGATAGCCAACACCACACCATACAACCATTCTATACCATTAATACGATACAAAAACACCAAAAAAAGATCGGGCTCAACTCGGAATTGAACCAAGGACCTCTTGCAAGCAGAGCACGAAGCTACCCAAAGCAAGAATCATACCACTAGACCATTGAGCCGAAGAAACAAGCTTGAAGTGCTTGCTTCGATGAGGTGAGGCGATTTCACAATGCTTATAGCTCTTTTTACTACACCCGAAAGCCGAGCTTGCGAGTACGAAGCTCGAAGCTTCAACATGACGTTGGGTCGGCTCTACAATAGCTCTCTCATATCCACATGGTCAAGTGATGATGATCTGCTTGGGAATGAACCGCTCACATACATGGCTTTCATCCTACATGTGACTCAGGCTCACAATGTTCACACGCCAGATCTTCCCAACGCGCAGAACATTGCTCGCACGAGCATATGACGTCGGGCCTTACCTAGCTCGCCTTGACATTCGAAGACAAAATGCCACGAAGGCATCGCCTAAATCGAAGCTTGTCGACCTCAGTCGAGAGCTCTATCATCGCAGCCCTGCCCATCCATTCCATCCTCCGGTCGTTCTTACACCATGGGACACACACCAGCCAAAGAAGGCCGGCAGTACCACTCTCCGTTCAGCCTCCTACTATATTTCCATGAGCGATCATGCGGGCACCCATGTCGACGCGCCGAAGCATTTTGATCCTACGCCAGGCGCCCTCTCAATCGACCAGATGCCTTTGGACAACTTCTACAAGTCCGCAATATGTCTCGACCTCTCTCACGTCGAGCTCAAAGCTACAATCAGTGTGCAAGAGATGGAAGACGCATTACAAAAGACTGGCGAGGAGATTCACGACGGAGATACAGTGTTGATATACATGGCTTTCAACAAGCGCGTGGCATTCAGCGATCCACGTTGGCAACACGACTTTCCGGGCCTGTCCCTGGAAGCTGTACATTGGCTAGCAGATCGAGGCTGCAAGATCTTTGGCGTGGAAGCTATAAGCCCTGCTCCAGAAGGCGAGCCCAATTTTCAAGCTCATAACGCTTGCGGAGAACGCAATATCACGCACATTGAAGGTCTAGATAACCTTGAACAGGTCGTGGGCAAAGGCAGATTCCGCTTTATGGGTTTCCCATTAAAGATTCGAGGTGGAAGCGGAGGGCCTATGAGAGCTGTTGCCCTGCTGAAGTGAAAATGCCATTATGCACAGAATTTGAGAGCAACCCGGTTTCCTTCCAGAATTGCACCAACAGAAACGTCCGAAGTTCTTCGCCACGCTCTTTCCAATGCATGCCAGCAAGTCTACGAGGACGGCACACCCTCAGACTCCGCCCCTTCCTTCAGCCACTCAGGCGGTCGAGTGATCTTGGTAAGATGGTCACCATTCAACTCCTTCATATACCTACCAATGCCCTCGTGAGAATAATCATTTTGGTTCCACATGTCTTTGTGATATCGGACTTTCTCCTCCCCGTCTATCTTTTGCAAAGTCAAGCTGACCAGGCTGTTAACAGGTTTGCTCAATTTTATCGCCTTGACAGTATACTCTTGCCGCAGCTTGAAGACTATCCTCCCGTCCTCACCTGGCTTGGCCTGATCTTTTTCGGAAGCATCCGTACTCTCCACGACTTCGGTGGCCAAAGTTTTCGAGTGGAAGATCTTTGGGATTCCATACCATTGGCCAGCAATCTTATAGCGCGTGTCACAGTATGACCACGGGTCATCGTAGACTGCCTCGGGAGCATACACTTTCAGGTCTTCTTCGCTTGTGCCGCCTTCTTTGCATGAACCCGAATAGAGGCTTGTGATTGCATTGACGATTTTTTGGCGTGTGGGTGAGAGAGGAATCGACTTTTCTGGATGAGGTTCGTAGTCGACTTGAGTTGGCGCATTGTTTTGTGGATTCTCCTTGTTGTACGTGAGATTCTGAGGGTCCGGTCTAGGTTCGTATTCCTTTTCCATCTTCGCGGCATGTTCTTGAGACGGCATGATTGAAGTCTTCTTCTTTTTGCTTTTTCTTTGGTGCGTAGACTTGCTGTAGATTCACTCTAGAGCTTACGACGAACCAGCTAATAGTGATTTGGTGTAGAGCATGCTCTTTCATTGACACGTCCCAACAACGCATCCACAGACGTGCCTGCTACACGTCATGGATGATGTCAACCCGACGTTCAGATCTCACGGAGCTGCATCGCAGCTGCAATGATACCTGACATCAATGTCGAACTAAGCAAGATTGTTGCACTGTATTGTGAGAGTATATCCCAATGCACGCGGAGCTTCTCAAGCGCTGAACTACCAGACTGGATCTACAAGCCTTGTTTCATGCCTCACGCACCTTTCCGTCCGCTGAAAGTTGTATCGCTGGAACAAAGGACTTCATGCGATCTTCTCAACAACGTTGGTTGTTTCGCCCTTGCTGCTCTCTGATCCTGGGGCACCGTCCATCGAGTTGCGATTGGCGAACTCTTGCATATCCTCAGGCAAGAATAACTTATCAATGTCTTCCAGACTGATCTTACTTGTTTCTATGCCTTGATCAGCAAGCGGAAGTCAGCGTCACGACAGTAAGTCTTACCAGGATAGAAGAAATACACGATGGGCACGAAGGCAGCATTAGTAATGGTGAAGATAATGTATGTCGCCCAATCGATGCGATTGATGAGCACGGGGGTAATCATGACAATGAAAAAGTTCTATACTCCAAGTCAGCAACTGTCGGTTACTTCCACGGTAAGATTTCAACTTACCCATAGCCAGTGAGCAGATACCGAGATGGAAGTTCCTCTGGTTCTTGCTTCGAGCGGCAAAATCTCTGGTCCGTATACCCAAGGCACGACATTGATTGTACCACCGAATATGAGCATGAACTGTGATATAGGTCAGTAATGCGAGCATCGGATATGGTCCTCAGTGTTTACTAGCCAGGAAGAAGAATGCAATAGCCGCGGAAGATGTTGCTTGACGGCCAATGCTGAGCAGGATCGTGATCATCATCATGCAGAACGAAAGCAAGGCGCAGCCCCAGATCATCGTTGGTCGGCGGCCCATTCGATCCAGTGCCAAAGCTGGCAGTGTGTTGCCGACGATGAACATCATTTGGACGAAACCAGCGATAAGTAGCGAGGTATTCAGGCTGAGGCCAACGTTCTGAACCAACACTGTTGGCCTGAGACCAAGTCAGCAGGGATCGAGCGAGCATTCCGAACTTGACGACACTCACATGTAATACACCACGAGATTGATTCCGCCCATCTGGTTCATGAACAGTCCAAACCACGCGAGTGCGACTCGACGTGGAGTTTGAAGAGCATCCGGCTTAAAGACTGACATGTATGACTGACCACCTTCGCGTCTTTCAAGAGCAACTGCAGCACGAATCACAGCCATTTCCTCAATCACATACGGATCGTCCGGCTTCAAGTCCCAGACTGCACAGATGACTTCTGCGGCTTCATCTTCTCGGCCGCGTTTTGCGAGCCACCTTGGCGACTCTGGCAAGCCCCAGACCACGAACACCACAATGATCGCGAATATTAACTGAATTCCGATGGGAGTACGCCAAGCAGCATGAGACTGCACATAGCTGAACCCATAATCGATCCAGTAGCTCAAAACGATGCCAACACCGATAAACCAGATCTCCCAGCTGACGAGTCGGCCACGATACTCCTTCTTCGACAGCTCAGACTGATACATAGGGACCGTGCTGCTATCGATTCCGGTTCCGAATCCAGTGATGATGCGGCCAACAATGAGATGAGCCAGATTAACGGCGGACGTCTGCAGAGTTGCTCCGATGATAATGAGTATCATAGCCAGCCATATCATTCGTCGACGTCCGAAATAGTCTCCAATGAAGAAGTTGATGCCGCAGCCGATCAGGGATCCCAGACAATAGCTGCCTACTGTGATGCCGGTGACTACATCGCTCTGTCAGACGATTAGCATTCGTGCGTCGGTTAGGCATTGGTTGCCTTACGGGATTGTTGAATTGTTCTCGAAAGAAAGGATTCTGAAGCAGACCACTAAGAACTCCTTGATCGTAGCCGAAGAACAGAAAAGCCGATAAACAACAAACGTAGAGGCCAGCCCTCAGTGGCGCTCCTCTACCATAACAGCGTCTCATAGTAGCAGATGTCGACCAGTGTGACCGATGAAAACGCTCTATCAATCATCAATGAGGAGAACGATGTCCAAAACACAACGCGCCATCAGATCTGCAACTTCATATATATCGTACAGCATCCTTGCAACAACCTGCTGTAGTCTCATAACACTGTTACAGCACAAGAGCAAAGCCAAGGTGACGGAATACCACAAACGACAATCCTGAACCTGATCCCGGCTTGGATGTACTTGGGAAGATGCCAAGGAGAGGAGTACAGGCACTTGCGAACCTTAGCCGGAGTTGGAGCCTCGTTGATCGACATTGGGGTTTGCGGAGTAGCGTGCCAGCCACATGGGAAACGCAGGCTGTGATTAGTGTTTTGCGAGTTACTCTACGATGTTAATGTAAGAAGTACGTATGACTGCGAGGTCTAGCTATCTGGAGAAATCCTGAGTCTGCGATCTGTAGTTTCTCTTGACTTGCCATGACCACGGTTTTGCGCCAAGATGTTTCGCTATTGAGAAGATTCGCCATGAACTTACTAGCATGGAAAGCCTGAAAGAGCGATAGCATGCGTTGGTGGCTTGCGCTTGGAATTGCTGTTGACAGGTGATCGGAAAGTGGAAGCATCCACCGCTCGTGCACAGGACTACAGCCTTCCACGTCTCGTTCAGCAATTTCACACTCTCTCGTTCATATCATTTTCTGCTGCTGCCTTCGTGGATGTTACGAGATCTGTCGATGTCGCGTTGCCCCTAGTGCCATTCATGAGATTGATCGACTCATCCGATGCAAGTCGTGCAGTGCCATTGGCCCAATGCTGCTCTGCATCAGTAAGCCGCCAGTATTCCTCATCGGCGTGACGAGTAAGATTCATCTGGAACTCATCCATGTCTCCAGCAAGTTTCTCCAAGCCAGGCGTATCGTGTTCGCGTCCGGGCCAATACGCTCGCCACCACAGACACTGGGAGTACACGCCACCTCCAGTGAAGTAGTATTTGCCGTCTTTCTTCATCGCAAATTTGCAACTCTTCAACCTCGTGAAGGTTTCCATGCAAGTTTCATCAGAGATATCGTAGTCGGCGGTTTCCTCATTCTCAAATTCAACATCATGCGGGCGTCCGGGCGGACAGGCTCTGTCCTCGAAATGGATGAGAAAGACCAGTCCTCTATTGCGAGGATATGTCTCTGTGCCAGGTATAGGGCAGCGCCATCTCAATTTTCCATGCATTTCTGGATCACGAGCATACCACTGGCCAATCACGGCTGCGCTGCAAAAAGCGTTTGCGCATTTGTCGTAAGAGGGAGATAGCCATCCAACTTCGGCAGTTTCACACCTCATTGTCTCTAGGGGTATTGGAGAAATGGTTGGATTTGGAGTCAGGCTGCGGGTGCTGATTTTTGGCCAAGTAGTGTAGCCTCCACAAACATCGGTCACAACACTGGCTGATCCTCTTTCGGTTGTGGTATATGTGCGTGTGCTGTGGCTGAAAGTTCCTGTCGTGGTGGACATGTTGCAGAGACATCCAAGTCTTGCAACATCAATGACAAAATTTACGCAGCTTAGAGTTGGCTTTGGCTTCATGACCATCTGACCAAATCGCCACTCTAAAGCGCTCGCCAATGCCACGACATCGGCGCTTGCCATGGGTTCGCCTGATGAAAGCTGACAGGCCGGAGTAAGTGTCGGAGCTTCTGGAACAGTGGCAGTGCTTGTAGTTGGACTCTCGTCTTCGTTGTACTCTGCAAGCTTTTCACTCTCAAGACCTTGTAGCATCTCATCAATGATGATGGTGTTGCTCAGTGGACGGTTATGGATGTATTCTTGCGCAACATAATCTGCCATGGCGTTTGTGGCCCACCACTCCGTGGCGTTATTGTCCTCCAGCACATATTCGTTCGTGTTGTCGAGATTCCATCCTCTAATTCTGTCTGCGGTGAATCCATTCAGATGGAGGTGTGTCATGATCTCGGAATGAATCAGCGCATTCTCGCACCACTGGCCTTGACAATATGTGGCTGCCAATCTTGAAAGAAAGCCTTTGGTCGGTTCGTCGAGGAAGATCTGAAACTTCTGATTATCAGGACGGAATGTTGGAGTGACAGTTGCCGACTGTGTCCGGGTCGGATCAGTCGAAATCGAAGGTGCCTGTGAGCTGCTGCTAGAGCTGCTCGGTGGACTCCAAGATTCCGAGTGCGTTTTTGAGGTGACGATTTCTTTGCATTGGGTTGCAACAGAAGACGACGTAGCGCAAGATGGGCCAGAACAAATCTTCCAGGTGAACGAAAAAGTCGTTGTTCCGTATGCGCAGCTCAATGCTTTTGTGATTGATGTTGACGACGAAGCGGTCGTGGCTGGCACAGTCGTCGATACGACTGTGGAAGGTACCTCGGTCGCTTTTGAGAACGGGATGCACCCCAAGGTAGCAATGAGATTGTAAATAAAGCAGGAGGGCATTGATTGGCCGGGATAACTGCAAATTGATGTCGTGAGGTAATCAGTAATGCCAGAGTGCACTGCTGACGGACTGTAGTAAGTCGCAGTTGAGCATCCGCCTACCGGCATGGTTGGAGGGACGCACATAATTCTGCCTGCGCTATCGTACATCTTGTAGAGGCACGCCGGAAGACTTTCTACACAAGTAGAAGTTGTTCGGAAGCAGCCCAGCTTCTTGTCTTCCGAACATATACTTATGTCATTTGGAGGTAGTTTTGTGCTGTAGGAACACCAAGAGGTACACGTGGGTGACGCGTTCGGCGATGGTGAAACACAATGGAGTGTTACTCTGGGAGTGACTGTGTCGTAGAGAGTCTTTCCAGGTGCACCGAAAACAGCGAATGGGCCTGGTTCCACCCACGAGCCAACTGAGACCTCGGTCCCGTAGTACAGGCAGTCGGTCAAAGGCTTCGCGTAGTCCAGACACTTTGACGTGTATGCTGTAGATTTCGAGCAACGCCAGCTGGTCGATTCGTAGATGAAGTTGCACTTATCCGTACTCACGACTTCCTGGTTGAAATAGGATTGCGTGCATGTCATTGGCGTGCAGATCTCCGGAGTGCCAGTCGTCACAGGAGAGCCAGGAATGTCTTTAACATATGGCGAGATGCGTCTGTTGCCTGGCTCCGTCCGAACAGCAGGCTCCCAAGACAGTGTTGCAGATGCCCCCGAGTCACCAGAGGCACCGGCCGGCAAGATCGCTTCAGCTGTGGGAGGCAAGGTGAACGTAGTCGAAGCTGGCACGTCAGTTGGGAACCCTGGCGGTAATTTCGCATTGACGGAGGCGCCGACAGGGCGATCATCTGGCAAAGAAGAGTCGTCGAAGGAATCGAGTGAACCAGCAACAGTCGGACTCAGCAGGGCCAGGAGACTGGTTCCAAGCAGACCAAGGCCGAAGGACACCATCTTGCTTGGGAAAAAGTGACCGCTAGCACCCGACAGTGCCACCGCAGTGGAGAGTCGTAGTAATTGAGCGGATGGAGTGTCTGTAAGCTCCGTTCGAGTGAGGATGAGAGGCCGACTTGGAGTGATACCAGTCGGGAGCGTTCTTTTTGTGTATCCAGTCAGGTCGTGGAAGAAGAGTTCTTGGAGTGGCAGAAGAACTGCAATGAGTTTTGTGCTCAAGGCATTGCTTGAGGTGAATTCCTGAATAACATGTGAGCGAACTCGTACCATAATCAGCTGTATGGAGCTGTGATCAAGCATGTGATAATGGGAAGCGTCATTCTACTTGCGTGAATCAGCTATAACGCTCAGACACGCACAATGTTACAAGCCCTTCTATAATTGAGAGTGATGTGATTCTCTCTGTATGTAGATCGGATCTGGTTGGTCTCGTCGCATGGTATGCGATATAGGACGCACAATTCATCGCTGCGACAGAAGCTCCTTGGAGGCGAGCCCAGTCGTGTTCAGAGCTGCTAGGTGAGGTGTTTGAAGTCATTAGATGATGAGTCCCGAATCTGGTCACAGATGCCTTTCGGCGAGTCCTGCAATGCTCGAGAACGATGGCGATTGAGCAAGTGGTGAGGTTTGCTCGCACTTCTGCCTTGCGGATGCAAAGAGTAGCAGCAGGCGTTTTGGCATCCAAATCGTCCTATACTAGACGTTTCCGCAGGAACAAATACGTGATTTCGCATTTTTGAGGTCGTGGTATAGGCGTTGACAGAAGATGGTGATGGGGGATGGCACAGGAGATAGCAACTGCGGGAAGTTAGGCTGAGCACGAGCGCCAAGACCTGGCTCCCCAGGGCATCGAGATGGTCGAGGACGCTTGATTCAAAAGATCGAAGCATTATCAAGTAATAGAGGTCTCTGAAGCATCAAAGGCTATAAATCATGCGTTGAGTGGATAGCTCAATAAGACCTCGAAACACTTTGAAAGTCATACCTACTCACAGATGTTGACCACTGTTTTGCTTTTCCTTTTACACAGTTCCTGAGTAACTCTACGAGTCTGCCATTTCTCATGATGTCGTGAACCCGAAGCATCTCACTCGCAGCAAGCATATAGCACTCATGGGCCTGCTCCGCATCTACTGCTTCGCGTTGATGATGTCCACAAACGCAGGCTTCAAGCTAGCACCACCAACCAAGAACCCATCAATATCCGCCTCCTTAGCCAAATCCTTGCAGTTCTTCTCACTCACACTACCACCGTAGATAATCCTCGTCTTCTCTGCAGCCTCGTTACCCAGCTCCTTTGCGATCCACTCTCTGATTCCCTTGTGCACCTCTTGCGCCTGCTCATTCGTAGCGACCTTGCCGGTACCAATAGCCCACACAGGTTCGTATGCCACAACAACCTTGCTCCAATCCTTGACCTGCTCGCTCACAGCCTTCAGTTGAGCAAGCACAACGTCCATCGTCTTGTTTGCCTCACGCTGCTCAAGGGTCTCACCGCAGCACAGGATGACTCCCAAACCACCATCGAGAGCAGACTTGGTCTTGCTGGCGATGAACTCGTTGGTCTCTTGGATGATAGTGCGACGTTCCGAGTGGCCGAGGATTGTCCATGTGATGTTGGAGTCCTTGAGCTGCTCGACAGAGATCTCACCAGTGAAAGCGCCGTTTGGCTTATCGAAGACGTTTTGGGCTGCGACTTCAATGCCTTTGCGGAGGTGCTCGCGGGTTAGGAGGAGGTAGAGCGATGGTGGGGAGATGACGACTTCGGTGTTAGGGTCGACTTTGGCTTCGTTCAGGTGAGAGACGATTTCCTTGATCTTGGAAATGGTTCCGTTCCTGGTGTACAGTGGTCAGCATTGGTAGTGCTTGAAGGCCGTTTGGCGGGGAACTCACATCTTGAAGTTGCCTCCGACGAAGAATTGGCGTGCCATGATTGCGGTGTCTGTGGTGTTTGATTTGGTGAGGAGTGGTTTCTATTCGCGACTTGTGTGTGTCTGTTGTCAATGGGCTCGCCAAAGGTGCAGGAATTAAAATCTGTTTTGGAGGGGTACGTCGACGTGGGGAGCTTCTGATGTCAGTTGAGGCTGCCCGAAAAAGGCCCAGTTTCACGCGCTCGGGTACTTTCGGGTGAGCAGAACGACGTCCAAGAGTGAGGCTCCAGCAGCGAGTGTGTCGCACTACAATGTTGGGGTTGAGAGTGAGGCAAAGTTGGATTTCTTTCCATATTTTGATTTTTGCTATCTCGTACACACGCAGGTCCGGGTCCGGGTCTGCTTCGATGCAACGTGACCGTAGCGTACAATCTCCTCCGAACCTACCTGCTACAAGTACATAGGCAGCAGCTTGCTCGTACAAGCAAGGCAGTGCTGGCCTCATTCAGAGCGTGCTGGCACCCAACAGTAAAGAAGCAGTGATGCAAAGATAGGGAAACGGAGCCTCCTTGTACTCAGCCCTTTCCTCTCGCGCATCCAGCTGGTGTCTGTTCGTACATTCGTAGTACAATGTGTCGTGCGCGAGCCGGTACCTTACCCTTAAGGAGGTAGTCCGACTCACCGTTGTGTGTGTTCCGTGTGTGTGAAAGCAATCATGTCGAAGTGGTGTGCAGGACGTGTAGGACACATCTTGCGGTACCCAGTAAGAAGAAGCCTGTAAGGTAAGCGGCTGCAGTGAGCTGGCCTGATCAGTATACTTACCCCGAGATCTTCGTGTGGTTAGTTGGGGGAATCTTACCAGTCTCCGTGCTTCCTTTAGTAGCGTCGTCTCTGTCGTGAATCGTCGTACCCACCTTCGAATGGGCGCTTCGAACCGCTGTTGTAGTCGCGGTCGCGGTCACGGTAGCCGCCTCCGCCACGATCTCCTCTCGGTGGAAGTGGCTCATAGTTGGCATTGTCTCTGCCACTGCCTCGCGGGCCACGATCGTCGTAGCCACGGCTGCCTCCGAACCCGCCACCGGAGCGAGGACCGGAGGGAGCGCCATCTGGACCACCGCCGTAACCGACGCCGCCATAGCCTCCACCTCCGCCACCACGGAAGCCACCTCCTCTGCCACCTCCTCTGCCGCCGCGGAAGCCGCCACGATCGCCGAATCCTCCACGGAAACCGCCTCGGAAGCCTGGACCTGGCGGCGGACCACCGAAGCCCATAGGACGTGGGGCCTGTTGTTTCGTGTAGTGTCGTCCACCCAGTCCACCTCCGAAGCGTCTGGGACGCCAACCACTAACAGTGCGACCGCGCTCGACATCGACGATGACCGGACGGCCGCGGATTCGTAGGTTCTCGCAATCCTTGTAGGCAGCTGTGATTCCAGTTAGCAAATGTAGAATGAGTGAAGACCAGTCAAAGCGCACCTTTCATGTCCTTCTCGCGCTCGAAGAGGACAAAGGCGTAGCCTTTAGGCTTGCCCTTCTTCGTCGAGGCTTCTCCGCGATCAGTCACGATTCTCACGCGTTCGATAGGTCCGAAGCGGCCAAATTCCTTCTCGAGGTCCTTAGTCGTGCAGTCGTATGGCAGTCGGCCCACAAACAGCGTCTTGAAAGCGTCTCCGCGAATATTCTCGTCTTCGGCGGGCTTGTACAAATCCTTGTATCCTTCCTCAAGCAGCCACTTCTGCTTCTCTTGCTTCTCCCTCACCACGCGATCGCGCTTCTGCAGGCCGCATTCCGTCACAACCTCTGTCTTGGCTTCCTCTTTCTTCGCCTGAAGCATTGGCAGAAACTGCGCGATGCCATCAATCTTGTGTGTCTTGCGATCTTCAGGCGCGTGATCGGCCGGGGGCATGTAGCGGAGCGGTGGGCGCGGCTGGAAAAGCGCCAGGAGATTGTGCGGGAGTCGGTCCGTCATGGTTGCTGGTAGTAGGCGCACAGGCAAATCAAACTGCGCGGATGTGAAGTGGTCTTCTGAGATGGCTTCGATGCCGGAGTCTGGTTCGGGCGAGTACGACTCGCTGCGGTCTAACGCCGCTGGTGAGGCGGAGGCCCTGTTCCTCACAGGTTAGTCCACCTGTGCGCCGAAGCTGTCGGCGCGACGGCGATGGCCACCGCTTGGTGGTGGCAGGCGGCTCGGGCAATTGGCGTTGGCAACAGGCGGTGGTAATGGATGCTGAAGGTCCGGTGGTGGCAATCTGGCGCTGACAACGCGCAAGAATGGTGATGGTGTTGATGAAGTCGCGTGGAAAGGAGCGAACCGCTCGTTGTCGGCTAGTGCCAAGACCGTCGCCAGGCTCCTGCCGAGCTGTGACTGTGAGATGAGGTGCTGTTGTGCTGCAACAAGATGCATCAGCACTTACTTTTATGACAAAGACACAATTGTACACATTTTACGGCCTTTAGTTTTCTCGTCGCTAGCGATTCGGCTTACCTTAGGTAGGTAGGAGCTGCTGCAGCCACCGATCGTCTTTCGGCAAGAACGGAAGTTTTGTCTTCGACGCGCGTGGCTTGACTGTACATTTTCCTCCTCAATGCTCTCAGTAGTCTTGAAATTCACTGCACATCAGAATGAGATGAAACGTGCCTGAAAGTTTTGGATTCCTCAAGCATTACTCAAGCCCCCAAAGCGCGATCACTAGGGCAGACGACAATTCGCGTGCCGATGGGAAGGATATTGCGAACATCATGGAACGCGTGGAGACAAGAAACACATCCGCTTCAGAACAGAGCACAACCCCGACAACTGAACGACGCGACAATGGATTCGATGGTGGACTCACAAGAAGAAAGTCGACACTGTCTACAGTACGGAGTAATGACCAGACTGCCAGTGCGCAGCCGGCTCCCAAGAAGCGCTCTCTGATCCAAAAAAGCTTTGCGATATGGCAGAAGACCGGAATCGACTCCAGGGTCTATCGCTCAATGTTCAAGTCGTCCATCGCACCAACTATCACCCTTGCGCTGTACCAGCTGGACGGCTTCGCCAACTACTATACCACTCTCGGCTACCTGGCTGTCGTGATGACGATCCTTTCTGTGGTGATGATGCCTCGCGCCAAGTTCCTTCAGACCATGCTGGTCAATCTTCTGTTCCTCTGCCTGGGCGCGGCCCTATCATTACTGGCAATGTACTGCTGCATCAAGGCACGCAGAGGCAGCACAGCTCCTTACGATTCCTCTGCAAGCGCTGTAGCAGCTGTCTGGTTGGTCGCGCAGGTCTTTTCTATCAGTGTAGTGAGGGCGAAGCTGCCGCAGTATGTAAGTCTGCCTGTCGATATACTTGCCTTTCTCCGGCTATTTTGCATGACTGTTGGAGATACCGAAAAAGACGAAGAAGAAGAAGTTTTGTTGGCACATGCTGATCTTGAATTATTCAATCGCAGAACATTCCTTGCATTTGTTGGGCCATTTTTGCAAACGTCTCTATGGTCTATGGGCCACAGTTTGCGACAATGGCTGCCGCGGAATCCTTTGCGAGAAGACTTCTTGTGGGATTCCTTACCGGCTTTGGCATTGGCACAATCATCTCGCTTCTGATTTTCCCACTCAACAGCAGGCAAGTAGCGTTCAAAGGTATCACAGGGTTCATCGCGTCGCTTCGAGGAGCTTTGCAGGCCAACCTAGATTACATGCGCAGCTTGGAGCGCACAGATATGTTCACGACTGCCACAACGAACACAAATGGTGAGAAGCTTCCACGGAGCTCGGAGGCCAGAGCTTTCAAGCAGAAGATGGACTCCCTATCGGCTCTCTACGGCAAATTGGCTACAGATCTACCTTTCGCCAAACGTGAGGTCGCTCTCGGAAAGCTTGGCCCGGATGACATCCAAGAGATCTTTCGCCTGTTGCGTCTGATAATGGTGCCAATCGTCGGCCTTAGTTGCATGGCTGATATCTTTGTTCGCATCGCAGAAGAATCGGGTTGGAACAGGAATGTTGACTTTTCGAACGTTGCACCTGAAGACGCCCCTAACGAGAGCGAGATGATGAGGATAGAAGCAGTGAATGAGTGGCACGGATTGATGAAACGTCTCCGAGAGCCATTCGACCAGATCACTCAGACAATTGATGAAGGACTGGAACACGCACGCATCGTCTTGCAACTCGGGCCCAAGCCGCCAAGGAGGGGCAACGAGGACGTGGAGAAACAAGGGACGACAGAACCTGGACCAGGCGAGAGTGGCTTCGCAGAAGTCTTTTGGCGACGAGCTCAGGAATTCAAGGAGAGTAAGAAAGTTACACTTCGGGAGTGGTGTCATCTGCATGATATCCAGCTTCCCGAGAATTTCTTCGACGATCCAACTATCGCGAATTTGGACGCTCCGGCATGGATGCACGAAGGTTTTCTGTCCGACCCTCATCGACACCTGCGGCGCCAGCTCTTCCTCGTTCTATACTTCGAGTTCCTGCTCATAACCATCGCTCGCCGAACTCACAGGTTCATCTTGGCGGTGGATGCATTCAAGGCCCACGGGAAACTCGACAAAAGGCGATTGGTGGTGCCTGGCTACAAGAGAACAAGGAAGTGGCTGGCCAGCCTTCTAAAGGACGATGAGGATGCTGCAGACGATAATGACATGAACACAGATGGTCGAAGGGCGCAGGTCTACCTTGGAGATGCTTTCAAGAAACGCAAAGATCCAGAGCACTTGCCACCCACGAACGCTTGGGAGCGCTTCGGCAACAAGCTTCGTAAAATCGCTCACTTCTTCCAGTCTCCTGCAGCCTCCTTTGGACTTCGTGTCGTAGCGGCTACCATGACTCTCGCGATTGTGAGCTTTCTGCGGCCTACGCAAAGGTTCTTCACAGAGCAAAGATTGTTCTGGGCACAGATCATGATCACTATATCTCTGTCTCCGACTTTTGGCCAGTCACTTAGGGGCTTCTTCATCCGCGTCTCTGGAACGGCACTGGCTTTGGTTACTTCTCTGGTAGGCTGGTATATCGTCAACAAGGAAACAACTGGTGTCATCGTGTTCTTCTTCATCTTTGCTCACTTCGGAGCTTACATCATGCTCTTATACCCAGCTTACGTTCAAGTTGGAGTGATCTTCCAGCTCACAAATGCATTGATTACGGGCTACGAGCTGCAGGTCAGGAAGCTTGGTATCGAGGTGTCGACCTCTAATGGCCAGGCCTACTATCCGATATATGAGCTCGCGGGAATTCGATTGGCGACCGTCTGCGCAGGTCTATTCGTAGGCTGGATCTGGACTTGGTTTCCCTATCCCATCACTGAACACAACCAATTGCGGAGGCAGCTCGGCTCTACGCTGTATCTTCTGGCCAATTATTACTCGGTCATGCACGAGACTGTGCGGCTTAGGCTTGGTAATGCACAAGGCGATTTGACTTCGAAAGACAGCCCAGGTCGTAGACTGGAGAAAGCCCGCAGCAAGCTCTATTCGAAGGCGAGCTTGACCATTGCGAGCCTAAGAGCACAGGCCCAAGTCGTTAAGTACGACATTCCAATCGGAGGTAAATTCCCACAAGAGCAGTATCAGCGACTTATCAATCAGCTGCAAAGCATGCTCAACTTCATGTCGTTGGTCTCCGTAGCATCTTACAGCTTCGAAGAACTGCGAGCCGAAGGCGAGGCACAACATGGTTTACAGTGGCTCCATGGCTTTCAAAAATTGATTGGCGAAGCCAACTATACTTCAGAGCAGGTCACCACGATGCTTACGCTTCTCTCGGCTTCGATTACGTCCGAGCAGGCGCTTCCACCTTACCTACGTGTGCCAGAACCATTCTTCTTATCACAGAAGCTTGAAGAAATGGACAAGGACATGTTGAGTATCAGGCACATCGCCGAACCAGGCTACGCGAGTTTCGCGGTAATACAGATTGGCACCAAATTCATCTATGAAGATCTGCGACGGCTGGTAGCTGGCGTCAAAGAGCTTGTCGGAGAGCTTGATTTTTCGTACCATATTGTGTCAACATCTGACCCGGAGAGGAACGAGTCGGAGGAGACTCTGGTTCTCACAAGAACGCGGGCCAACACTATGGGCAGAACGAAACAGGACTGAGGCAGATATGCTAAACTGCGCTCGGAATGCCTTTCTAACGACTCTGTTGACGAGAAGAGGTCGGCAATTGCAAGTCCACTCCAATGGCTGCCCGCCTTTGCGGTCTCCACTTTGAGGAGTCGGATGTGGAGAATTTGAAGTTGCTTGCGTGCTTGCACAGCTTACGATTCCACGCGGCCGCATACCACTGCCAAGTTCTTGTCGACAGGCCGACAACGAACTACTCTCTTGCCGAAAATGAGCAGAGCTGCCACTCTGTGTATTTAGCCGCTACGACTGGATGATCGACAGCGCCAGTGCTTGGTGACGTCGTGAGCGGTATTGGCAAAGCATGGCGGACTCTTCTACCTCTTGAATCGGCCCTTCGACACATACAATCAGATTTGAAAAGTCTGCATGTAACCGTTCAGCGAGCCAGAATTGTAAACAAGATGGTCAACATAACTCACGTCAACCTGCTGCAGCTGGCAACCAGCTTGGACTACGCCAATGAGATCAACGCCATCGCCAACGCGTCGACCGACCAAGTCTCTTTGCTTGCATACGATCAAGCTTTCATAGACGATGTTGTCGGAACGAACGTAACCTCGAGGCTCGTGGCTGAGCTGCCCTGGGACGCCTTCCACGAGGCCGGCGTTTACAACCACGGTTCGTCTCAACCCCAAAACTCACCACCAACCATCTAACAAAACTTCGCAGCAACCAAGAAAATCTACGCCACGAGCAACTGGGCCGGCAGCCTCGACAACCCCATCAACGTCACAGTAATCGACATCGAAACCGACGAAATCACCAGCATCCGCTACCCAAACGTCTCCGAAGCCAACGGCGGAACAGCCTACTACCCACCCGGAACCCCAGCAAACAGCACCTCAAACCAATCCATCATCTTCTGCGACGAAGGCGACCTAAACAACTACTCCAAACTAACAGTCGTCAACCCCTCCACCAACGAAACCCAAGTCCTCCTAAACTCCTACTTTGGCCGAAACTTCAGTTCCCTCAACGACATCGTCCAACACCCTCACACCGGAGACCTCTGGTTCACCGATGCTCGCTACGCTTACTGGCAATACTTTGGCCCCGAACCCGTTATTCGGCCACAAGTTTACCGGTTTGAGCCTTTGACTGGAGTGCTGCAAGCTGTAGCAGATTATTTCATCGCTCCTAATGGTATTGAATTCTCGCCGGATTACAAGCATGTTTATGTTACGGATACTGGGTCGCACACGTTTCCGAATAAGGACAATTTGACTGATCCGGCGACAATTTATCGATTTGATATTACGAGCGATGGGAAGAGGTTGGCGAATCGACAGGTTTTCGCATACAGCGATATTGGCTTCCCAGACGGAATTCACACTGACGTGAAAGGGAACGTCTATTCAGCTGCTGCGGACGGCGTTCATGTGTAAGTCTTGAGTTTCCACAATGTCGCAGGCGATGCGTTACTGACTGTCGCTCATGCAGATGGAATCCCGAAGGTGTGCTGATCGGAAAGTTTCTCGTTGGCCCACCAGGATCGAATAACTTCATCTTCGTTCCGAACGGGCTTTACATCTTCAATGCGTACAAAGTCTGGTTTGTCTCGATCAAGGCGGAGGGAAGGACTGTTCGACGCGATTTTGGGCTAGGTCCTGCCTACTGAAGGAGCAGTACTGGTCTAGGATGATCAGTCTCGAATACTGAGACGCACAAGTCATTCAATGTGTAGTATAGACGTCTGTCATCACGTGGAGTGGAATTCACGCCTTTACTGCCTTCAAGTCCTGAGCCTCTCGATTGCAAAAGCTCCCGACGTCACTTCCTCGTCCAAGAGAGCCGTCAAGGAGCTCACGTTTCACTCAAGCTGAGCTGCCAGAAAACTAGCTGACTGCACAAGTTGTCGAATGCAATGCGTCTTAGCAGCCACAACGATCCACGCAATCAATCTTGTTTTTTGACCCAAGCAAGCACCACCGACAGCACATTTCCATAGCAATCCTTCTTGCGTGAGCCAGTCTGGTGCTCGTATGCTCTAATCTCTTCCTCATTGTAGTCATCGTCCTCAATCTGGAAATCTTTCTCGATCTGTTCTGCGAGCAGGCTGTCACCAGTGTGGTCCACCCGCAAACTTTTCAACTTATGCAGGTGCTGCTCCCAGGACAGTTGAGTCTTGCTTGCAGCTTTCCATAAGAATACAGCTGCCCTGTACTCTGCTGGTAGAGTTGCACTTGGCTCAATAAAGGAGGCAATGTATTGAAACCGGCGAGGAGGATGTTGCCATTGGCCAGTTGAATCGATGGAGGCCGGTGAATCTGGTGTGGTGTCGTCTGTCGCCTTGTCTGGTCCCGGCTCAGGAGTAGGCAGTCGTGCAGGTGAGGCTTGAGGCACTTCGCCTTTCGCATGTGCCCATCGAGATGCTTGTAGACCGCCATTGTGACCATTTGGCTCTTCTATCTCGTGGACCCTGCGGACGGGTCCACCATTGCCATTGAATCCAGGCTGCTCGGCTTCGACACCATCAAGCTGAGGTATGTCTCCTGGCTCCTTCACCGGCGATCCATTCAAAGTTACTGATTCATCGGTCGAGGGCGATCTTCGTTGCACACCAGGGTGCTGCAGGGATCCATCGTTGTAGTGACCTTCCTAAAGCCACTCGAGACAGAGCAGGCAGAAATGGCGGCCTTCCTCGTCCCGCTCCGGTACGGAAGAGGTATGCTGGAGATCGAGGTAGAAATTTGTGGGCGGAATGGATTTGCTGCGAGCTAAGCATCCCGGAAGATGGCACTCAATTCCAGCGTTCTGTTCTGCGCTGGCGGACGTCTGCTCTACGATGAGTTTGCCTCCAGCATTCAAGTGGGCACGAATCATTTGTTCCATTTTCGCGCCCTCTTTGTACCGCAGAGTCTGTAAAATGTGAGTGATCGAGCAGAGCGACATATAAATAGCGAAACTCGTACCTTCGATTCTCTTTCAGCGGTGCTTGCCAAAGCTCCTGCCAGAAGCGCCTGCAATTCAGACACAAGTGGTTTGTTCTCGAATCTGCCAGAGTAGGAGCCTCCAGTCTGGAGTCTGTCAGCTTCCCATATCTTACTGACCCCGTGGGGAATGCGCCACCCACATTGAGACCGATATGATATACGCGGTTCTCCTGATGGTCTATGGTGGCCACTTCGTGCGCACCAAGCTCATACATGTCAATATGGAGACACTCAATCTGGCGGCCATAATGCTGCCTGAAAAGCTCGGTCGTGGTCGGGGTGATGCGAGGCACGGGAGAGTCGTGTCTGGTCGGTTTATCGCAGGGAGGGTTTGCCGGCTGGTTGATGGGATTGAAGGATGTGTGAGTGTACTCGAGTGACCTCTGTGCCACCGCAGCCAGCATTTGTTCCTCTGCGCCAGCAGCTTCTCGTAGGGAGCTGGGACGCCGCGATTCGACTCCTGGTTTGTCATGACGAACCAGTGTTGAGCGCAAGGAGGACTCCTCGAGTATGGAAGCTGGCGGGTACCAAAGAGGCGTACCTCCTGCATCCACGAGATTGGACGACATTGAGGCGCCGCGTTGTTGCGCAGGTTGTGCGAGTTGTACTTGATTTTGTGCGGCAGTCGCCAGTCAACTGAGCGACATCGTGAGGAGCGCGAAACGTATGTCGCGCTTGAGCGATGAGAATGAAATCTTGCATGGGACAAACGTTCGACCTTCTTTCCGCCTGCAGCTTCAGCATTCTCGACCCTACCTTCACGCCTAATACTACAACGTTCCTCGATCCTCGCACTCCATTGAACGCGTGCTTGTGCGTGTGAAGAGCTTGGCCTTCATGTGGTCTTCCGCCAGCGATGCGTTCGACCGCTTATTTTCAATTGACTCTATCGAAAAGTAAACCTTTTCAACAGTTCCCAGTTTCAGCGGCCGCCCGCGCCATTGCTGACCTGTTGCCACTGGTGAATTACAGAACGTGATCGCGTCCTTGCGGCGCGTCTTTGGGTCAGCTTCCGGCAGGAGCCATTGCTCGGCGTCGGTTGAACAACAAACATCACGCATTGAACACAGGCAGAAGCAAAGGTGAAGTAATCTTGTCAGCCTTTCAATAAGCAGCGGAAGGGGCGGAGTCGGTGCAATTCCGACAAGGCCAATCACACCAGACCACTCGCACCACCAGGAGACAAGTGGATCCCGGATCGCCCGACCTCCGGCGTGATTTCTGGGATCAAGGGAGACTGCAAACGACCCTTTGCCCCCAATCGCCACGAGGTCGACTTTTATCTGTGAGCTTGCGCGCGATAAACTTGGTTCCTGAAACCCTTTGCCTTGCCAACACTCCTTCGGCGCGTTCCATCATGCCGGGACGAATGCTCCCCACCCTCCCATCGAGGGAGGTCGCATCACACAACACTGAGGAGTCCTGCTACGTGACGGTCGGCACCAAAGTCTACGACATCACCCCATTCCTCGAGGACCATCCAGGTGGCGGCGATTTGATCCTGGAGTATGGCGGGAAAGATGTCAAGGAGATCATGGAGGATGTGGCGTCGCATGCGCACAGTGAATCAGCCTGGGAGATCCTGGACGACCATCTCATAGGCTTCGTAGCGACTGAAAAAGTCTTGGAGGCGGCGAAGAAAAGCGATGATCCATTCAGCGTGCTGCCAATGGAGCCCACAGCGAAAGGCATGGAGGAGCTGAAGAAAGCAAATACAGGAGCTACACAGGAGGTACTAGCCAGGGAGAATGTCGAGCCCAAGGCGGCAGCGGACGAGAAAGCTGTCTACGAATCAACAGGCCTCAGCTCAGAGGAAGATCTCAGCAAAGAGACGGATCTGGTACAGGACTACAAGAAGCACAAGTTTCTCGATCTCAACAGGCCATTGTTGATGCAGGTCTGGAATGGTGGCTTCACCAAAGCCTTCTACCTAGAGCAGGTTCATCGACCGCGCCACTACAAAGGCGGTGACAGCGCGCCTCTCTTCGGAAACTTCCTGGAGCCGCTCTCGAAGACGCCATGGTGGGTTGTTCCAACAGTGTGGCTTCCTCCTGTGGGATATGGCACCTTCCTCTCTGCCCAGCAGCTCAATCCATTGGCGCTGACGGCTTACTGGATCACCGGACTCTGTATCTGGACAATCGTGGAGTATGGCCTACATCGATGCTTGTTCCATATCGACCATTACCTACCGGATAACCGCGTTGCTCTCACGCTTCATTTCCTGTTGCACGGCATTCACCATTACCTTCCTATGGACAGGCTGCGGCTTGTGATGCCGCCTACTTTGTTCCTGGTTCTTGCAACACCATTCTGGAAATTGGCACACACGGTCTTCTTTTACAACTGGTATGCAGCTACGGCCGTGTTTTGTGGTGGTATCTTTGGCTACATCTGTTACGATTTGACCCACTACTTCCTACACCACAAGAAGTGAGTGCTCCCACAAACCCGCATTGTATCGATTCGCGCTAATCTTTCACAGACTCCCGTCCTTCTATCAGGAACTCAAGAAGTACCATCTCCAACATCATTTCATGGACTACGAGAACGGCTTTGGAGTGACAAGCCGCTTCTGGGACCGGATTTTTGGCACGGAACTGCCACCGCCTCCACAGCCAAAGGTGCTGAAGACAGCATAAGGCATTGTACAGCATAAGAAGGAACAGCATGGCATAGCGTAGGCGTTGGGGCAAGAAGATACCATCATGGCAAAGGCTCGTTGTATATATTAACAAATTAATGATAATGGACGGCACCTTGTCGAGTCCTGAGAAATGTGCATATCACATTCAGAATTTCAGACACTCGTCTACTTCCCCGTTACTCTTTCTTTACGTGCAGTGTGTCGGAGAAGGAACGTGAAAGGTGATAAATGGTACCTTCCACCCAGCCCGAAGTTTCGGCGTCTTGTGATTGGCCGTCGGATTGTGCCGAGCGCCGGCGTGTTGGTAACTTAGAACTTCGAATTCGCCCACTTCGTTTCCTCCATCACCCACTCACCTCCATCGCGACATTCATATTGAACGTCGCAATTGGGGCGCCTCACAGCACAGCTCACGGCACACAGCGTATAGCTCACCTCTCACTCACCCGCACGCCCCACGGCGACTCACCACCTCACAGCTTCCGACGGGCGCGTGCAGCTCGAGCACAAGCGACTCGACAACTGCACTTCCACCCCACGCAGCGCAGCTCGATAAGAGAACCTGTGAGCACTCAAGAATTGCAGGCATGGCCACTCAACCAACCGACGACGGTTATCTAGATATCGCCGACTTGCTGGAATCCGAGGAGCAGAAGGCAAAAGAGAAGATCGCCCAGCAGAAGGCTGGAGCCAACAACAATGGCGACTCCGACGTCCGCATGGGCGGCACTTCACGCCCATCGTCACCTTCCTCGCGCGACCCCCGCCGCCTAGACCGCCCGACCTCAAGCAGCGGACCCCGCGACAGGTATTTTACCGAACGCGAAGAGAATAACGAGCGGCGCGCACGCCGATCCAAGGGAGCTGATGAAGACTCTGATAGAGCCAGCGCTAATGGGAGTGTCCGCAGTGGCAGACGTCGAAGCCGCTCTCCTAGGGCAGACGGTCGCCGCAACCACCGCTCACGCGATCGTGCCGGTGGAGACTACTACCGCGGAGGAGGTCGCAATGACGACTACTATCGTCCAAACGGAGATCGCCTCCCACGTTCGCGCTCCCCAGGACGTCGCGGTGGGCGTGATGACCGCGGCAGACGTGACGACAGGGGCGGACGACGCGACGGTGACCGTCGGGACCGTCGCGCTCGGTCGCCAGCTGGTGGTAAGCGCAAGACTCCGGAACCAACTGACGACGAGCGAGACAGACGCACCGTTTTCGTTCAGCAGTTGGCTGCTCGTCTTCGCTCCCGTGAGCTCAAGGAGTTCTTTGAGCAGGTTGGATCAGTGGTTGACGCTCAGATTGTGAAGGACAGGGTCAGCGGTCGCTCGAAGGGGTGAGTAGTATATTCTCGCACTGTTGTTACCACTACTGACAATCGCACAGAGTTGGCTACGTTGAGTTCAAAGAAGAAGAATCTGTTGAGAAAGCTATCGGACTCACGGGACAGAAGCTCCTTGGTATTCCGATCATCGCCCAGCTCACTGAAGCAGAGAAGAATCGTCAAGCCCGCAACACCGAGGGCACCGCCACACAGTCTAACGGCATCCCATTCCATCGCCTCTACGTCGGCAACATCCACTTCTCCATCACTGAAGACGACCTGAAGAACGTGTTTGAGCCATTCGGCGAGCTCGAGTTTGTTCAGCTCCAGAAGGAGGAAGCTGGTCGCTCCAAGGGTTACGGCTTTGTCCAGTTTATTGATCCGGCACAGGCTAAAGAAGCTCTTGAGAAGATGAACGGCTTCGAGCTGGCCGGACGCCCAATCCGCGTCGGCCTCGGTAACGACAAGTTCACTCCAGAGTCTACTCAGTCTCTGCTTCAGAGGTTTGGTTCACAAGCTCAGGCTGCACAGTTTCAAGGCTCTCAATTCTCCGGCATGGGCGGCCGCGGCTCCCACGCTGGCGGCACCGCCAATTTCGACAGACCCGCAGCTCGCGATGTTGACAAGACCGGTGGAGCTTCAGCTCTCGACGATACGGACGTCGGCGGCGTGAACTTCTCGAACTACAGCCGCGATGCCCTGATGAAGAAGCTTGCTCGCGTTGACGAGCCAGAGCAGAAGATCGCTCCCAAGACCCAGGCTAAGAAGGCCACCTTCGAGCAGACCACTGCCACTCGCTGCGTCCTCATCAAGAACATGTACAATCAGGAAGAGGAGACTGAAGCCAACTGGCAGAAGGAGCTCAAAGATGACGTCAAGCAGGAGTGCGAGGAGAAGTATGGTAAAGTGGTCCACATCGACCTTGCTCTCGACAACAACGACGGTGAGGTCTACGTCAAGTTCGATCGAGTCCAGGGTGGAGAGAACGCCTACAAGGGCCTCAACGGCCGTTGGTTCGGTGGTCGCATGCTCACTGCCCAGTACGTGGTTGACGCAGTCTACCACATGAACTTCCCCAAGGCTGCCAACGTCTAAAGGTATGTTGTTTTACACTTCTTTCATCGCGTGCAGATATGAACTTGCGGCGGCGGCGGCAATGGCAACGGCGACGGATCAGAACGAGATGCGTGCTTTGCACTCTGAGCGTTTTCTTTTGGGCGAACATTGGGCGTTTGTTACCATGGCACGAGGCTCGAACATGGAGTTTCAATGATTCTACGGGAGGGTAACTTCAAGACTGGCGCATTGAGTGTTTGGGGGAAGAAATGCGGATCCAGCTGGATGGCATCGAAGGACGTTCTTGAAAATTGGCGTGACAGCGCTGCAATGGGTCGACTTTCCTGAATGCTTTTGGCAATCGGACTTTGGGACTCTAGCTGGTGCACTTACGCACATCACGCTTTGGGAGCTACATCGGCTCGGCGCTCCTGCGAACGCAGGCTTGCATATTGTACAGTAACGACTACTGCGCTCTGCTATCCTACGCTCTACTATTATGCAGGGCTTGCAGTACAAATCAAAAGCATATTGAAAACGTCTTGTGGTGCACATAGGCTGCGTGCCTTGAGCTGCGCATCAATCAAAGTTCTTTTTGCCTGCGTCGGCATCTGCTGCTGTAGAAGTATAGCCCTGTGTAACGCTACTACGCTCGTATGGTCTTCACGACTTGCGTTAGCTCTGCGACGGCTTCGAAGGTATGCAAACAAGGATCAAGGCTCTGTGTCGTGGCAGATCGACACCGCCCTGCTTCAACTTCGGCAAGCCGCTCCGCACCTCCCACGACCGCCTCGTATTCTCCTCAAGCTCACGATCTCAGTTGATAAGCGGGCCAGGCAACACCAGACGTGGCATCGGACTGGTCACCAGCTGGGAATTGAGATCGAGAGTCTGCCTTGGTTGTTTGGCTCTGGCCCGGGTACAGGTCGTGCATAAAACGTACATGGCGTCGCGATAAGCACAAAGGAAAGAAACGTACTCAAGTTGAGGGCCTGGACTTCAAACTTTACCTCCTGTTGGACTTGGATCAACATGCCTACGAACGGACGACTACGAGGCACGAGACGCCATGTCGACACCCGCACGCCGACATTTCCTAATTATCACTCTTCAAGAAAGAAGCCGCGAAGATGGCCGCTTGTGATCCGGTTCATCAAAGGCGCCATTCACCTCGATATTGCTCTCCCAGTCGCATTACACGCCATCATTGCAGCTATCGTTTGCTGGTGGGATGCCACGAAAGATGGGAATCTCGGGATCCCATCAGCCACTGTCCCCAGTCTGAGCATAGTCGTTGGTCTCATGCTGGTCTTTCGCAACTCGACATCTTACGACCGTTTCTGGCAAGGCAACCAGCTCTTCACTACCATCGAAACGAACATCCGAAACCTCACGCGATCGTTCCTGGCTTGTTCATACAAAGCTGCAGGAGCTCCGCCAACAGAAGCCGAACGAGCAGACACTGAACGTACAGTCCGCTTACTCCTCGCCATGATCTACGCAGCGAAAAACTCCCTTCGAGCAGAATGGGGACAAGAAATTCCTTTTCTCTTACCGCGTACAGAAGTCGAGCGACATCGCAGAGAAAGTGTCTCGGTGTACAAACCTGAGTATGACGAACTGCTTCCTCCAGGCACTAGAGGACATGAAGAAGCTGGTCTTGCTTTGATCCTACAACTCAGTGTCCAAGTGGAAAGCTATATCAAGCGGGCTCACGACAGAGGCTGGTTTCACAGTCCGCAGGCATCGCAATTGACTGTGCAGCTCAATACTCTTGTCGCAGCGTTTGGAACAATGCAGACGATACATTTGACGCCTTTACCTGTTGCTTATCTGATCCATACGCGGCAAGTATTGGCGCTGTTCTGCATCGTCTTGCCATTTGCACTTGTGAAAGAAATGGGCTGGTGGTCAATTCTGCTTGTCAGTATTGTGTCTTTCACACTGTACGGTATCGAAGCAATTGGAGCACAACTTGAAGATCCGTTTGGGTACGACAGGAACGATATCAAAGTCGATGCAATTGTGGAGGATCTGAGGGTGGAGACTATGGTCATGTTGGAGAACTGGAAGAGAGGAGGGGATATGTTCTCTTTGCCTGCTGTTGCACCGCATAGGGAGATCGTGCCTGATGGGAGGGATAGGAACCAACGGCCGAGTCTGGAAGGGAGGAAGAGGAGTGGATTGGTGAACTTTTCTGACAGCCCAGGGCGGGACTCTGCGCTGATTGATTGATTGATTGATCGATCGAATGACTAGATTAGAATGGTGACGTTTCTTGAGCGATAGAGCAAATGTTATGAGCGGGCTTGGTAGCCTGCATGCGGCTATAGATGTGTAGGAGGCACTTTCAACATCTGGTCCAGAATTTCGTGCAAGCTAAGCGAACAAGCAGTAGGACTGGGATGTCCAACGAGAAGTGATGCCTTCATTCACTGCATCGATTGGCACGATCTTTAGTCGCGAACGACGAATAAGGTGAGGGCTTCGTCGTGGGGTTGGGCGGACGGAAGCTACGAAGTTCAGCCCCACGTGACCTTACCCAAATTTGTGTGTCTTTCTTGGCAAGCCGAAAGCCCACTCGCGAGAAATCCCAAACTAACGTTTGACGAAGACGTCGACACTTTACTAACCCACAGCAACACCGCAAAGGTACTTGGACCGACCTCGTCGCGCGCAAACCGGTTACTAACGTGTACTCGCAAAGATGGTCGCCGCAAAGAAGCACGTCCCGATCGTGAAGAAGCACACGAAGCGCTTCAACCGCCACCAGTCGGACCGCTTTATGCGTGTCGACCCATCATGGAGAAAGCCAAAGGGAATCGACAACCGTGTCCGCAGACGCTTCAAGGGTCAGGCCGCTATGCCAAAGGTGCGTTGGAGAACGAGCGATGGAGATTGAGGGACCTGCGAAGTGGATTTGGGACATTGAAGAGAAGGATCTGGACATTGGGTCTTGAGGAAAGAGAAGCAAGAGCAGAGAGCACAAGGCTAACAGGCGCTATGAACACAGATCGGCTACGGTAGCAACATCAAGACCCGCCACATGATGCCTTCCGGCCACAAGGCTTTCCTCGTCAACAACACCCGCGACTTGGATCTCCTCCTCATGCACAACAAGACCTACGCCGCTGAGTACGTCGAGTCGAGAAATGAAACTCGGGCGACATTGGAATACTGACGGATTTACAGGATCGCACACGCCGTCTCCTCGAGGAAGCGGATAGAGATTGTTGCCCGTGCTAAGCAGCTCGGTGTGAAGGTCACCAACGGCAAGGCCAAGATCACCACTGAGTCGTAGAGGAATTGGGAAGGGACGTCTCACTTTACGCGGGCAATGAGAACAGGCGATCGGATGACAAGGCAGCATGGCGCATATTGTGGAGCAATGGAAATATGACTTTTACATTGGACAGGCCGACTCAGTTCAGGCCAGTCGAGTCTACACAAACGCCGCCAGCGCCTTCGCTATGACAACGTGCCATTACGTAGCGATCAAGTCGCTTGCAAGCATTGAAGAAAAGACTTTCATACCCCATTTCCGTGTCTTGCGCCCAACTCCGCCCGTGCAAATAACTACATGCTTTCTGCTCAGCGTCCCATTTGCGCTGCTCACTGCTTGTACGCAACGATGTAGGAAGGGAATGAAAGGCCAGGGTACCAAGTGCCATAAAACGAGAGGCCACAGACCATTATGCCTCCATCGCATTCTCATCCTTACGTTCCACCTCGGTGACCTCCTGCGTAGCCGCGCTCCAGTAAGCCTGCACATCCACCTTGAACTCCGACAAAGCCACGCCAAATAGCTTCAGCAATGCCGTCTGATGGCTATTCAGCTCCTTGCCCTCGTAACACACCGTAAACTCCTGATCAAGCACGACCTTCCCCTTCTCCAATCGTGTCGGCATGCCCCATTTCCTCACCATAACCTCAAGACTATGCGGCAACGGCACATCATCCTCAACAGCAACCTCCCCACCTCTTGAATACACCACCCCAGCCGGAACCTTCACAGTCCTCGTCGCAACAACTCCCGCCCTCGCAAAATCCACTTCGATGAATCCTTCAAAGAATTCAAGTACCTCCTCCGGCGCCCGATTCGTAAACAACAACCCAACATTCCCCACCAAATACTTATTCAATTTGTGCAATCCCGGCGCATGCTCATCTTCAATCGAACTCCCCAACGCCTTAGCCATAACCTTCGTCTTCCCGAAAAACAACCTCGAATCGGCAAAATGTTGTCGAACATCTTTCAAGTATGTGTTGCGCATATTTTCCACGCCAAAGACGAAAATGTGGCCATATTCGTCTGCGGCGGTTTGGATGGCGGAGTAGAGGGCTTCGCTGCGTTCTTTGGCGGGTTTCTTTTGCACGACTGAGGTGTGGATGATTCGGTTTCGCTTGGATTTGGGCATGGTTGCGGTTGTGTGTGGTGCTGAGTGTGTGGGTAGAGACTTTACGGGAGTGGAACTGCGGTGCGGCTTTAAGAGATGCGCGTGCTTTCTTGAGATCCAAAATTCTCAGAGAAGGAGCGGAGTCGGGTCCGCTTTGCGCGTATCGATAAAATCAGGGTCTTCACTTAACTCCTCACTCAAGCAGCTCACATTCCCTTGTGACTGCGATGGTCGCGAGACTTTTACGTTCGACAAATCTTCTGTTGCCGTCGCTCGTAACAATCGTTCATTAGAATAGTGCAAGAGCACGCAGCGCAAAATTTGACTGTTCGAGGACACGATTAAAGGTATTGAATTGATCGGTGATGTCTTTCACTGCATTCTTCTGAGAAGAGAGAATCATCTACAAGTAAGTAGTATGTATAAGAACAACCCAAAAACACGCGCTTTCTGTCTGTCTTTCTGTGTGGTGGGGGAATCTGAACTTCATCGTGCCATATCTCCTTGAAACAACAAACGCCATCCTCATGCTCTTTTTCACTCGCTCCAGACATCATGCATATAATAGCAACGCAAGCAGGTATGGCGGTGGTCAGAACTCACGCATCGTAAGCTGCCGCAATGCCCGGAGCCGGACCTTCCAGATCGACTCGATCGACTCTACTCCGGATGTCGTTGCTTTCGCGCACGAGGTTGCCAAAGTACTTTCTTGCGACCTCGTTCTCTGTTCGGATCTTGTCGGTCTCCTTCTTGCGTTCTTGAAGCTGTTCCATGTTTCGCTGAAGGCCTTCGCGGAGCTTATCAGCAGGGAACTTCAAAGCTCGCCGGACTTCAGAGCTGATGCGTGCAGAATTGGCGTGTGTGTAGTCAAGAGCGGCCAACTGTGCGGCAAGCTTTGAGCTAAGCCGTCGTGGAAGGGAGTGGGGAATTTGTGAGATAGCGTAGGAGACGCCAAGGGCGACGGCAAGAATAACGCCTGGGATAAACGCTCTTCGCAGGTTGTTGGTGCCGACGAGCTTCGTTGCTGTGAGAGCGCCGTCGATCCATCCGGCCCCGCCGATCATGCGTGAGCCGACAACGCCAGCGACTGTGACTGCCATGCTTGTGCCAGCAACCTTTTCTTGACGCTCCCAGAGGCTCGCCAAGTCAAAGAAGTCCCACAGCTCCGGCTCAAAGTCGACCTGTCTCGCGAGCGCGTCTCTTCGGCTCTTGAACATTTTCTCGGATCGGAACTGCAGGTCAACATATTGGTCGCCCAGATGTAGTATGCCTAGCGACTTGATGCTGCTGACGCCATGGACAGTCTTCTCCCGTGCCCGTTCTTCGCACCAGCGTACTGTCTCAGTGATCTGATTCAGCATTGCCGTCTTCAGATCTTCAGCGTAGCCATATGCGCCCAGTACACCAGGATATTCGACGCCGAGTTCGCTTTCAGCAACTTTGTTAATGGAGTCGGTAAGTGTGTTCCTCGTCAGGTTGTAAACTTCGTTAGTCGTCTCTTCAATGTTGCCTGCAACGGTCTCGTCCGCTTCTGTGCGCGATTTCTTCGACGCTTCATACTCTGGTTCCAGTTTGCGGAGCTCTTCAGTCACACGATCAAGTTCGGCTTGTGCCACATCTTTATTGACAGAGGCAAGTGTGCTGAGGTCGCCGAGAACGTTCATCAAGTACGTCTTTGCAGGCGCAAGTTTTGATCGCGCACGTTTCTCGAGCACGAATCGACGCAGCGACGCCTCGAGCTCGCTGAAGTCGTCCAATGCCTCTTTCTCCTTTCCTTTGCCCTTTTTCCGATCTGGAGGGGAGCCAGGCTCACCATGCTTGCCCTTAGGGTCGCCATCATCGTCATTGTCTGATCCATCGCCGCCGTCGGCAAAGGACGGGCCTCCAGAAGCGCCTCCGCCACCGGAGCCATCACCAGGGGCACCTCCAGGAGCTGGACCGACCGGTATAGCATTGCTCGAGACGAAGTGTACCAGCTCAGACGACTCCTTGAACGTCGCAGGACTAAGATGTGCAACTTGCTTCAGGATTGTTTCTTGGCAACGCTTCTTGTCGCGGATCTGATCGTACCCGTTCACAACCATGAACATGTACGCCTTCTCCCGTGCTGCGTTGAAAATGAACTCCTTCGCAGATAATGTGAAGTGGTTGGCTGCCGAGACGACAAACACCACGACGTCAATCTCCTCCTGTCGCGCGAAAACTGCTGTCGTCTTTAATGAGTCGTTGTTCAGTCCCGGCGCATCAATCAGTGCAATGTCGACGACTCCATTGTTCAGTAGCGATTGGTCCACCGATCGTGCATCTCTGATGTATATCTTGCACATTTGGTATCGATCACTGTCCACAACGATATCTTCGAGCTGCTTGAGCTGATAGACGTGGTATGTGCTCTCGTCATTTCGGTCGTATACTATGCCATGGGGGATGGCATGTACTTCCTCGAGGTTTCCGTTTTCCCGACAGTCCAGTACTTCGCAAAAGATGGCTGTGCATGGTTGCTGGTCCTCTGGCAGCACTTTCCGGCGGAGCAGAGCATTGCAGAAGGTGGACTTTCCTGCGTTCAAGTCTCCCGTAATGAGCACCTTGCTTGACGTATCCTCAATCCTTTCCCGTAGCGCAAAGAGATGTCGCACGCTTTTGTTGATCTGATTGTCCAGCAGAGCAGCAACTGACTGCTTCTCCAGTGAATGTACGATGTCCGACTGCGCGAGTCCCTCCATCTTTAATTCGATCTTCAGAACTGAGAAGTCCTGTGCAAGCTGAGGTGTCACGAGTCGTGGCTCCGTTGCTGTTGCACCCTCGCGCCTCGCTGCATCTGTGCTGGACTCCGGCTCCTTCCCAAGCGTCGTACCCGCTCGCCTGGGCAGCTGTGGCCTTGGAGGCGCTGAATCTAGGCTGTCAAGATCGAACGTGGTCTGCGTGTGCGCAAGGCCTGGGCGTGGTGCTGGTCGTGCAGGCGGCGGTGACGGTGGTCGTTGTACGGTGGGGTAGTGTGCCGGCCATGTCGTGTTCATCTCTTGTAGATTCTTCAATGTTTGCACTGTCTGGTTGATGGCTCTCCCCAGTGCGGTCCGGTTTTGATTATAGTACATCTGATGCACATGCGCTGCTAATGCACGCTTCTCATTCTCCGACTCTGCGTTGGTCTCTCCAGGCCGCACTGGCGTAAGCGAAGGTGTAAAACGATCTGAAGTCGGTCCCGGATGCCACGAGTTCTCCATGCTATCGCCGCCCGTGCTGCTTCCTCCATATCCAGAGTCATCGTCCAGGAGTGCCTGTAACCTCGCTGCCGCCTCTGATGTTGACCCGCTCCCGACCGTCATATATTGTGGCCGATGCTGCGAGCGGCGACTGCCCGCGCCATCGCCACCTCTGCTTCCTGAAGGCCCGGCGGCTCCATCTCCAAAAGGATTATTCGAGCTCATCGTTGAGGTCGCGCATTCGTCAAGTCATCTCGCGTGGCGATGTTGAACGAGTAGTAGTTGCGCTTCCCTGAAATGCTGGATTGTTTTGCCGTTGCACTGATGATGTCTGTGCGGATCGCAGCCGCTCGGCGTCCGATTGGCTCTTTCTCCACGCATGTGCTCCAGGCCAGCGATAGAGGCATCCAACAAACAGTCCAACTTTGTTCCCGATAACAGGCAGCCACTGTTTACTCGGTCAGCGCGTGGCCGGTTGACAGTCGCACTGTCGAGCGACGACATACTGCAGCACATCTCACCGGAGGCAGTGGACGGGCGCTGATGCAGAGGTAACCGTCCAACATGAACGTATGCAGACCTGTCTTCAAGCCGATGCTATATGGCGCTAAGCTTGGAATCATAGGTCATTGAATGGGCCTTTGGCAAGCGCATGACGCCAGCAGAGCGTCTGCGCAAGCATCAACGAGCATTGGAGAAGACACAGCGAGAACTCGACCGCGAACGAACGAAACTCGAGAATCAGGAAAAGAAGCTTGTACAGGACATCAAGAAGAATGCAAAGAATGGACAGATGGGCGCAGTGAAGGTGCAGGCGAAGGACTTGGTGCGCACTCGAAGATACATCCAGAAGTTCTACCAGATGCGGACACAGTTGCAAGCGATTTCACTACGGATACAGGTACGGTTTTTGAGGGCGTGCTGAAGGATTGCTCTAATGTGATTACAGACCGTTCGCAGTAACGAACAGATGATGCAGAGCATGAAGGGTGCGACACAATTGCTTGGTAGCATGAACAGGCAGATGAATCTTCCGGCGCTTCAACGAATAGCAATGGAGTTCGAGAAGGAGAACGATATTATGGACCAGCGACAGGAAATGATGGACGATGCAATTGACGACGTCACGGGCCTTGAAGATGAAGAAGAGAGTGAGGAAGTCGTGGGTCAGGTCCTAGATGAGCTCGGAGTCGACCTTGGCCAACAGGTATGTGAAATGTGGCAGAATGAACGAATCCTTGCATGACAGCTAACGATACCTCCTAGCTCGGTGAGACGCCCACGGGCCTGCAGAAAAATGCAGTTGGCGAAGGTAGAGTTGCAGAAGCAATAGGCGGCGGAGACGCTGGCGACGACGATCTCCAAGCACGACTCGACAGTCTACGAAGATAACGACACTTATGAGTTCTTTGACAGCCAGTAGGCCATTTCTCATTGCTTTCCCACAATACCGCGGCTGGCATTGTAGATTGGATATCACGCGAGAAGTCTAGAAGCATCAACAAGAAGATTGCAGCATGTCCCGTGATTGATGATCAATACCCTGCCATTTCCATGCTTACCTCAATGGATGACCGGCTTGGCCGCAGGCCAGGTACTTTGAACGGCGCACCCGTAGTTTTGGTCGGTCGAATTATGGCGGCGGGGTCTGCATAACTGCTTGTAGACGGTCTCTATATTTACTCTGGGCCGTTTGGTGTTCAATCGCGGCCGCTGACAACGGCTCTGAGCCCCGAGTCGATCTCTCCAGACATTGTGACGAGATCGGACCGCGGACGTGTAAGGGTGGTGCGGAGTGGTGTTAAATAGGCGCGGGGACAGCTACCAGGTAGAGGGTATTCTGCATAACTTGTGAGGGCCTAGACGATCCGATCAGAGCTGTGGAGCCGCGCCGCGACACACGAACGGTGCTGCAGGTTGGACACGCAGCAGCGATGCCGCGCTGCGGTTCTGCACACGTTCTGTACCGCGCCGGCCACGTACATGGAGGCATTGTAGAGTGAAACACGCATCCGTCAGCGTGGCATCCCAGTCGAAGCGAATTTCGGCAGGTCCCCTACCCCATCTGTCCGAGTCCGTCGTTGCGTGTCGCACAGCTCGCGCGGTGGCAGTTCCTGGAGGGCACGGAGTTTGGGCCACACCGAGCCGCTGCACACTGATTCAAACGACACATCCACTCGTTCGCCGGCTCAAGGGACGTCATTCTGCTCCTCACGGCGGTTGTGACCACATCGACGACCGCTTGCCAGCTACAGTACTTGTCGCTCACACAGACAAAGGCCTGCCATTGATCGCGCTGCAATTTTGTTTGCGGAAAGACTGCTTCTTCATTGTTGCTATTGGTAAGCCGCGCCTCGTAGCACCGAGCGAGCAAGCTGTTGGCTTGGTCAAGCAGCACTTCCCAGCTCCAAGCGACAAAGCACCCGCCAGCACGACGCCTGCAGCCAGCACGCACCCGTCCGCCAGCTCCTGCGCCGTCGCCGTCACAGCACCGCTGACAGCGTCAACTGCGGTGTCGCCAGACGCTCACTGACACCCGCATCGCAGCCGAGCGGCCGCAGCTACTTTCGCCACTGTTTCTGGTCCTGACTCTCGAGGCGCGCGTTCTCGGAGACATTGCAGCCTGCGGGATTGACGCTTGCCCCGCCCCTCCCAATCTGCGACAGCCGCCCACGCTCCATCCTCCGACGCCGTCAGATACATGAGTGGAGGCACGAACACGCAGACCACGAACAACGTGGCCGGCAGTAAACGGCGCAGTCTCTCAGGCCAAGGAGGACTGCTGGGCAGGATGTTTGGCTCCAAGGACAGCAACAACAGCAGCCGGGAGCAGATTGACACGCACGGCGCCAATAACAGCAATAACGGCAACGGCAGCAACAGCCAGGGCAACAACGCCAACCAGGGCGGCGACGGCAGCGGAAACAATAATGGCAATGCTTCTCCACGCAGCCCCAACCTAAACAACAACCAGAACAACTCTATTCCTGAAGAAAGCCAGGATGGCGTGAGCAACGAGCTGCGCAGCCCGACACGCAAGGAGGCACCCGAGGGCAACGCGAAACGTCGCAGCAGCGGAGTCGGACGCGCAGGCGACCTCTTCAACCGCGCCAAACAGGCTCTTAGTGGCAGCCCAGACAGCAAATCCTCACACCAAACTCCGATGCAGAAGCTGGGACGCACCGATCCTGCCCTCAGCGTGCCTGCGGGCTCGCTGAACAATTCGGCGGGAGAGTCAGTGCCTGGGCCACGATCTACGTTCCGTGTTGGCGTCACCGAGGATAAGAATAAGAAATGCAGACGCACGATGGAAGATACGCACGCGTATCTGTACAATTTCCTGAGCACTCCCGCACCATTCCTGGGCTCCGAAGGTTCCTCGAGCAAACGGCTCTCGCAATCGCAATCCCGCGACTCTGCCGTGTCCGACAGCACCCAAAACAGCAAACAAGATGTCGTGGAGACGGATAACGGATACTTTGCCATCTTCGATGGCCATGCGGGCACGTTCGCGGCCGAATGGTGCGGCAAAAAGGTACATTTGTTGTTGGAGGATATTATCCGCAAGAATCCAAATACCGCCATACCCGAGCTTCTTGACATGACCTTCACCACTGTCGATCAGCAGCTCGAGAAGCTTCCCCTCAAAAATAGCGGCTGCACGGCTGTACTTGCTGTACTACGCTGGGAGGATCGGATACCCAATTCGCAGTCTGCAACAGGGTCAACAGCGCTCGCTCCTGCGACGGCTGAGTCTGGAAATGTTGAACGCACAGCTCAACAAGGTAAATATTCGCATCTACACAATGCTGAAGGCAGCAGCCCGCTGACTTTAATAGCTTCACGTCAACGAGTCCTCTACACCGCCAACGTGGGAGACGCCCGAATTGTCTTGTGCCGCAACGGCAAGGCGCTCCGCCTCTCGTACGATCACAAAGGTAGCGACGAAAATGAAGGCAAACGAATTGCAGGCGCTGGTGGACTGATTCTCAACAACCGTGTCAATGGAGTGCTCGCCGTCACTCGTGCCCTTGGCGATGCATATATGAAAGACCTTGTGACGGGGCATCCATACACCACCGAGACCGTGATTCAGCCCGATATGGACGAGTTCCTCATCTTGGCATGCGATGGCGTAGGTCTCTTTTCTGTCGCCACAATGTGATATCTTGCTGACCTTTGCTAGCTCTGGGATGTCTGTTCCGATCAAGAAGCTGTGGACCTGGTTCGCAACATTCAAGATCCGCAAGCCGCCTCCAAAGCACTTGTCGACCACGCCTTGGCCCGCTTCTCTACCGACAACCTGTCCTGCATGGTCGTGCGTTTTGATAACAGCAAACTGCAAGCCACGCAACAGCAAAGTGACATCGGCGTTGAAGGAGACCCCTCTAGTAAAGGTGGTGTTACTGAAGCAGACGCCATTGTCAGCGAGAGCAAAAAGTTCATCGAGCAAGGTGGCGATCCCTTAGCGCTTACGCTGTCGCAGCCGACTACGAATGAGATGATGGCAGAGGTTGAGCGTTCTCAAGAGGTCGGACCCGAGCTGAACCCCGCCGCGCTCGAGCATGCTCGTAAGGACAACAAGCCTCCGAAGATGCACGATGGGCCCCCGACGCCAGCCACTGAAAACCCGGCCAACGGTGCCAATATGGCGAATGCCATGCTGGAGCACAACGTTGCAGCTGGCGATCACCAGATGGGCAATGCTGAAGATCAGAATCAGAATAATGGTCAGCAGCAGCAGCAGCAGCAAGGAATGCAGCAACAGGGATTGTCTCAGGGCGGGCAACAGCAGAACAACCAGCAAAACTTCCAGCATGGCGGCGAGCAGCAGCAGCAGCAGCAGCAGAGGTAACGAGATTCACGAAGTTCATTGGAATGCACATAGGATGAATGAGATTATGAGGCAAAGGGTACGGCCAGGCCTGGGTGGCAAGAAATCAAAGGAAAGTGTGGTTTTTTATCATGAATGCACCAGTCTCAGCGGAGTCCTCTTTTTCACGGCGCTTCATGAAACATTTCGGGGCGCGCAGTGCAGTGCAGTGCAATGTAATAGCAATAGCTCACATGATGAATCATTGATGGCGAAGGGAGAGAGCGTGTGAGTGAGAGGTAGCAAGAAAATGATTCGATTCCTGAGCTTTTTTGCAGTGCATGTTGTCAGAGTATGCGCGTGAAGTGTCATAAGCCTTTTTCTTATCTTAAAATCTATGGCTTGTAGTACTTCCTCCAATCATGGACGTCTTCGAACCCGAGCACATCGATGATTTTCTTATTGCTGAGAGGTGCCTCCCATTCTCCCATTTTCCTCGTAATTTTCACATTTGGGCAGGTCTCTTGCAAGAACTTCTCAGTCGGGACTGTTGTCGTAATGGTCGAATTCGTTGCATTGAAAATCTGGAAGCCTAGACCAGACTTTTCGATTGCTCGCCAGCAAATTTGACCTAGGTCGCGGGCGTCAATGTAGGACCAAGCGTTGCGTTTCCTGGTATTCGGTTGACCAACATGGCGAGGGAAATCTCTCTCGTATTCGTGAGGTTCGATCACGTTGCCGATGCGGAGGGCGTAGATATCTGCTCCGTAGCGACGGGCAAAAGTTCGAGCGGTCTTTTCGCCACAGATTTTGGATAGGGCGTAGGAGTCCATTGGATCGACGTCGTAGTCTTCTTCCAACGGGAAGGAATGATAGTCGTAATCGCCTTCGGCGAAGCAGACGCCGTAGGTTGTCTCGCTTGATGCGATGATGATTTTGCGGACTCCCAGTTTGCAGGCTGCTTCGATTACGTTATAAGTGCTTGTTACGTTGGCTTTGAAGCATTCGTTGTCGGGGACTATCATGTTTCGCGCGTAGGCTGCGAAGTGGATGACGACGTCTGGTGGTGGTTCTGGGTAGCCTTGCTCGTAGCCATCGGTCATGTCGTAGTGGGTTGTGAGCGCAGTGAAGACTTGACCACTGTCTTCGAGGTTGGTCTTGAGGGTGAAGACGCCGGCATTGGGATCGGGGAAGTCGACGAGGTCGAGATTCAGGACCTGCGTAAGCTTAGCATCGGTGCTGTCTGCTCCATTGGATAGCATTGCATACCTTGTGTCCACGCTTAAGGAGTTCTGGAATCACATGGCGTCCTGCCTTGCCAGAACCGCCGGTGAAAACGATACGCTTTGGAGAAGTCATATTGGGCTCGTTGGAGAAAGATGATGCAGAAATTCGAGTTTGATGGGAAATTAAAGACACAGCATTTAACCTACCTTTGGATTGGCATCAGACTAGACATTTAGACGCCTCTCTCGGCTGATTGTGCCGCGAAAGATAGGTGAATGGTGTTGGCTGCGGTTCGTGTCGTCATGGGTCGTCGATCCCGACTCCGAGAGCTTCGACGGAGCAAGCTTCAACTTCTTTCGGTCTCTCGAACCAGCGATCAAGTTTTTCCTTGAAGTGTCAACAGCGAACCTCCTGAATGGACATCAGCTCATCCATGGACAAATCGACAACACTTGATCACAGATGACGCCCAATAGGCTGGTGCGCTCGCTCTTCCCATCACGCCTCCGCGCGACCAATGCCACGACCATCACCACCTCGCGAATCGCCGCGCCATCGACTGTGGGATGCCGGGATCCGCATTCGTGTTTGAACAGCAACTGCAGATGCTTCGCTCAAGTCAACGATATCGAGCCATGGAATCGCGACGTTTGGTTTACCAGTTCTGCTCCACGATACACATCACCTGATCAGAAGGGCGACCACAAACCACCAGACGAGAGAACTGTCAAACTGGGCAGAACGGTGCGGAAGCTACACGAGCGGCTTCCTACTCTGCTCAAGGAGCCACTGCCTTCGGATATCCTGTCACCCAGCATCTCATTGCACCTCTTCCCATCGACACACCCGCACCTTCCAACTGTATCGGGCCGAATAGCATACATCGCTGCCTTATGGACTGCGCCGGTTGCTTGGGGACGCATGCCGTTGATCGGAAATGTCAAACTCGATATTCTTGCGGAGCGCATGGTGCAGCATGGCGGCACTGCAGTTCCGTTGGGGCAGCGTGAAGAGAAGCTCATCGTGAAGTGGAAGACCTGCGGAAAGACGTCACACCGAGATGGTACGGGAGGCATCTATCGAGGCATGGGCCTTGCCGCAAAAGATCCCGTAGAGAAGATCAGAGGCTTCATCGCAGGCACAAAAAGTGGTGATCGGGACGCCCGAGCGCGAGACGAGCCAGAAGAATTTCGCGGGATCTTCATCTTTGAATTTGATGAAGAGGGACGCATTCGAAAACACACGATTGAGCATACCGAAGAGGGTGGAGACCATGACCGCATGACCCGAGTCGTGTCTGTGACAGACTGGTTGTTGGGTCAATTCAATGGCAAGAGGAAACACGAGGAACCGGCTCTGGCGTTGTGCGAAGAAAGACCGAATGGAGGGTCAATACATTTGATGGACAGACGATACCGGCGTTGATTGGTTACGATGAGCGTAAGTGATACCCAAACTTGAGAGGAAATGGATGCTTCAGAACTTGTACAATGCATTGGATCGGCGTAGAATTTCAGGCAAGTCTGTTACTACGCCAGGGCATCCCCACTCGACTGTACACATATGTACCTACGAAACTACTTCATGAAAGCAAGGAGGCTTCATCTCCATCTCCAGAGCAGAGAGCAGGCGTTCTTCGACCCGCACAGTATGCTGGCGAGCAGATACAGGTAGATCCCATGTCGCAGCATTATAGCCACTACTCCAACACTTACGTCCTACAGACAAGGCGGCTCGGCTCCGACCGACTCCAAAGCAGATAGCGACTGTCCACTCCGAAGATATTGACTAGTCGCTGGCTCCGCTCAGTAATCGACTCAACGCATGATCAACCAGAGACCCTTCGGCCCGCCTCGCAACGAGCACGCTGTTCTCAAAAGAAGGCCCAAGTCCGTCAAGACAGCATGAAGTAGCTTCGAGAGTTCTTGGCGCAGCAGTATGTTGCACATAGAGCCCCGGTATAGGCCCGAGACGTTCGCCTATCAAGCTTCGACTGCCGAGAAGGGAAGGAGCTTTGTTGCAGATTTATGCATACGCGATGCGTCTCTGCACGTCTGCCTCACTTCGCCAAGCGGATTAGAGTGCTTCTGCAACGCTTGCTCTTCCTTAGATGAACAGAGCCGCCTTGGTCCGTCTTGGTCTCCAACGTCCGTCCAGTGCTGTGCCTTGCAAACAAATCGTCAGTGGAAGAACTAGGGTCGACATCGTACAGTAAGCGCACCTTCTCAACAAGGCTATCCTCCGCTTCGAGGTACATCTTATGGCACACGCGATTGCGACGATCCAGAGATACGGCCGTTGTTGTTCAGAAACACGGCGGGGTAGAGTCTGGATGTCCTTCAGTGGAAGCGTGAATACGAGGCCAGAAGCAAAATAATACCGCTTGTGGAAGGAGATCAAGACATTGACATCCACATACCTGTGATCTAGCACAGGTCGCGAAGAAAGGCTGCATACACCAGCACACTGCAATATGGACGAGATAAGGCGCGATCAGACATCGACGGTCAGATTGTCAAGATGGCCTATAAGTATGAATGTCAGAGACTGCAGACTCTCAAGTACTCCAGCTCATCATCTCTCAGGTCCTTCCAATTGCCCGATCAACGCACCGCCGCCAGAATGAGGTTCTCAATCTTGTCCATCAATGCTGCCATTGCGTCTCTCGCTTCGGCAACGGCCGTCGACCTCACCAAGAGAGATACACCTCTCGAGGTCAAGTTGACGGCTACTGGCAACTCCAAGGTCAATGTGGCGGTCACCAACACTGGCGCCACTGAGTACAACTTGTTCTACAAGGGCTCCTTCCTCGATGCCGAGACTCCTGTTGACAAGCTGTCAGTCTCCGGTACTGCGGCTAGTAAGTACAATTTTTCAACATGGTTATCCTGCTGGAAACACTAATGCTTTCCTCGCAGAGGCTGAATTCAAGGGCGCTCTCCTGCGCATGAAGACAACGGACCTTTCCGAGGATGCATTCCTTGCCATCGCTCCCGGCCAGACCATCGAGAGCGAGGTCGAGATCGCCGAGCTCTACGATGTCGAAGCTTCTGATACCTACACCGTCCAGGCTGCAGGTCTCCTGCGTTACGCCGAAGCTGGAAGCACGGTACTCACCGACGATACTCTTGCCTACAGCAGCAATACGGTCGACCTCGAAATCGACGGCGAAGCAGCACAGCGAGTCGCTTACGCCATCGCGTCCCCCGAGAGTCTCGAAAAGCGTACCGTGCTCTCCACGAGCACTTGCTCAAGCACCCAGCTCTCCCAACTCCGCAGTGCTCTGAGTTCGTGCCAGTCTCTTGCAAACGCTGCTGCAACTGCCGCGACCTCTGGATCAGCAAGCAAGTTCCAGGAGTACTTCAAGACGACTTCCACTTCTGTCCGTAGCACCGTGGCAGCGCGCCTCCGTGCTGTAGCAAGCGACTGCGGCTCGACCATTTCTGGACGCACCACAAGCTACTGCACAGACGTCTACGGCTATTGCTCTTCCAACGTGTTGGCGTACACTCTCCCCGCATACAACTACATCGCGTACTGTGGTATTTTCTATTCCGGCCTTCCAGCACTTTCGGGTACTTGCCATGGACAGGATAGGGCTACCACTGTTTTGCAGTAAGTCAATCGTGTTCAACATTGAAATTGGATGTTAATACTGACATTTTTCTCAGCGAGGAGACTCAGTAAGTGCTCTGCCGATCCAGCCGTTCGATGCCAGATATCGATCAGGCTAGATTTCATAGGGAAATCAATGATGAAGCATACAGACACGATACTGACTACTTCTACAGTGCACCTGGTGTCTATTCTCCAGGAACGGACGACCTTGGCTACGGCTACGCGAACGCCCAGAGACTCACCAGCGCCCAAGCAGTCCTGAACGCTGATACCTATGCACTCTACGCCAACGCGATCTACTTGGGTTGCTAGATGACGGATCGCATTCGGTGCTGATCACACACAGACAGTAGGTCAAAGGGCTGCTGAATGTGTTCATCTACCTCCAAACGGGCATCTTTAAGTTGAACAGCGCGGAGTGAGAGCTTTAGGGGAGAGTTAGAAGCGAGGGATGATAGAACAGGACCCAAAAGGGCAATAGAGCGAGCAGTCAATAGCGCCAGGCATCTCTATCTCTCTGGTCACGGTATCTTGGTCCACGTCTCAAAGTGTTCACGCTGATTTTGGGATGGCTCTTCATTCATGCATTAGTTTCGGCAGTCACAGTTTTGTTCGCGCTTTCCACTTGATGCGCGGTACTAGTGAAAGGCAGTGGGAAGCCGGCGCCATGATGGGTATCACGAAATCTGAGAAGCCTCAATCCGAGGCGCTTAGCAGGCAATACGTCTCACTCATTCAGCCAACAATATCTCACAACTTCCGTTCACATCTTCGTAAGAGGTTCTGAAATTCTTGATTCTATACAAAAGTTCCACACAACGCCTCGCTAAACGAATCACCAAAACAGAGGAAGGCTGTTCGCACTGTCCTGTTCATGTCCCTCCAGCCGCGCCCCCTCCGCCATTGCTGCTTCCCAATATCTTCGTATACGCATCCTCCACCTCTCTGCACACCTCCAACAAACTCACAATGATGATTTGATGCACCACATTCGGCAACCTCTCTCTGTGCAGACCAATCCACTCCAGCGGAGGTGTCGCTTCGCCCATATCTCTCAACTGCGGCGTCTCAATCACAGGAGGCTCGAGCGCATGATAATCATACTTCGACTGCGGCAAATTGATCTCTGCTGTGATCTTCTCCTGCTGCTGCCCCGAGACAAGACCAGTGGCCTCTTTGTTGTCGATGTTGGCCGACGCAGAATCCTCGCCACCCGAAGCAGAGATCTTGACTGCACTCTCCGGCAAGCTCTTTCCTAGACGAGAAGCCAAAGCGCGCGAGTGAGTCTCCCACATGCCTTTGATGAAGTTGATGCGGCTCAGATTCCACCCTACGTCAATTTTGCCATCGAATAAAGACTTGAAGATGTATTCGACATCGTTGCCTCGGGGTGTCTGCCATGTTTGCATACTGGCAATAACCTTTGGCACACGAAGAATGATGCCTCCTCTGGCATTGAGCGCGTTGTTGATCACTTCGTCCACGGTGATTTCCAATGCCTTCGGGACTGCGGTAACGCGCCGCGTCGAGGACAGCGCAACTTGTAGCTGACCAAGGGTCATACCCAGACCACTCGTGATCTGCTCCCTTTCCAGGCCAACGGCGAAACGTGCTTGGATGTTGTTCGCTTCCAATTTGAGCATTTGGCTGTCGAAGAACGTACCCGGGTACACTCCAAAGCAGATGGCGCCCATGGTCACGACAACATCTGTGTGCAAGCTGATTATCGACTTCTTCTGCTGCTTTTCTGCCACAGGGGAATCCGGAATCGTTGGTCCGAATCGTGTCGGCACTACGGTACTTTCTTTGCGAATGTGCTTCTCGATATCCTTCAGACTTTGCGTGTAAGCCGCCTGCTTCTCTTGGATGAGTCGATCAAAAGCTTGGTAAAGCCCAACAGCTTGAGCAGGGGTTGTCGATGTGCAGAAGATGTAGGCCTTGCCACAGTCTAGAACAGCAACGAGGCGGTCCGAACCACCGGCAGAATCGCGGACATTGTACATCAAAAAGTCGAAGTTCGCAATGTCGCCGAATGCGAATGCTTGGTAGTCAAAGGCAGCTTTTGCACGTAGGTTGCTGAATCCCGCAGACGCTTGTATGAGCGGCGTATTCCTGGCTGTCGATGCACTCTGCTCCGGCCATGTGATGGAGGTTCTCACGCCAAGTTTTTCGAGCTGGATCAGGCCACTCATACGACCGGTGCTATTGGCAGCCATTTCATCTAGACCGATGCACAGATTCTGCTCCCAGTCAGAAGATTTTTGCTGATTCGCCCATAGGTTGGTGATGGAGAAAGCGGTCTTCCCGATGCTTTGGCCCAAGTCTAGATCAACAGCAAGCTTAGTGATGTTGACTGTCGCGTTCCAGGGGAAAGCGGCTGCAGTTGCTATGCTGTGATACTTCTGGACAACGAACTGATCAGCGGCATGCGGTTGAGCTGCAGACGCAGACGCAGGATGTCCCGCCGCAGCTCCCGCGTTCCTGATCTCAGGAGGTATCCAGATCTCTCTGAAAAGAAGAAGGTCCTGGAACTGCTTGCCGTTTATCATGATTCTCGTCGGGTTGATATTCAGAACGGCCGAGATGCCAGGCGTGCCGCTGAGATGCTTGTTATTCATGACAGACACCACAATGGACTCCATGTCATAGCTAAAGGTAGGATCGCGCGAGTACATGTGCTTGACCTGTGCCTGTAATCCTGTGAGGACGGCCGACATGGCAAAGAAGTGACCATGCTCGTCTGAGTCAATAGTGTTCATTGTGATGTAGAAGTCTTCCAGCGATGCTTTCGCATCGACTTTGGCAATCGGCTGACAGCTCAACCCGAATTCTTGCTTCGCAACGCGGAGGCCCAGGTCAACTTTGGTCTGACCGAATAGCTTGGCGGGTGTTGTGGTAACGAGATCGCCGTAATCTTGTTCCTTCTGCGATGGTTTGCGCTCGACGTTTGATGGTGCACTGGCGAGTTCTGCAGCTCTCGTCTTTGCCCTCTCGTCCCTTTGCATCACATCCTTGATGCTGTCAGACACTTCGAGAATGAGTGGGACCACATTTGGAGCCAACATATTACTAGATGCTTCGATCATGAGCTCTCCGTTGACAGTTGGCTGGGGATGGCGGGCATTGTACTCCATCTTGAAGGCTATGCCTGGCGCGGTGAGGGTCGTGTGCATCAAAGCACCCTCAGCTGCAAATTGTCCGTACCTGCCATGTCTTGCTCCATGCTGCTGGGATGCAGCCGCAATGGAAGCCAGGCTGTTGTTGCGATTGGCTGAACCTTGCATGTATACGCGTGCGCCTGCAAAATCCGCCTCGACCAGCACCGACTGAATGCGCTTCGTATCAAACGGCATCTTACGCTGCGCGCCCGAAGCAGTTGGAGTGCTCTGCCATGTTGCCGTGCTTTGCTTAAACTTTTCGATTGCGACATCGATTGATCTTTGAGCAGCAGCAACAGGAAGCATGAATTTCGATTCTAGTCGCAGGTCGAGTGGCTTTCCAGTGGCTTTGAAGGCCATACTCCACGTCTTGCCCTGCTTCCAATATGCTACGCTGAAACCTATCTCGGGAAGCAGCGCAGAATTGAGTGCGCGACGCTGCTTGCTGGTTTCCACTTTGGCCAATTGCAGCTGCATATCGTGGATTGCGAGTCGAGCTCCGTAGTCGCCACGAGACGTGAAATTGATACTTGAGATGGAGAAGACCAAGTCCTCTACCCGAGACGATTGCTTAGGCGCATACTTCTTGTCCACGAGCCACGCTGCTTGGATGTCAGTTAGCTCGATCGTGGTGGCGATGGAGAGCAAGTCCTCGGGCGAGAAAGGTATCTCCTCTTCTTCTGTCCAGTCTTTCTTGCCACTGATCTTTTGAATCACGGTCTGCCGGCGTTGGTCCCTCACTTTCCGAAGGTATTCGACCTCTCTTGACAAGTCAAGGTGCCTGATTCGGTCCTGCAGATGATTGATCACGTCCACGATGGTGCAGGCTGTCTCTGGGAAGGCATTGATCGAAACGCCATTGCTGTGAACTTTCAATTCCCGATGCAAGGTGCCATCGTTCTTGACAGTATTGTTGAAGTGCACCCTTAACCCAAATGTGATATTGCCACAAGGCCGAATTTTGCCACGATCATTGATCTGCAGAGATGCGCCGATGTCCTGGATGTAAGCTCGAATTTCGGGGATGAAGGGATTCGCGTCCTTTGATGCCGTCTTGTTGGACGCAGTGGCATGTAGAGGACCAATCCCGAATTCCACCTCCGCTGTAGTCGCTCTTCCATGAGTCTTCGCAGATGGTGTCTTGGTAGAAACTCTGATGCCGAGCAACGCGAATCGGGCATCAAAGCTGATGCGTTGATCCTTGACTGGCCGATTTTGCGCCTCGCGTCGCTCGGGATATACTTGCGCCAGACGATTCTGGATGTCCTCGACGCCTGATTTGATCGCTGATATCACACTCTGTACCTCGTCTTGGTTGAGGACGCCAACAACACCTTGAACAGCACCGGCATCGACCTCGACTCTCTCAATTGTGGTTGAGACCGATATGGAAGTTTCAGATTTGCCTATTTCCAGACCAACATGCCCGTTGATTGGAGGCACATCAAGCAGGCCTTGCACATGTCGGTCGTCTCCAGAAGTGTTTACGAAGGCGTGATTCATGCGTCCAACGTCAAAATTGATGCCAAAAGTCTTGTCCTTGGTCAGACTCGGCGCGACTCTAATGCTGGCAGCAACTCCGTCAAGCTGGTATCCTAGCGCTTGCAAAAGTGAAACCTCAAGGTGCATGTTGCCTGCCAGCAACGCCACGTGTAGTTTGGGTGCCGAGCTCGAATTAGTTGTGCGAGAAGCGACTGTTGTACCGGTCGTGTGAGTAGTCAATTGCGAGTTGGGGCTCAACGGTGGCAGCTCTATTCGTGGTATAAGTGATTGTTGCGCCGTAGTCACAAGCCCTTGTATTTTTGTCACCTCATCAGCGATGATGGCATCAACGACATGCAATATGCCTGGGACTTGCTCGTCAACAGATATTCGCAGCTCTTCGTAAGCCATTGCGAGTGTGATCGTAGGCGGCATGTCGATGCCACTGGCAGCTTGCAGGTGGTCGATGTACAGACTGGGTGTCGTCAAGAGCGTCTGCCAAATTCGCGAAGATGGCCCGTGAACTTCCGTGATCGCCGTGTCCACATTGAGAATGACACTGGCACACTGTCCATACTGCTCGCTGGCTTGTGTCGTGCCGATGATGGACAACTTCATGCCATCGACACGGGACAGATGCCGCGCATTCGTGCTCCGAAGCGAAAGTACGCCCGTGTCAGTGGAGACAACGACGTGCATGTCGTGTCGCGCCAGGCTGTCTTCGAGTGCCTGTTGTGCAGTTCGTTTTCCGTGGCCTTTCAACTTGATCTCGGCTTCCTCGATCTGGTCCTTCAACGCCAAGACATCTTCTGCAACATTGAAAAGTGCCCAGTCGAGATTAAAGGCGATTGCATGCGCGTTCGCTTGCAACAAGGTACTGATTCGCTTGTTCTCATCCATGAGCATCAAGCCTTGAGGTTGAGTTGGCGGCGTGTTTTCTAGGCCAAGAGAAACATCCTCAAGCACAATATCGCTGTCTCGCGCATCACACTCGATGACGACCCTCAAAAGCTCCGAGCGAAATGTCAAAGTGACAGGTAGCAGCTCGTATGGTTCAATGTTCTTCTTCTCATCCGCACCGAACAGTGACTGGAATGCAGTAGTCTGATTGACGTAGGGAACATCCCAGTTGCGCCACTGCGTCCAGCTCTCTAACACCTTTCTGTGTGCGTCTTCGGGACAGTCGAGCTTGGTTGCTTTGCTCATTGCGTCTAGCTTCTGAACTTCCTCTTGGGGCAGATTGCGTAGTATATACCGAAATCTGCTTAAGATTTTCCAGCTGTCTGTGTTTCGGAAGTGACCAGGAAACGCCCGGAGAATGAAGAGCAAGCGAGCCATAAAAGGAGGGTCCCCCATCTCATCGCTGTTCTGGGTTGAAACATAGGTCAAGTAATGCAGACGCTTCGTGTTCGCCTCGATGGTGCTTGTGAACCTGTGCTCAATGTCTTTGACAATTGGTATCAACTTGAGAGCAAGTAAGGTAAGGTACTGAGCTTGAGCTCCCACAACCGTGGCGTTAGTATCGCGGAGGGAGACGTGAAAGGCCTGCGTGTCTGCAAGCGCGAGCCAGAGGAGCACATCGTCCAAGTTCAAGGAGACTGCTGGTTTCGAGAGTATGCCGTCTTGCACCTGACAAAGCGTCACATTGAGGCTGTTGAGAAGTGTATGTAATGATAGCTCTTGCTTTGGGTTCTGTCGTGAGGGTACGCTCCTGATACGCGTTACTAATTGGAGTGATTTAAGGTTGAGGTCGAGCTGGTCAGTGATGGCGTCGGTCTGCTCGCTTGTGAGAACGACGCGCATGTGTGCAGCCGCAAGAGCGCCTTGAATTTCCAGAACAGATTTGTTGCTAGTGCGTGCAGCCTGTTGGCTTTGAATAGCTCCCATGACGCTGATCTGGAAGGAGTCCATGATTTCTTCGGGACTTCGAGGCATGATTTTATCGACGAGCTTAGCAGCAGTCAAGGCTACATGTGGCTCAATGTATGCTCGAATACCTGGAACTACTGTGATCAGCACGCTGGTGTGCTCGGCATCATGGTCAGGATGTGACCCTTCAATGGCTGCTGAGTTCGTGGAAGCGCTAGAACTGGGCAGGGTCTCAGTCGCGGCCGAAGCAGTGAACAAGGGCACGCGTGTCTCGTCCAGGACAACTCCATCTAGCGGAAAGTATGGTTCTGAATATGGGCTCGAGAATGCCATCCTTGTAGATGGTACGCCAGGTTCTGCACGCTCAATCTCTCCTGGAGGTACGCTTGATCTTCTGGAAGACGGAGGGTCGGAGGAAGGTCGACTGCTTGGTTGGAATTCAACCGCCCCACCGAAATTGGTGTGTTCTGAAGAATCAACATTTCTGCTCTGCCGCTCTTTGCGCCTCGCTCGAGCCGTGCGACCACTTCCCACAGACCCCGATAACGAAGACAGTGACGATTTGGACAACAGAGATTTCCTTCCAGCAACACTGGCAGTCGATTTGATTGAACGCGGACGCTCGTTGTTACCTAGAGTGACAGGGGCAGGCATGATTGGGAACGGCGAGGCAGGTGGCTCAAAGGGTAATTCGTCCTCTGGATCAACAGCTGAATTAATTTCTGGCCGAATCAAGAACGGGACTCTGGATGTCCGTTGGTCGTGCAGCTTGAAATGAGCCTGTTGTCGCTTGGTTTCCAGTTCGAAGTGCGCCTTTCTTCCCACAATGTCGATGGCAACGCCAGACTGCAAGAATGCATAGGTTCTGACAGGTGATTTGCGTTGTGCTCCTGAACGGTGTCTTGAGGCACTGCGTGCATCGATACAGGCAAAAGTGATCAGTGGCGCTAGGACATTTACACGCTGAGAAAACGTCTTGCTTGCCCAGCCGGAAACATCGACCTTGACTGGATTCAAGTCGAGCACAAAGGCATCTTTGCCAACGCGCATCGACAGACGCACTGTGTCGGTCCGCACTTGGACGAAGCTGGCGTCGAGCGCAACAGCGGGCGAGACCACGGGCAGTGCATTCTCTGCGTCGTCGATGGCGAACATGATCGCGCGAGCTCCTAACGTCAGATCGCGGATGAATTGACTTGACAGCTCTCCCGTGAGCTTGCCGATGTCGATGTCCCATTGGCTCACATATGCGTCTTCGTTGGGAGGCAACCCGAAAGCACGATGGCCATTGAGGTCAACATGTGAACACCACAACTGCGTACTGGATTCGACCTCAACGGGCGAATTGTCGTCGTCCTCATCGGATGATGTTGATCCGGTCAAGAAGCTGATCGGTGACAGTTGCAGCCCCATGTCGAGATAGTAACTAACGATACGTAGATCGAGATCTGCTCGAGGCAACTCGATCCGCACGGATTCTGTGCACGAGTATAGATTAGTCGGCAAGAGAACTGTCGCCTGCTCTGCCACAATGCAGAGGATGACATCGAGCTCATTGATCGACGTTGGCTTTGGAAAACTAGCAGTCTTCGCATTAGCTTCCTGAAAGTCATCGCTGGCACCTTGGAACTCCTCGAGCGTTTTGAAATGCATGTAATCGCCAAAGTAGTTCTCCTTCACGTTCACCAGCTGGCGCACGAAGAAGCCGAATGCCTTCAAAGTCAACCCCGTACCGACCAAGTCCATACGCAATGCGTCAACGTTGCCGACCTTGGCTTCCTGGTTAGCTGTATACGAGCCATTGAGGGTAAGTCTCGGCAGTGTAGCCATGGTCTTGTCCTCCACGAATACACTGAACGTGCTTTTCGGTGGACTGAGCATTCGCATACTCATCTCAGTTGCCAGGACGTCAAAGGTAATGCGATTGGTTTTAGGTCGGTAATGCTTCATGGGAATTCCTAACACGGCGTGCATTTGGCCCTCAAGAGTAAGAAAGTCGTTCTTGTCGAAATCGGCTGGGTCGTTGATGATGTTGGCGTCATTGACATTAAGATACATTACAAAGTTGTTGAATTTCAGGTCCAGCTGGTAATTGTATGGGACGAAAGTATAGAATTCCGAGACAGCTCGAGAGCCCCAGTCATTGACAAGGTCGATGATGAGGAACAAATGATCTCGGAGAATGAAGAGTTCCATGTTGTTGATCACGACGGTGAATGGCCAGTCACGGAGAGTGTTCCACGTAATAGGTTGCGAGATATCGGCTTCCACGGTGACAGGCCCAGAGCGCCACAGCAGGCCATGATTGACACTGCTGTTCATTTCGAGGCTTTTGACATCGACATCGAGACTGTTGCGGTAGCCCTTGGCACGAGGGAACATATCCATAGTATAATTGACGACAGAATCCTTCGCCACGATGATATCCAGCCAAGCGAAGGGCCGAGCATCTACGGCTGCAGGTCCTTGTTTGCCTTTGCGTCGCCTAGCATGTCTTTTCCAGTTTTTATGACCGGATTTGCCGCCTTGGTTGGAAGCAGGATCTGTGGGCTTGCTCTTGTCGGCGCGACCTTTCCATTTTGAGTCTTTCGACTCTTCGCGGGTGGGAATGCGCAGTACCACTTCTTCCTCTACCGTAACCTTGATTTTCATGACAGTGGAAACCCGTAGCTCTCCCGGCTGGAGGGTCTTGGCCGGCGTGTTGTCCACAAAAGGAGCTGGGAAAAAGCTTTGCTGGATGTTCATGCGTTGCTGGTCCGCCCAAGGCCCGTATACTACGACGCCGCCACATACGCCAATATCCATGCCGTATTCGGGCGGTAGACTGCCGTTTATGTCGTCCTCGTACATAGAGCCTAACAGCGTATCGCTGTCCAAAGAGCCGTGTGGCACTGGGCCCGGCATGTCCCAGTAGAAGCGCATGGTCACTTTGTTCACGTCGACCAGTTGCGTGGCCTTTGCATACTCGACGTTCCGCCATTCTTCGTGCTCGTCCAGTCCATGATCATCGAGATATCTCCTCAGCCCATGCCATTGTCCTTTGCCAGGTAGTTGGTCTAACGGAGCAGGCACGTTCTGTCCCGATGCAGGGCTATCATTAAGAGAAGGGGCGCGTATTGACTGGTTAGACTTTGCTTTGCGTTTGAACATTGCACAAAATCTCGCCCATATGCTATGCGCCTTGTGCGCGCCCTTCTTTATGACTGGTTCGGGCTCGGAAGAGGCGCCGACTTGCTTGTCGCGAAGGACTCTCTGCGCGGCATCAAGTTGGTACTCCTTGAAATCTCGATTGGGCTTTAAAGAAACGTTGATCTGTTCTCCACTGAACTTGAACAACAGCTTCCACAGATCCAGAGGTCCTGCTCGGCCAGCATCTACTACTCCGCCGGCTTTCTCGGCTTTGGCCACGACGATATGCGTAGTATTCTGGTTCCCAATAGCAGCAGCAGCCCGTTTGCATTCGACTTTTATTGGAAAGATGCGGAGAAATGCTGGCAAGTCTGGTTTCTGCACCGGCTTCGTGCTAGAATTGGTCGCCAGCGTGGATGTCCTTTGAGGGGTCTCTCCGTGTTGCTCACCTGATTTCTCGTCGGTTTCTCCAGAGGATGAAGTTGGAGACTTGCCAAGGTTCTGCTTTTCTTGACCTTCTGCTGTGGCCTGCTTTGCTTTCGCTACGGTAGCCTCGACAATGTTGTCATAGAAGGGACTTCGATTGTAGATGAAGGCCTCCACGCCAGACACCTTGACCGAGATACGACATGGAAGCTCCTTTCTGGGCTTGACGCCCGCCTGTTCTTCTTTGCCAATGCTCCTGCTTCTTGCGCGACCTTTCTCGTTCTCGCTGTCCTTGGCCTGGCCATCTGTGGAGGACGCGCTTGCAGATCGTGGTCTGCCTTTGGCAGTGGAAGCATCGTCCAGAAACACCTCCGCGTCCTGCACCACGCGCAACCAATACCTCCAGGTGATGTGGCCTTCGTAGACGTATAGGGTAATGTTATGGGCATGATAGCGGATGTTCTTAAAGAACAGGCGGCCGCCCAACAGACTGATCTGCAGCGAGGAGATGTCGATGTGGGCCTTGTAGTAGCGCCATGTGTAGACGCGGATGATGTACGAGACAATGGTCGCGAACAGGCGATTGAAGTAGAAGAGGAAGAAAAGGCCGAGGATGGCGGAGACCAGCAGTTCAACCAGGAAGACCCAATTGGACTGACCCGTGTCGGACAGAGGTTGCGCCTGCAGCTGGTTCGCCATGGCGCGCGGGAGTCGTCGACGAGCGGTAGAGTGGGCGCCTCATGGTGTTCGCATGTCCCGTGGCCCTCTATTCGGCCATACAGTCTGGCAAGTGCGTGTGCGAGCGGTCCAACCCGAAGCGGAGCAGTGAATACGGCAATCGGCGAGGAGTGAAGTGATCAAGTGCAGTGCATGAGTGAACAGGGAATGGCGTCGACGTCGGAGCTCTCCAGCGAAACTTGAAGCTTGATGCTCCTCTCGCGACCAACAACAGTCCACTTTTCGCAACCTCCAAACGGTCGTCCGGACGGGGCGCTGATGACCACGACACGATGCGCTTCAACGAGGCAGACACCGATCTGCTGAAAACGTGGACCGTAGCCAAACTCGAGCATGTCAGCGACGCCGACGCCGATGTACTCGCCGACTATGTGCTCGCCTTGGTCACCACCGACGAGCCCGAAGCGATCGCGAAGGCAAACTGCATCGAGAATCTGCAGGACTTTCTCAACGACAAGACCGAAGCATTTGTCCATGAGCTGTTCGCCGCCATTGCTACAAAGTCCTACGACCCATCTCGCCCTCCGCCGAAACCATCGAAACCGACTCATCAACCACCGCGACGCGCGAGCATCGATCCGCCGCTGCAAGTCTTCAACCCGGGCGTAAAGCGAGGCTATCACGACTGGGATCGGGATGAGAACCAGACACAGCATCAACAGACTGACCGCCCCAACAAGCATGCTCGCCGCGGTGCTGGCGCGGGACGCGGAGGACGAGGTGCTGGGCGAAACAACTACCCACAGCCGCCTGTGCCACCGGCTGGCATGCCGCAGTTCGACCCGACCAACCCCATGGCATCTTTCATGGCCATGGCTGCTGCCATGGGCATGCTGCCACCCGGTATGCCTGCACCGTCTGTGTATGGACAACAGCCTGCTCAGGAACGCTGCCTAGACTTTGATACCAAGGGCTTCTGCACAAGAGGCGCAAAGTGCCCGTATGATCATGGCAGCGATGCCTACGTCGTACCCGACGACCACAATGCGGGGGGATTCGATACTGGCAACGAGCTATTCACTGCACACAATGGCACTAGCACGAAGCAGAAGAGCCCAGCTTCTAAGAGAGGCAAGGGTCGGGGACGACGCGCCGAATTCTCTCTGCAAGGCCCAACCCACGACTCGACTGTCACAACGATCGTTGTTGAGCAAATTCCAAAGGAACAGTTTGACGAGCAGAGCGTGCGCGACTTCTTCTCAGAATTCGGCACCATCGAGGAGGTGACCATGATGCCATACAAGCGCTTGGCCATTGTCAGATACGACAGCCACGAAGCCGCAAGCGCTGCCTATAACAGCCCGAAAGCTGTCTTCTCCAACAGATTCGTCAAGGTGTATTGGTTCAAATCACCTGAGAGCTTGCCTCAGCCCATGTCACATGAAATGGACGGCGACACAGAAATGCAGGATGAAACTCCTGAGATCGACATTGAGGAAGTTCGGAAGCGGCAGGAGGAAGCTCAGCAGCGGCATGAGGAGAAGCAAAAGCTGATCGAAGAAGCACGAAAGAATAGGCAAGAAGTCGACGCCAAGTTGCAAGAGCTGGAGACCAAAAAGCTAGAGATCGCCAACGAGCTTGCCAAGAAACAAGGCAAACCAGTCGTATCTGAGCGGACGCTTCAAATGAGAGAACAGCTGGCCAAGCTGGAGGCCGAAGCGCGCACGTTGGGCATTGATCCTGAGGCCGTTCCTATCGACTCGACCTGGTCAACGCCGCAATATCACGCACCCGGGAGAGGTGGCTACAGAGGTCGTGGCCGCGGCCGAGGCGCGTATCGCGGGGGTTGGTCAGGTGTCGGCAGGGGTGGTGCTGTCAAACGTCTGGACAACCGGCCCAAGACTGTCCTTGTTGTCTTCAAGAATGGAACGTACGACACACACGAAGGAGCCTTGCGCTCCTGGTTTCTGTTCAACGCAGCAGAGAATGCGTTGCTCAATCGACACCACGACAAACAAGACGCGGCCTTGGTCACTTTCGAGCAGCGTTATCAAGGTGAAATTTTCATGGACGCGACACGCAAGACTGACTTTCCCTTGCATGGTCAAGTCGAGTTGTCGTGGCACACGGGACCAATTCCAAGCAACGGCTCGCATGATACTGACATGAAGATCGAAGAGCCTTCCGGTACTGCGGAGGCACAGCACGACGATCCACCCAAGGTCGAGGACTACGATGTGGCACATGAGGAAGATCGCTGGGGCTGAGCAAAGCTCTCTGCTCGTCTTGAACCTCGCCATAAACATTATCGTTACATGACAAGCCTCGAACAGCCGCCCAGGTGGAGTTCGGCTCACTCGAACTGTGCCGCTGTGGCGCAGCAGAGCCTTGGCCCTGACATCAGTAGGATCCTTCGAAGGATTTGAGACACGTCCACCAATGGGTGGGTGCACTTCTTGTATACACCAAGAGTCCGTCTCTCTAGCATACATCTTGAGGTGGAGGTTGCACAGCCTGTGCCACACTGCGGCATTGCAGGTAGGTATATAGGAGACATTACTGTCTGCGAAGGTTGGTCATACTTTCCCCGCAACAACTGCTTTTTCATTTGATTCATTCTCATCGATCAACAACCACCATGTCTCAACTTGCGTCCACTCTGAGAGAGGCCGGTGATAAGAACAATGAGCTACTTGCTGAGCTACGGCAGACTGATTATGCTCCTTCCTCACTGAAGCAGAACGCCTCATTTATCGCGGATCTGAATGCACAGATTGCGAGCACTGACAAGGAATTGACGAAGCTTCATCGCATCACTGAGGATGAGCGAAAGGTAGGGAGCTCCTGCTGAGGGCTTTATTCCGACCACTAATGTTAAAGCAGGACCATGTCAAGTACCGCGACAGCAACTTCAAGCGTTACATGCACAAGATGGGTGGTTCGAAAGGTACAGAGAAATTCACCTCTAAGGCTGAAAAAGAAGAGCGAGAATTTCTAGATGCATGGCAGAAAGAACGCTCAGCCAAAGAAAGTCGTGACGAGCTTTCTCGTGCGCTGGAGCACGCTCAGAACGACAAAGTCAATCTTGAACGCGATACCAAGCGCCACGAGACTGCACAGACCGAACTCGACAAGCTTTACAATTCTATCTTCTCGGGCCCCACTCCAGACGTGCCAGGCGAGGACGATCTCGAACGAGCTGTGCAGCAGAGCCAAGACAACTATGACCAAGCAAATCGCGCCTTGAGCTCTGAGAAACATGTTCTTGAAGTCCTCGGCCGCGCAGATCAGAGCCTTACGGCAGCGCAGGCACAGATGGACGCCGCGTATCGCCGGTCTCAACGCGACGTATACTTCGGAGGAGGAATGTTCACAGATATGGTGTGTACTTACTGGAAGGCTTCTCTAGACCGCGCAAGCCGTCTATGACATACTTGTAACTTCTGCTAACAACTTTGTGAATAGATGGAACGCGATGCTCTCTCGCAGTCCCAGAACGCAATCCACGCTACTCTGCGCCATATGGAGGAGGCCCAACGCGTTCAGCCTCAAGTCCGCCCGCTCAAGGAGATCAACATCGATCACGGACACATGTTCTCGGATGTCCTGTTCGATAATATCTTCTCTGACATGGCTCAACACGAGCGCATCAAAGATAGTGATGCTCAACTGAAAGCCGCCTATCAGGATTTGAAGGGTCAAATTGAAGAGCAGAAGGGAAGATGCCAGAGTGCAGAGCAGAATCTGCAACAGGCGGGCAACGATTTGGAACAGGCGCGGAAAGAGCTGCAGAGGGTGCGAGCGGAAGCATTTGAGAGGCTCGCTGGCGCCGGAGGACAGGGCGTTCCGAGTGCACCTCCACCACAGTATAATGCCTAGTGTTGTAAAGGCCTACAAAGGACAGTACGACCATGTTTTGGGCGATCTAGGGTATGTCATTCCTGAGAATGAATACTATATATTCTAGCAACTCTTGTCTGTTACCACCAATGCAGAGATTGGAAAGGCTCAATCACTGCTCACGGCTGATAGTGTTGACAATTGGTGATGTGTAACCTTAGGTTTCTCATACAAGATCGGCGCATTCGACCCCGCGCCCAGACTTCAGACTCGGACTGAAAGTGGCCCCGAGGGGCTCGTGCGGGCTTGCGAAGATACGCGGGACCATCGAGGGCGGAGTCTAGTAGCTGCTGCGGCGACGGCAAATTGGAGGAAATGGTAGAGCGATACGATGCTCAGCGAAAGGTGTTATTGTCAGCACGGCTGGTCCGCAGTGGACTAGGCATTGCACGTGTAGCCGATGTGATAGGACGTGGTAGAATGGCGGGCAGCTCGAAACAACTTGATCAGGCTGTGACTCACACACACCGACATCTCAGTACGGCGGCATAGCGGCAGATGAAGAGTTTAGTGAGGTGTCGTGTGGTGAGGAAGAAAGCGTATGAGTGCGTGCATATGGCTGTTGTCGCTGTCGTTGGGCGAAATGTGGGCTCGTCGTGATGTGACCAATGCGGCTTAGCGCCCATGCCCCGCTCTTGCCGCTCGAGAGCAAATTCATCAGTGCGTGGCTCCTGCAAGTTTTCCCTTCTGTTTCTAATCACCGCTGCTCCCTCAAGCGCCTTTGACAGGTATACATATCCTCACCGCCGCCTGCTCCCCCGCGACGCCTACTAACATCGCCTGCAGGCACAATTCAACTCGGGGACTTCGTTTGCCAACTCAGTGGCGGCGGGGTACGATTCAAACTCTTTCCTCTAAGGACATTACCACTACAACACCGCCAAGATGGTCAAGTAAGTCATTCCGCGACGGAGAAGATGCTGGGACAGTGGACTCGACACGCTCGAGGGTTGGATACCACAGTGTTCCGCGGCGCCGCGGCGCAGGAGCAGCAAGAACAAGAGGAAACACAGTGGGCACAGTGCTGACGAAATGCGTCTACAGCTTCACCGTCGAGGAGATCCGTGGGCTCATGGATGACCCAAAGAACATCCGTAACATGTCCGTCATTGCCCACGTCGATCACGGAAAGTCCACCCTCACCGATTCGCTCGTCCAGCGTGCCGGTATTATTTCAGCCAAGAACGCCGGTTCTGCTCGATTCACAGATACCCGTGCCGATGAGCAGGAACGTGGTGTCACAATCAAGTCAACAGCTATCTCGCTGTATGGCTCCCTCTCCGATGTTGAGGATCTCAAGGACATCACCATCGCCACCGACAAGAGCGAGAAGAACGACTTCTTGATCAACTTGATCGATTCGCCAGGTCACGTTGATTTCTCATCTGAAGTCACTGCTGCTCTCCGTGTCACCGATGGTGCTCTCGTTGTCGTCGACACCATTGAAGGTGTGTGCGTGCAGACCGAGACTGTGCTCCGACAGGCTCTTGGTGAGCGTATCAAGCCAGTCGTCATCATCAACAAGGTCGACCGTGCGCTGCTCGAGCTGCAGCTCTCCAAGGAAGATCTGTACCAGAACTTCTCTCGTGTCATCGAGTCTGTTAACGTCGTTATCGCCACATACTTCGACAAGGCCCTCGGAGATGTCCAGGTCTACCCACAGAAGGGAACGATTGCCTTCGGTTCCGGTCTCCACGGCTGGGCCTTCACCATCCGTCAATTCGCCGTCAAGTACGCCAAGAAGTTTGGTGTTGACAAGAACAAGATGATGGACCGTCTTTGGGTGAGTACAGCGAATGATGCGCTCTCGCGGAGAACACGAAACTGACCATATTAAAGGGAGACTCTTTCTTCAACGCAAAGACCAAGAAGTGGACCAAGAGCCCAGAAGGCGCCGAGCGTGCCTTCAACCAGTTCTGTTTGGACCCAATCTTCAGAATCTTCGACTCCATCATGAACTTCAAGAAGGATGAGATCCCAAAGCTTCTCGAGAAGCTGGAGGTCAAGCTCGTTGGTGACGAGAAGGATCTTGAGGGCAAGGCCCTGCTCAAGGTCGTCATGCGCAAGTTCTTGCCTGCCGCTGATGCCCTCATGGAGATGATGATTCTCCACCTTCCATCTCCAGCAACCGCCCAGCGCTACCGTATGGAGACTCTCTACGAGGGTCCTCCAGATGATGCGTCTGCCATCGGTATCCGCGACTGTGACCCCAAGGGACCTCTCATGTTGTACGTTTCCAAGATGGTGCCGACCTCCGATAAGGGTCGTTTCTACGCTTTCGGCCGTGTCTTCTCTGGTACCGCCCGCTCTGGTCTCAAGGTCCGCATCCAAGGTCCAAACTACGTTCCAGGCAGCAAGTCCGACTTGTTCGTCAAGTCTATCCAGCGTACCATTCTCATGATGGGTCGCTACACTGACCCAATCGAGGATGTTCCAGCCGGTAACATTCTTGGTCTGGTCGGTATCGATCAGTTCTTGCTCAAGTCTGGTACTCTCACCACCGACGAGACCTCGCACAACCTCAAGGTTATGAAGTTCTCTGTCTCGCCTGTCGTGCAGCGATCCGTCGAGGTCAAGAACGCCAACGATCTGCCCAAGCTCGTCGAAGGTCTCAAGCGTCTGTCCAAGTCTGACCCATGTGTCTTGACTTTCATCTCCGAATCCGGTGAGCACGTTGTTGCTGGTGCCGGTGAGTTGCACTTGGAGATTTGCTTGAAGGATCTCGAGGAGGACCACGCTGGTGTGCCACTCCGCATCTCCGACCCAGTCGTCCAGTACCGTGAGACTGTTGGCGGTGATTCTTCCATGACTGCGCTCTCCAAGTCGCCCAACAAGCACAACCGTCTCTACGTCACTGCCACCCCAATGGCCGAGGAGGTCGCCAAGGACATTGAGTCAGGCAAGATTGGCCCACGTGACGATTTCAAGGCTCGTGCCCGTATCCTCGCCGATGACCACGGCTGGGACGTCACGGATGCCCGTAAGATTTGGTGCTTCGGTCCAGACACCAACGGCGCCAACTTGCTGGTTGACCAGACCAAGGCTGTGCAGTACTTGAACGAAATCAAGGATTCCGTCGTCTCTGGGTTCCAATGGGCCACCAAGGAGGGTCCAGTCGCCGAAGAGCCAATGCGAAACGTTCGCTTCAACATCATGGATGTCACCCTCCACACCGATGCCATCCACCGTGGTGGTGGTCAAATCATCCCAACCGCGCGTCGTGTGCTCTACGCCGCCACCCTCTTGGCCGACCCAGGTCTTCTCGAGCCAGTCTTCTTGGTCGAGATTCAAGTTCCAGAGCAGGCTATGGGTGGTATCTACGGTGTCCTCACCCGTAGGAGAGGTCACGTCTTCGAGGAGGCCCAGCGTCCTGGTACTCCTCTGTTCAACATCAAGGCCTACCTGCCTGTCAACGAGTCCTTCGGTTTCAACGCAGATCTCCGCTCCAACACCTCTGGCCAGGCTTTCCCACAATCCGTGTTCGACCACTGGCAGATCCTGCCTGGTGGATCCGCGCTCGACCCAACCTCGCAACCCGGAAAGATTGTCGAGGATATGCGAAAGCGCAAGGGTATCAAGCCTCAAGTTCCAGGCTACGAGAACTACTACGACAAGTTGTAAACAGCATGCCGATCAGAGTGCTGTGTGGTTTGGAATGGAGAATACCCCGCGGAGAGCGGTTACGAGCATTTGCGGGCGTCTTTGGCAGCGGCTGTGGATGCAGACTCGCTGTACATTGAGCATGCCGCTAGAGAAGTGATGAATAGATATGCTTCCAGTGATGAAATGATCAAAAACGGCTCGTGGAGAATGACTCTCATTTGTGTTTTCAGAGGTTGCTTTTGGTTGTCTTGTAGATAGAGAACCATGAAGCTTTTCACAAGAACACATTTCATTGATCCTCCTTTCGAGCATGTGATGTCCTGCCGCAAGTGGTGCTCAGTCAAATATTGCAATTGACAGGTTGAAAGGGGCCAGTAGGAGATGAGTGATCGCCCTCCCTTTCACCGCTTCCGGAAGCAACTCAGGGCTTGGCATGGAGCGTGACGCGACCTGGTGGTAAGTTCGGCAAGTTCAAAAGATTTCGGCCACGTTACAGACCGTTGACGATGGAAAGGAGCGCGAACACAAGAGGCACGACCGAATGTTTACGACAGCATACGATATAACGATAGTGCTTCCCACATATTAATGCTATGGGTCAACTCCGACCTCCGCGAGACTCGCTCGAATTGGCCAGCCTTGCCAGCAGTTCTCACGACGACGATAACGCCGGACGCGCCTCACTCGATTCTTCATCTTCGGGACTCCCTTCGAGCAGGAAACTATCCTTTAGCGATCCTGTCACGCCGCAGAACGGGAGTGCGAGGCCATTGAGCAATGGCCATGGCCGGACTTACTCGGCCAGCAGCGCATTCGATTTCAATAGCTCCCTGTTTCCTTTGACCGCGAGTGGTAACGGCTATACAAGCCTCGGAACGCCGAGCACACCTCATCTCGATCTCGGTGCAGCGCAGCCAGGGCTTGCAGGGCAGAGTTTGGAACGGAATAAGAGCTTGACATATTTGAACGGACTTTCACTCGTCGTGGGACTGATTATTGGAAGTGGCATCTTCAGCAGTCCTGCGAGTGTGAACAGCAATGCTGGCTCTTTCGGCGCTGCCTTGATCGTGTGGGTTGTAAGTGGGATTCTGGCCTGGACGGGAGCGAGCAGTTATGCAGAGCTAGGGGGTGCAATACCATTGAATGGCGGAGCACAGATTTATCTGAGCAAGATTTTTGGAGAATGGGCTGGTTTCCTGTTCACGTGGTGTGCTGTGGTTGTGCTCCGACCTGGCAGCGCGGCCATCATTGCGATCATCTTTGGGGAGTACATTGTACGAGCGATAATTGGGCCTGATGCGGCGGAAGCGAGTCCTTGGATCAACAAGGGCGTTGCATTGGTCGGCCTCATCATTGTCACATTCTTGAACTGTGTGAGTACGAAGCTGGGAACGAGGAGCGCGGACTTCTTCATGTTCTTCAAGTTTGCGGCACTGTTGGCTGTTACGGTTGCGGGAATCATTGTTGCGGCTACTGGACTGGCATACAACAAAGCGGCGTTGAGCACGGATTGGAAGACTAAGGGCTGGTTTGAAGGGACAAGCATGTCATCCTCGGAGTGGGCTGTTGCGCTTTATGCGGGTCTATGGGCGTATGATGGATGGGACAACACGAACTATGTGGTTGGAGAGATGATACATCCGAGTCGAGATCTGCCCAGAGTGGTGCATACCTCGTTTCCGGTTGTCATTATTTCGTACATTCTGGCGAATCTGGCGTACATCTTCGTCCTCCCCACGACAATCATCGACAAATCGAACACGATAGCCGTGGCATTTGGAGGCACAGTTCTGGGTCCTCTCGGATCTCTGCTCCTCGCTCTCGCAGTATCAGGATCATGCTTCGGAGCTTTGAACGCCACGACATTCACTGGAGGACGATTAGTCTACAGCGCAGGGAGAGAGGGATACCTACCGGAACTATTTGGCACCATCGGACTCAACGATGCCTCGCATCGAATGCGACTCCCGCGGCGAGGAGCAAGAGCCAAGAAGTTCACCAACTTCGTCGCCGATGAGCAAGGATTCTTCTTCACGCCTATCTACGCCATGGTCCTCAATGCAGCACTTACCGCAGTATACATCATCATTGGCGATTTCGAGACATTGACGACATTTTACGGCATAGCAAGTTACCTATTCTACTTCGCTACAGTCATCGGATTGATCGTGTTACGAGTGAAAGAGCCCGAGTTGGAGAGACCTTACAAATGTTGGATCACAACTCCAATCATCTTCTGCTGCGTAAGCTTGTTCTTAGTCAGTAGGGCTGTCTTTGCCAAGCCTCTGCAAGCGCTTGTCGTGGTCGGCTTCCTGATTGTGGGAATGCCACTATACTGGTGGCGAGTTGGGAGTAAGAAGAGAAGAAGCGGGAGGAGACATATTGACGACGGGGCAGGGTGGAAGTTTTGGAAGCGTTGGCGTGGAAGCAAATAGAGTTGAGAGCGATGAAAATACAAATTGTTGAACGTTAGCCTTCTTCCATTTCTATGTGAGTCGTGCATTCTTGGTCTTCTCCAATTCATCACACAAGGTCGTGGTCCTTCCGTCTTCAACCCCGTCCCCGCGGGTTACGCCAATTCACTCAGAGTCGGTCAGCTCCTCATCATCGGACACCAACGACTCAATCTCGATGTGAACTTCACTCCTCCAGCGCTCAACAGCAGGATCAATCGTTCCGTAACCTCCACGCTCTAGATCCCGTTCCTCCGCTCCCAGACGCAGTGTTCGAACCAAGGTGGCCCGGACTCCAGCCTCCTTGTTGAGTTCATCCACAAGTCTCTTCGTGTCGCTGCGACTCAGGTTGTAAGTCCGCTTTATCGGCTTACACAAGTTGCCCTCGTACTGGTTCACCTGTCCCATGGCATCGAAGAAATTGTTGTATGGTGCCAAGAGGCAGGGGGCCAGCCATTTCAACCCGGTGAGAAATGAGCACCCTGCTTTTCTCTTCCGGTTTCCTTCTACGATTTGGGCTTGGTCTTCGTGCAGGGTGGCGCTGGTTGAGGATTGTGGTGAGAGAAGAAGCTCTGTGGCTTCTGAGTGAGGTTGTGCCATCTTGGTTTTGCTCGGTTAAGGTTTAGTAGAGCTTTGTAGATCTTTTCTAGTGTTGTTGGCTTGATGGGGTTAAAGATGTCAGAGAAGAGATCAGATTTGAGAGGGAGGGAAGGTAACATATATGCAATTGAATTTTTTCTCTTCGATATGAGGCCACTATTCTGGCATTTGGTAACACACTCCGCTACCATGGGTCCGCCTCCACTGAGGACGAGAAGCTTACCACTTGCACGAGCGATGTCGCGCGCGGCCTCAAGTCTTAGACACGCATCTGGCACAACATCCATCGCAGCCATCTTCGCTGCATGCGAAGCTGAGCACAGTCCCAGAGCAGCTCCTCAAGTCATGCCGTGCAGCCTGGAACCCGCATTACTGTCCGCACATCGTTCCGCAGCTCTTCACACAGAGTAGGGCCTATTCTGGAAAGCCTTCTGTTCCGGATGCAACCTCGTGCAGTCTTCGTACGGACACTCATCACCATACACGCAGTCCTCGTAGTTACAGTAGGCATCTTGGCGGCTATAACAAGACTGGCATCTGGAATTTCCGTCGCAGACTATATCCTCGATGAAGCAAAGGCTGCACTTGGGCGTCGGACGAGGACCTTTGCGCTGCCGCTTTGTTGGTGGCGCTTTGAGCTCCCTCTTGCTCTGCTGGAGGTATGGCTCCAGTTGCGGAGTAGCACTCGGCTGAGCGTTGTTCGAGATGTAGGGGTAAGGAGGCAGATAGTTCGGCACTCCAAGGCTGGCGCTCATGGGGTATGGATTAGGTGGCCATGAGGCAGGCTCGACTTTGATCGCGTGACCGCTCGATGCTGCGTGATGATTCGATCTCGGTGCAGCAGGTCCTGGCGGCGGACCCGTCACCTTGCCTGTGCTCTGAGAAAGGATTCGATCGATGTTGCTCTGGGCCATGTTCTGCTGCTGCTCGAGTGACAGTCCGTAATCTGGGCCATGGTTCCTGCTGAGGAGGGCATCGATTCGCTCTTGATGCAATCTCTCGTTCTCTTCCTTGAGCTGGCGGATCTTCTCTCTGTGGCTCTATCAGTGACAGGCGCTTGCAGTGCCACTGACATCTGGCGCGAGTGCATGCGCAAGAGCATGTCAGCGGCGCTCAGCTCTCATAGTACTTACTGAAGACGCTTGTTCTCTTCCCACACGCTGATATATATCTTCTCGATGCTCGCATGAATTTCTTCTAGTCGACTTCGCACCCACTCCTCAGGGCGCGAGGCGCAGTCTGCCGCCAACGCTGCCAGTTCGATTGACAGCTGTCTCAGCCAGGGCTCCTGGTCTGTTGTCGTCGTCGCGGGTGCTTGCGCCATCTTGTCTGTTGGGAAAGACAGCGCTTCGATGATGACCGATCTGCTGGGAGTGAAGGGTGGGAGAAGTCGCAGCTGCAGGAAATCTCAAACGGTTTTGCACATGCGCGCGTCTTGTCTTACAGCCGTTATTCGTACATTGAAAAAGCCCTCATCAACCTGACCTTCACCAGATGTTTGCCATGGCTCCCATTGCCTCTGACGAGAAGTGCGCCTAGAAGGTTCGTTGCGTGCTCGCGCTGTTCGACCACAAACATCCTTCACTTCCTGCTCCCCTCGCGCCTACTCTCACAGCCCCTCACCCGCCATCGTCTGCTGATGAAAGCACATCATCCAACTTCCGCCCTCCTTACGCCAGACGCTACAGCAAAGCGCATCGAATTCGGCATCTCTAGTGTCTTTTGGATCGGCCGAAGCTCTCGTCGCCGTGGCTTGATAGCTGATGACCGCACCATCGGGTCCAACTGGCGTAACATCGACCTTCCGTAGTTTGAACCTTTTCCACGGCACAAAGGCAGGCGAGTGTAGAATATCTTGTACAGAAGGCTCTGTCTTGCTTGTGACTTTCAGGCCCATCGGGAATTGCATAATGGCATCTTTTGTCAAGTATGGGACAAGTGCAGCACCACTCGTCTGAAGTGCTATCCATGTGCTCTCTTCCAGGTTTAGGATCTGATCGTATAGTGAAGAAGACATTATGTTGGAGTTTGATGTGTGAATGTACAGTGGGATGTCAAGTTGAGAACTACAAAGCAAGCGTGAAGTGTTGCAACTGAAGTCAGACCAAGGCCAAGTTGGCAGGCGCCCCACCTCGGAAACGACGTCGGGCGCTGAGCGACTTTGATATGGCAGGCAAACCTGGTATATACTCCCTGGTCTTTTCAAGAACGACGTGACAGTCTCAACGATTTCGCATCGACGCACGGCTGCAGGATCTGTACGCTATTTGGGCATTCATCGAGCCGACACAGCATGAGATCGTCAAAATTGTAGACCTTCAATGGAGTTTACAATCACGCGCTCAACGCCTTGTTCGAAGGCGAGCTAATCTGCAGCACAAAGTAGTGTGTAGAAACATGCTCATCGATAATGTGAGCTCCATCATAACTTCGCAGGCGCCAATTCCATTTCTGCCTTCTTTGGTCCTGTGAATCCCCACATGTAGCCGGCAATCTTGCGCATCTGGACTTCCTCGGAGCCCTCCGTGATGCGATATCTTCTGTGATGCCTCCAAATGTGCTCGAACGGGTAATGGCGGCCTATTCCGAAGTGTCAGTAATCTCGTAAACGCTTTCGGGCAATGCGAGCTCACTGTAACCCCAACCTCCAAAAGTCTGAATAGCTCTATCCGCCGCCTGCGTGCACAATCGATTTCCCCAATAATTGCACATGCTGACCTTGTCGCTCAACTTTTGCTCAACCTCCTTGTGCTCCATTCTGTCCATTTCCCAAGCAGTCTTTCGAATTAGTAATCGGAGCATCTCACACTGTGTTGCCAGCTCGACAAGAGGGAATTGTATAGCCTGGTTTGAGGCGAGCGGTTTGCCGAATGGCTTTCGCTTGCCGGCGTATTCAATGGCCTGGTTGACGCAGTACACTGCCGCACCTAATGAGGAGGCAGCTTGCCGGATCCTGTTCTCGTGCACGAAGGCCTGTGCAATAGCCAGACCGCCGTCCAGAGGTCCGATGATCGACGACGCCGGTACGCGAACGTTTGTGAGTGAGACAGTCGCGTGATCAGTAGGCATGTTCAGAGTCCATTCATACGATTCCACTTTCAGGCCGGGACTATTGGAGGGCACGTTGAAGCATGTGATGCCTTTCGCGCTGCCATCCTTCCCACTTGTGCGAGCGAAGATGAAGCAGTTGGTCGCTTTGTGCATGCCGGTCTGCCACATCTTCCCGCCATTGATGACATAGCTGCCATCGGCTTGTTTAACAGCTCTTGTTGACATGAATGTAGCATCGCTACCATGTTCAGGTTCCGTGAGACCAAAGGTGATGCGCACCTTGCCAGCAAGGCGGCCCTCAATCAGCTCCTTCTTCTGTTGCTCATTGCCGAAATGTTGGACCATTATGATGTCTGGGAAGTTTCCGCAGACCGAATGCTCGTTCTGAAGATCATTGAAGAGGCCTAGGCCCTTAGCTGCCAGATGTTCGCGGATCACAGCCATCCAGAGATTCGAGCCTCTTCCCGAAGCTGTATTTTGACCTCCATATTGCTTGGGCAAGCTGAAGCGATAGAGCCCAGCCTTGTCTGCCCTCCGTGTTGCTTCCTTCAACAGCTGCTCCCACTCTTCCCGAGGTAGTCCTCCATTGTCCCAGTCGGTTCGCGCGTGTTCTCTACGATGATCGAAAAATCGGTTGTTGTCATCCTGCTCCTGCAATGGCTTGATTTCGCGTTCGATGAAGTCGTCGATTCGCGCGAGGTAGTCTACGAGTGCTGGAGGAAGATCAAAGTTCATCGTGACAAGTTGCAAAGAGAAGGCTGGTACGGAAGTGAAAGACTAGAAATGGTTGTGAGTTCGCTACTTACGCTGTATGGCTCCTTCCTTTATGAGAGTTTAATGTTGTACATTTTGCAGGAGTAAACACCTCGGGAAACCCTTCGAGGCGTGGCCGCGCTTGCGGGGCGAGCAAGCGTGGAGAGATGAGGCTTGGCGTACGACCACTGCATGGCGAGTCACTTCACCTTCACCCGACGTATCACTTGTATGAGACATCATTCTCGGTACAATACAGTGCGCAGACGCAATGCTAGCCGAGTCCTGGACGTGAGGGTACTCAACAACTGTGGCGAAGCAGTCATGGACCGGTTACTGCTCAAAGAGCTGGGTTGCACACACGCCCATTGATGTCGATCGACGTTAAGCATTTGACTTTGCTATGTTTCTGCGACCTCAAGTCCATCGCAGTCGTACTACTACGAGACAAAGTCGGAATGGGATGCCTCCCACAAAGTCTCCCTGGCCCGGAATGCCATATCTTCAGGCAAACCCTCTTCGTCCTTCACACCGGCATTACACTCTACCCAGCCTGCTGGTTTCAATATCTCGTACCCGATCTTGACATCGATTTCGCAGTATCGAAGTGTAACTCGTACCAACAGTTCCCAAAACTTCTTCCCGTTTTCCTCGATCTCCTCAAAGCCTTTGCCGTCGAGCCGTCTGCGGTCAAGTGGAACGTTCACAGAGGTCCAAAAATGAACTCCCGGCCTCCACATGAATTCGCCATTGTCATCGGTCTCCTCAGTCTTGGCCCACTCATCGTCTTTGACGGTCGTCGTGAGGTAGCAAAGCTCGTCAGTCAAGCGTGGATCATCGCAGGGAACGGTGTATAGTTGTTCCCTGCGGTGCCTTACCACTTGGTTCGGCCGCAGTATCTGATCCTTGCTTATGATGTTGACAATACGATGATCAACTACGTCGAAGTCACGACCATACGGCTCTCTCTCCAACCATGGCATAGGAATCCTCTCGAGCTCCCCTTGCCAGCCTTCTTCGTCCACATATGCGTCTGTGTGCACGTCCTCGTGAAATGGCTGGCGCTGCAGTAGTGCGTATCCATATTTTGAGGGCAACGCCGGCATCGTGATGTTTTCGTAGCGGAGCAATGCACCCAGAGCCACGGGAAAACAGTCGGCCGTGTCTGTCTCATTCGGTCGCACCACGAGGCTGTCTGGCTCAAAGCGATTGCGCAGTGCTTCCATCAAGTATCGACATTTCGAAAACCCACCCGTGACTTGGATGACTGTAGGCCGCTCCCCCCATGCAGTCTTTTCGATCTGTTCGATAATTTTCGCGATTACTTCATCGAACGCCTCGTGAAATTCCGTCCTCTTGAACTGGAAGGTCTTGTATTCACCTCCGATGCCTTCAATTGTGCAAGTCGTGTGATTCTGGTCGTTTCTGCTGAATTTCTGCTTTGCCTCCTCGATCGCAATCAGGACCCTCCGCTCGAATTCGCGAGGCTCAATATTGAGTTGACGCCTGGTATTTTCGTACCATTCAGTGCGCCGAAGCTTCAAAATTCTCAATAGTGCTTCATCGACCTTAAAGGAACCGCAGATCTCACCGCTGGATTGTCTCATGCACTGAAGCCGGCTGTCAACACCGAGTTTGCTTTGCAGCTCGTACAGAACGAAGTCGCCAGTCCCACAGCCAAGGTCGGCAACAAGGATGCTGTCACCTTCATAAAGTTGCCCTACTCGTACTATTTGTTTAGCAGCAGCGTCGATCAAGTATGCAAGAGCACATTGTGGTTCGTACGAAAGAACAGATACGCGCAGGCCGGCGTTCTTCGCCGCGGTCTGCATCCGCCTCTTTGCGTCCGGTGTCCACATTTGCGGAATGGTGATTCGGACATGCATGTTATTCAGTAGCTCTTCGAGTTGCTTTGGGTCATCTCTGTAGTGAACCTTGAGATCTGTCTTTCGAAGAGCCGACTTGGCATCTTCAACGATGGCGCGCAGATGTTCTTGAATGAGAAGATCCAGAGTTTTGTTTCCAGGCAGTTCGGCCAGAGTGTCCATGACGCGTTTCGTGATATCTGATGTTTCAGGTCCTTGGTAGAGGGGAAGTTTGGGGAAGTCGATGATTTTCAGATCACTTTTCATGGTCGCCTCGTTCTGCAGCTCGTGCCCGTGAACGAAGCGGCCATCTATCCACGTCGCCATCATGCGCACTTCGTATGTTTGTTCGTTGATCATGAGCGGCGCGGGAGCATTTCGCACACCGTCCCGAGACAGCACGTAAGCGACAACAAATTTCCATGTTCCCCAGTCAATGGCGAGGTCGATTTGGTCGTGGTAGGTCGTCGGACATTCGTTATCGGGCGGGATTTTGACGTTGCGCTTCCGCTTCGATGTTGTTTGATCGCGGTTGGTCGCTGGATATTCATTCTCGGACTGGGCGTTGATGTTGGCGTTGCGCTTTCGCTTCGGCCTTTGCGCTTTTGAAACCATGTTCAGATCGCTCTCGTTGTTTGATTCAAAGTGGCTGGATCAGTTGTTGTGGAGAAATTGTTGTGATGCAACACAGACACAAACAAAACTGTGGCTGATGGAGTAGTGGCGAATCAAGTGAAGCGCCGAAGGAAGAACGTCCAACCCTTTGAGCAACAAGTGAGTGTCGGTAGATAGCCGTGTGAGCTCTAAGCTGGAAATTCTCAAGGCGACGCTTCTCACGACTTACAAACACACTTTGACACAATCCACTGCACCACATGGCGCCTTCGACCACCAAGAAGCCTGATCTGCTTGATACAGCCACCGTTCTGCGGGCCATCCATAACGATCCAGTTGAGAATCGAGATGATCGCAACTCTCAGATGGACCTGCTCCGAGGACTGGTAAAGGAGAAGCAACCGCATCTGCAAGGAGATGAGCTTGAAGAGGCCACAGATCGGCTTCGGAAGAGGCTCATGACTAACTACAAAGGAAACGCCAAATGCACTGTGCCGCCAGCGAGATGGGGCAAACCGAGGTACTGGACACCGCCGCCCTTCAGTCAGCTATTTTGCGGTGGCTTCAACGTATTTCCGGAAACGTACCTGGCAAGACTAGGAATTGATTGGAAACCTGCAGATGACGAAGTCAAATCCGATGAGGAACATAAAGAAGACAATGGAGAAGAAATCGGGACTGCCATGGCGGAAGATCAATCCCAGCCCAATGCCTCCAGCTCCAAACACGTCGATGAACCATCATCTACTCAAGGCTCAACTATCCATGTTGGCTCGTCCCAGAAGCGCAAGGTAGACGAAGTTCAGTCGGACGCGGTAGCTCAACTGAGCGACGCACCACGCACGAAGCGTTTGCAGCTACAGGTGACACCTACATCTGGTGACACTGCAGTCTTGCGCACACAGTCGGATCCTCCGTTGCTGAGAAACTCCAACAGTACGCAAAACAGAAGACAGCCTGTCAAGAGCCAAGAACCAGCAGCGATAAGACCAGATACACAAGCAGCCGGATGTAATGCGACATCCCGCACAGTCAAAATCACAATTGGTCAGCGGCATGGTCCGGCAGGTCGCTCAGAAAAGGAGAGCAGGTCCATAGAGCAGGATGCAGTCCAGCGAACAACCCTGCAGCAGCCTATTGCCATTCCCGTCGAGAATGTCATTGTACCGCATAAAGACTGGGTAAAAGATCAAATGACGATTATCGAGGATAGCATATGGGAAGCCGCACTCGCGTATTCTCAGGCAAAAGGCAAGGACGCTAAGGCAGTGCCGAAGTTTGTTCGCACGCCGGAACCAGAGCTCGAATTGTTGTACGAGCACGTCTTCGGAACCAATTGGCAGGTCCGAATCGGCGACATAGAAGATCTTGGCCCACACCTCAAGCAGATCTATGTGACCATGGCACTGTTTGGCGCCGCCATCCATACGGCAGTATTGGCGTCAGATTCGTCGTGGGACTGTCGCGCGCAACTGGATGCTGATCTTGGTGCATACCGGCGATATTTCGAAGCTACTCTGAAGAACCGACTCGCGAATCCCGAGCGCTTCTTGAATGATGTTGCGTGTGTGCAGGCCTCTGATCGAGATTACCAGACGATTGTAGTTGCCAAACAGGCTCGCATACTCGCCGGCTCTGCTGCGATGACTATTCAACCTCATTTTCGGCAACTGACCCTCCGCACCGCCATCACTGAGGAATTCGAATTCCAGCATTGGATCCTGCATCTCGAAGAAGCATTCAGTGCCGCGATCACGCTCAAGCAGATCATCACGTCTTCGCATTTAGGTCCATTCGAGATCAGATGGCCGCGGTCCGGCGAGCCTGTCGATCCGGGCGCTCATAGGCTCAGATACAAGCCTGCTAATGGATCGGCGGAAGGTTTTACTACGACAGTAATGCATGGTATGTAACATCATTGTCGCAAGGGCAACATGGCTAAGTAGCAAAGCCTCGTCGGATAGACATGCTGACCATTGTTTCCAGGTGTTCTTCCAGGTGTTTGGAAGAAGGCAACAGATGGCAGTATGATAGCATTTGCCAAGGCCCTCGTGGTCCCAGTCGCAAGCAAAAAAGTCGGCCAATGATCGCAAAGGCGGTGAAATCGGCCATTGACCGCAAAGGTGACGAAGTCGACGCTGAATCTCTCCGGTGAGAGACGGCTACAGTCAAGATCTGCTTCTTTTCCTTAATATCTACAGTTTAGCCTGTACACTAGCAAAGCCTCAAACCCACTCGACGGGTTTCTTGAGCACTTGCAACAATCTATCCTCTCTACTACCTCTCTCCGGCTCATGCTGGTATTGCCACCTAGCTGTAAGTGGCAAACTCATCAAAATACTCTCTATCCGCGCCCCAGGCGTATTCAAACCAAAAGCCGTACCTCTGTCGTGCACGAGGTTGAATTCAACATAACGACCTCGTCGTAATTGCTGCCACTGCCTCTCTTTCTCTGTATATGGCATATCCTTCCTCTTCTGTATGATGGGTAAGTACGATGGCAGGAAAGCATTCAAGCAAGTCTGGCAAAAGGCGAAAAGTGATTCTTGGTCTTTCTCGGTCTCGTCCAAGTCGTCGAAGAAAATTCCTCCGATGCCGCGTGATTCGCCGCGATGTTTCACGTTGAAGTACTCGTCGCACCACTTCTTGAATCTGCTGTAGTAGTTCTTGTCGTGTGCGTCGCAAGCCTCCTTTATCGTTCGATGGAAGTGTATCGCGTCCTCGTCGAAGAGATAGGAAGGTGTCAAATCTGTTCCTCCTCCGAACCACCAGGCATTGGTCGTGCCATCGGCATTGGCCGTTTCGAAGTATCGGTAATTCAGATGTACAGTCGGCGCCATTGGATTGTGTGGATGCAGCACGAGACTCAAACCAGAGGCGAAGAACTCGAGGCTCTCGACATCGGGATCCAGAGCTTTGTGATTGACTCGCATCTTGGAGATTGCAGCTCGAGGAAGTGTGCCATAGACCACGCTAATGTTCACGCCCGCCTTTTCGAAGACATTGCCGTCTTGAAGCACGCAGGAAATGCCGCCTCCGCCATGTGGTCTTTCCCACTCATCCACGTGAAATTTGTTGCCATCCACCGCTTCCAATGCTCTTACGATTTCTTGTTGCTTTTGCTTGATGTACTGCTCCATACGCAGCCGCATGGGCGAGCTTTGGCTGACGCCGGACTCCCGCTTCAATAAGACATCTCGTTCGGCGATTGAGGGTGCATCGAGTTGTTGCCCGGAGCGAGGTTGCGGCGGTTGATCTTGCGCAGTTGCAGGAGCTTCCTTGTCGGCGGTGACCATGGAATAGATCAAGGACCCGATGAAGACGACGCCCACGGCTATGCGTGTCTTTGGGTACCACACCTGGTTGAGCTGCGGCACGCCCGATGCTGGTCCTGGCCGTCGTCCTTCGGAAACATATCGTCGACCCTGCGTTTGGAGCGCGTGGCGGTATGCGGCAGAGGGCCGGGCTCTTGAGCAAGATCTCAGTGCTGCTTCGAGCAGCGGCGGTCGAACAGGATTCATGATCGTGAGAGCATAGTAAAGGTACACAAAGCTGGAAGGAGGCCGATTTATTATAAGAGAGGGCGCAATGGATGACGGGTGTGAGACGATGTATAGTGAGATGCAGGAACACCGAGGATCGTTTTGCCGGGGGAGCTTGGACCACGTCTCTCCATGTGTTCCGCCATCAGTGGTGACACAAGAATTGAAAGACCCTGAACAGGACAAAGTGCTGTTATTGCCCAAGAAGCTGTAAGTCAAGGAAATATCGCTTTCTGTATGAGGTACAAAATCCGTCTGCTCCATCTGCTCTGGTTTTGTCGTCGCTCCCAAAACGCCAACGCAATGCCTGATTCTCGCCAGCGAAATACCATGCCTAATGCCCCGTACCCCTTCGCTGCCCAGCATGTATATCGTACCACAATCTCTTCGTCTCGTGTTACTCTAGTCTGCCATTTTCCAGCCAGGTAGCCACTTGAGATGCTTCCATTGCTGGTTTGAGCCCTCCATGCCGAAGCAGATGGCTCTGAAAAGCCAGAAAAGACCGATGACAACCACGTAGAGCACAGCGAAGATGCCCAGCTGAAGGCCCTTGTGCAGACTTCGCGTCGTCCAGTCTATGCAGAATCCGAATGTGAGGATGGCAAAGTACAGAGCCGGGTAGTAGTGATGCACGTAAGTCACACGCGCCATGGCGATGAAGGGCAAATAGTGCAGGAACCAGCCAATGGCGGGATAGATGCCCGCATACTGAAAATGGTCCAGGTCTGCCCAGGTGAGCTCATCGTAGCCACGCTGCCAGCGGATAGCGTACCAAGCGAACAGTGCAACAAAGAATGGGAGTGCGGCGGTGGACCCCCAGTAGACGAAGGGGTTTCCGAGCAGATAGTACTTGACGATGCTGTCGTCCCAGCCGCACATGCGGAGACCGACGTTAAGAAGAGGCCACTGCCAAGGCTTCGAAGCCAGGTCATCCTGCTTGTCTGGATCTGGAACCAGTGCATTGTTGGATGTCATCATGGCAACGTTGAGATGGACGAAGTCACGGAAGAAAGGAGATTTGTATGATCCTGGATCGCCCGGAGGAACTGCGGTCATGGTCAGTAAAACTCTCACATCTGATAATCTGGTACAACTTACGCCTCTCGTTGACGTGCGATTCCACGTTCCAATGCGTGTATGGGTCTCGCGGCTTGTTCTCCTTCACACAAGTCGTCTCAATCTGCTTAAAGCCCCACTGTGGCAGGTTGACGTTGCCAGCGCGAAGATAACAGCCGAGATCTCGGTGCTTGAGGCGGAAAGCAGTGGTCAAAGTGCGCAGCTTCGAGTAGTCGTAAGAAGCAGCATCGTTGACGACCTCGACAATCCAATGATCCTTGGTGTCACCAACTGTCAAGTTACCGTAGCAAGAAACCTCGTAATCAGCCTTTGTGACTGGTGCGGCGACCTGATGCGAGTGAAGATTGCGGCCTGTCTGCGCGTGAATCAAACGAATCTCAGCCTTATCTCCGACATATTGAATGGCACCCTCTGGATCGTAGGCAGGCTGGTTACGGTTCGGGTAGAAGAACCAGTCGTTGTTGGCATCCTTGTGATGGTAGCAGGTAATTTGCTGTTGCGTCGAGCCTTCTGGGTAGGTTTGGACGTGAGAGTGGAGCAGACCACCACCATAGCCCATGTTCTTCAACGTGACACGGGATCCCAGCGCAACCTCCAGAGGGCTGTCTTTTCCGACCTCAGTGCCCTTGAGATTCGCTTGGAACAAGGAGGACATTTGCGCGTCGCCAGGTCCGCTGTTTTCCAGGATGAGGAAGTGCAAGTAGAAAGAGAACATGTAGACGATCATTGGGATGACGATCAGCCCAATAACTCTGAAACCCACGTGAGCTGCGAGCTCAACCTTGGGCATTTTCAGGTCTCCGAATTTGTTCCACAGATCCTCGATGGTGTAGAGTCCGACGAGAGCGGTACCGAACATGCCGACCCACTTGACACTGCACACGCAACCGATGGACAGACCAGACATGGCCAGCCAGAAAGCCCATCCAACAGAGAAGGGATCGTGACGCTGGTTGTGGAATTTCGCCCATGTGAAGATCGTGGTGAAGGTGAAGAACAGAAGCATGCTGTCCAGCAAGATGAATCTGCTGATGGTCGTGTAGCTGTTCTCGAAGAGAACCATCATCGTCACGAGCCAAACGGTAGGCTTCTTGAAATGCAACTCTTTTGCCGTGAAGTATGCCAATGGGATGCACAGCGCGCCGAATGCCGCATTGAAGACGCGCATGAAAGTGTAGTCGAGCTCCTCTGGGTACTTTTCGCCGCTCTTAAATTCGAAAGATCCATTGTAGCCTGCCAGGTAGCCGGACAGTCCGACCAGCATCTTTCCAAGGGGAGGGTGCACATCGAAGTAGAACTCGCGCTTCAGGTAGTGCGAACCAAACTTGCCGAAATGTGCTTCGTCCCATGTCACGATGTTCGAGAGGCCAATCTTCCACATGCGCGTGAAGAAGGCCAGTGCTGTGAAGAGGATTGGTGCGATAAGGAATTCGTAGTCGTCAATCGTCTTGAGGATTGAGTTCGTCTGTATCCGCCCATGTCAGTATGTATTCCATCGCCAGCTTCGTCGTCTCTCGCAGAGCATTGAGCCGATCAGCGCCCGCGACAACTCCTCCAAATCCGAGCTGAAACACGAGTTTTCGTACCTGCTGCTTGGTCTTCTTATCCAGCTTGTCCTCGAGCTCTTTAGGCAGGTAGCCGCCATTCGACGGCGCGGCGACATTGCGCTTCCGCAGCTCCGCCTGGGTGTCGACACCCGTCGAAGAGGCATTGGTGTTGACGGCCATGATGCCGGGTGATGCGGAGGAGGTGGTCTGATGCTGCGGCGAGATCGCAGCCCCCTCGAAGAAGGGTGCAACGGGAGTGGAAAGGTGTGAAGAACGAGCGACTGGCGAGAAGTGAAGAATCGTCGAGGTGCGATGTTATCGTCGACACAGTGGAGAAAGGTCGACGCAAGCCCCTTCCGCTTGCTGCGTAGGTGTCCTCTCGAGCCGAATATTGACGATGGATTCGTACTGCTGGTGAATTAATAGCTGAGATTCGCGCAAGGGAAAGCGGCCTAAACCGTTTGTGGATGCTAGCGGAAAGGGATTCGCTCCGCAACCCACTTCTGTACCTGAGGAAACGTGGTCTATGCCCACCACGGATGGCGCTTGCGGATACGCGAGCTGAAGAACTGCCTTCAATGGGCGGCAATGGTCGACCGGACTGCAGTCCGCATGCGATATCTCACGCTGCTGTTGTAGTTCTCCAGGGCCGCAAAGTCAAACGCACGCGTAGTCTAGACTTTGAAACGAGGATCCCCGAGACATTCGCGTTCAAGGGTGTGGATGCACGGATACCAATTCGTGGCTTCATGTGAACGCCCAGCAATACAACTAAACTCCACCACTGTTCACCAGTATTCACCATCCATCAAATTAACAGCATAATGACAATGCCGTTCTCTTAGTCTGATACAAGCTCGTGAGCCTGTGACATTGCTGGCGCTGCATTTCGGCATCACTTGTTCACTCGGCACGAAGTGGTCGTACTATTCTATCAATTCTCGCCAGACGCGCGGATGCGGATGTCTTCATCACGTCTGCAAACTCGCCGCGCATGCCTATTGGCTTCCACAACCCTCAGATCCCGAAATGGATCGCCTACCTGTCTCAGTAAGAAAATTGCCGGAAGTGGAAGTTATGGGAGAAAGAATTCAAAAGAAGGGTCTCTAGCGACTGTCATGCTATAGCCTAAGTTAAAGCTCGAGCGGGGGGTATCTCTAATAACAACCAAAACCAAAAGTGTCGTCCAATGCATGACTGTGCTGCGCCATCATCCTGCTCGCAACTGAGGGGAGCGTCCGGCATTCCCGTGGCGTGCTAATCGCTGTGATTCATGTCCATGCATCCATGCAAATCATCAAGTCGTTCAAGGCCTGTGCTGCCAGAGCAAGCCAGATTCATGCAGATGCCAAATTCCCCTTGCGTCCCGAAAATCAAATAACGCCGTGCTGTGTCCAAGCAGAAAAAAAAAAGGAAAAGCCAGTCTGTGGTGAAGAAGCGAAGTCTGGTCGTGACCAATAGTCGCAGAAGCCGTGTCCAATCAAAGTGCTGGCAAGGGTAAAATCTCAAGTGACTCTTTCCGAAGCATATGCCGCATATGCCAACGTGGCGGCTCTAGTTCAAATATTGCTCGAACCAGTGTCTGTCGAACCAACCAACGTCGTTGAATGATTGCCAGAGCTTGCTGATCTTGTTGACATCCACGTTGCAGCAGTTCTGTGCAGAAGTCTTGTTGAACTCTTTGTTCTCCTTGAGAAATTTGACTTTCTCCTGGAAGATTAGACGCTTGATGAGTAGATAACGATCGCATTTCAGTCGTAGTGTAGACGCGACTGCGAGCTCCTGGGGATGGAGGTGGACGCGATCGGGATCTTGGCTTAGATCCTGATGATTCTTGTTTGTCCACTCAACGGAAAGTTTCCTGCTCATAGAGTCAAGCGACTCCTTGGGAGGACAGTAATCCACCACCTCGGTCCAGCTTTGGTCTTTGCGTTCGACCACTTTGCTTGGTGGTTGCCGAGTGCGGGGCTTGGGTGCAGCTGAAGCCTGGGACAGAGCAGCGAGAGTGTTGGTTGGTGTCGAAGTCTGCCTGATGTGTCGTTTTGTGGGTGGTTGCCTTCGGCTTTCGTCGCTAGCATTTGCTCGGGTTGGCCTGATGGGCGAGGCCACCTTTTCCGATCGCCTCTCGATGGTCTCCACTGCAGCTGGTGTGCTCTTCGCAACTCGCGATTTGCCCAGGCTCTCGAGGAGACGCTGTGTATGTGAGTCGCGATTCACAGGGCGCGAAGTGGGTGGCGGCAGTTGTCTTGCCTCGAGTTTGAGCCGTTTCATTTCCATCAGCTCGTCCAGACACTTCTGACGCCAGGCGTGCGGGTCGGCGTTGTATCGTTGCACGATGCCAATCACACCAGACGAGTTCTTGCGTGACCAGTGTTGATCCTTTCCTGAGATTGGGGTCTTTGGCGATGTGGCCGGCTCGCTTGCGACGGAAGCAGAGGAGTCGCGATCTGGTGTCGTCCTCGGCGTGGTATTGCTATGGAACAAAGGCTGGGCGTGTGTTGAATCGGATACAGGATAGAGCTGTTGGTCTTCCTGCGATGCTGCGTCCAACGCCGAAAGTGGTCGGAACGCTGGCGACTCTGGTGGCGAGCGTGGCTCGACCACGCGAACTGGTTGTGGCTCGTCGAAGCTATCGATCGTTGGCTCCTCTGGTGTGAGCAAGTGTGAACCCGTGCCCATTCTCTTCTTCTCTTGCTGCGGTTGTGATAATGCCATCGCTGGTCGTCGCGAATGCGGTTGTGCGAGTGTCGTAGCAGGCAGCAAGTGTGCCAACAGGCAGGCGACAGGCGGATTATGTATCAACGGAGTAATGCGCGTGGCGAAGTCCGTCGCGTCGTGAACTCTATGCTTGGCGTGTCGTTGTCCGTCTAAGTCCGTGACAGATGGAGGATCGCGCGGAGGGATGGATCGCGAGGGTGTGGGAGAGCTGCAGTACTTGTAGACTGCAGTGCTCGTCGTCGGGTAATGTAATCTGTCCTTAGTCGAAAGATCGGTTGTTGGTAAGCATTCAGCGGTACCCTCTCTAGGCTGCTGAATAGAGTGGAAGCTGAGCCACCGGGAGTCAGAAAGGCAACTATGGGTCAGAGCAGCATTTCAGGCTTCCGCAGCTGGTGACCGCAACGAGCGACAGATGACACAAACAAGGAAAGCGCAGGACCTAAGACAGGTCGGCAGGCAGGAGCCCATGATTGGAAATCCCAATGTCGCAGCCCGATTCCTTGTCATGTGCGCGCTTCGCCCTCGTCGGAAGAGAGGCGACGAAGGTGCCAGAAGGCTGGCGAGTCAATTGGCGAATCACCAACACCAACACCAGCCCACGCGCCCGCGATCGTCGTTCGTAGACATTGGCTGCCTAGGGTGTGCGAGTTGGGTAGCTCACGTCTGAGTCACCCTCCCACGCTGACGGTGGCGAAATGCGCCTGGCGGCTGTATCGAACCCTAAACCGTCGAAAGTCCGGGCGTATCCAGCGACGTCGTCAATGTGCAGGCCCGGGGCCTCATCAATTGTCAGCCGTCCGACCATGGCCGCGACGCGCTGGCATTGCGTCTCGTCGTCACCGCAGAACCTGCTGGCACATTGGGGTGTCGAGTGTCGAGTGCTGCGCCACACTGCGGCAGCCGGCTGCGCTGATAGGACCAAGCTGCCACGGCTGCGTCAAACAAGGAGCTCGCGGTCATCTGTTTGCCTGTTCCAATGGCTGCACACTCGCGAATGGTGAGGCACACCATCCTGCACCCTCACCGGCCGAGCACGCGCAGCAGGCGGCCGTAACGAGACAAAGAGCTCTGCGGTGGGTGACCCGCGCATAAGCGGTGGCATGCACCGTCTCATCTGCGCGCCGTCCTGCTCTCAAAGTATCGTCGTTTATGCGAGTTGTGCCGCGAGGGTACCTCGGTGGCAGACCCGCGTGCATTCCGCGTCAGATGAACGCCTGTTCACGGTGGACCGGCTGCTGGCAAACAGTCCATCTGCACCGTCGTGGGCTCGGGAGCTTGCCTCAGACGGCGAGAGAGCTGCTGCAGTGTGCGTCCAGCGCGAGCACAGGTGGGCGCATAAGCGGATGCCATTGAGCAGCAGCGGCCATGGTGCACAGCTGACACCCCTCCGTGTTGTCCATCGGGTCCCATGAGAGCCATTGGTGACCTCCGAGAGTGGGATGTCAATGGCGGCCTCCTCCAGTCACCGAGCCGGACGGCGGTCAGCTGGCTCAGTGTGCTCGCATGTGAAGGTGTTTGCGCTGGGCCGGACTGCCATTCGCCGGCAAACGCGACAAACGATAAAAGGGGCCACTGTGTTTGGGATGCATTGCCCGGTGTGCTGGTGTCTGCGACGGCCGCGCTGCCGGTGCTGGTTGGAGGATGAAAGTGTGTGCGCTGTCCTTGACTCAAATCGACGCGCCTTCCGATCGGTGCACGGTCGTGTGCCACTTGAGCCTCACGCGACCGGAGATCGACATCATCGTCATTCACATTCACTGCTCACGACCACACTCTCTCCTCTACACGCTGCGTGGGCATGAACTCAGCTCGGCATCACATGCTTGGTTGGTGAAGCCTCGCGATACAGCTCCATTGCAAAGCAAGGCGCTCTCTGTGCCGACGTGGGGACTGGGCAGCTACGGCGGAGCATCGGACAACGCAACACAGAGACCGCCTCGCACGGCGTCTGGGCATTATTGAGCGACAAATCAATGCCTACTGTGACCGCCTGTTTGAAGCAGCGTCAGAAGAGCGAGCCTTGCTGGGTCTTCCACGTCACGAATTGCCTGAACATTGACATCAGCAGGTGAGGATGAGAATGCCTGGCGGACGTCATTTCCAGTAGCGTCCTGCCCAGATATACAACATGGCGAGCTCAAACACCAGTCCACGAGAGTGGGTCACGAGCCTGATCAAGGCAATTCCTCCAGCAGATGTCAATGTCTCGCAAAGCCTGAATCCGCTCAGAGACCTGCCTGCACAAGGCAAGAACATCTTCCTGACGCTTTACGCCTTGTTCGAGAAAGAAGTCCTTCCAGCACTTGACCTCCTGGATCGCGGTCTCGTCACTCGTCTCAAACTTGATTCCCAAGCAGGGCAACAGGCACAAGTATCCTCTCTCTACATCGTACATTCAGCACAGCAGCAAAACACTCGCGTTTCTACTCACGACTACGTCAATAACTACGAAGTGCGATTGGAGGCGTGGAATTGCTCCTGTCCAGCTTTTGCATTCTCTGCCTTTCCCGCTGCTTCTTCAGAAACATCTGATCAGCCTTCTGCCCAGCAGGGCCAGTGGCTTGTGGGTGGTCTCACTCTCGGGGAGGATATACCAATATGTAAGCATTTGCTTGCCTGCGTTTTAATTGAGCATTGCAGCGCGCTCTCGCATTTCGTGCAGGAGAGGGAGGCTACGGTGGATGAGGTTGCAGGTTGGTCTGCCGGATGGGGGGACTGAAAGGCTGGTGGCACGTCGCATGGCTTGCCGATTGCATTCCTTGTTCAATGGTCTTCATGCACGGTGCATCTCGGATTAATGCAGGTGGCTGGGATGCATCGTAGAGGCACTCAGCAGGGGCGGCGCAATGCATGTCGCAGAGAGTCAATTTTGTAACGAACCTAGGCTGTGCAGCATTTGCACGGCGTTTCTATTCGTGAACCGTCATTCCGCGGCGAGCTGCATCACATTATCGTGGCTCGTCTTTCCGCAGTAATGTACATACTCAATACAATGTGATCGGCCATCTGCGGTATGCTGGTAGCGCGTGAGCTGCGCATTCCCAGACCGCAAACCTCCTGACGCCGTCGCTAATGCTCGGTATTGCGTTTATCGTGAATGTTTGGACATCTTCCTCATCCCTTCTTCTTGCCCTTGTCATCCTTCTTGGCCCCTTCCTTCGCGGAGTCATCTGTCTTCTCCGATGTGCCGTTGAGCATCAACTTCTCTTCCTTCTTCAGCTCCTTGTCCTTCTTGTCCTCATCTTTCTTCGCGTCCTCGTCTTCCTGTTGGCGCTTGTTTTGAATTTTGTTCTCGATGAGGTCGTGGAAGGCGGTAATGGCTCGTATCAGACTGGATAGGTAGATCGACATGAGCTGGTCGTTGGTCTTGATGCTCATGGCGCGAGCAAGTTCCGAGTTCTCAGTGTTTCCACCCGTCACTCCCACAGCACCATTCACAATGCCGTTGAGTGAGGGCAAGTCCTTGCCGGCCTCCTTGGGTGTGGAGAGATTGGGGAGCAGATTGAACACGTCTTGTAGGTTGCCAAGAATGGCGTGGTTGACAGGAAGGTCGCCATCGAGGACTTTCTGCAAGTATTTTCCGATGTCCTGTAACCGCAAATGGAGACCTTGCAACGATTGCAGCTGACTTGTTATCCGTGTGCTGAGCGTGCCCACAGCGACGTCGCGGATATCGCGTAGAAGGTGTTCGACGCCAATCTCTTCTGCCTCTTCTGCCTCGATCGTGCTCGGTGTGTGTACAAAGGTCTTCGATGTGGTTGTGCCGTCCTAGAGATAGTCAGCACTCAGGCCGCGTCAATCTTTGGCCCAACCTGATCCATCACTTACGTCCTTGATCTCTTCCACAGCGAAGTAGGCATCAGTCGGCACGCCCACTTCTTTCGGCTGCACGTCTATGATGACCAGAAGAGGATTGGCTGTGTATCGCTTGAACAACTCGTTGATCTCCAGATCACTGGCCCTCAGCTTCGGCCCAGAGTGATACCAGCCGATCAGCTTCTCCCGCGCGTTGACCTTTTTGAACATGTCGTTCATCGACTCGACATAGTTGTGGTCCAGAAACCATACTGAGGGATCTTTCTCATCTTCCTCGAATGGAACTATTTGTATGTGGTCAGATCATGGTCCTCCAACAGATGGCGCCACATGTTTGCTCACCAGCGAAACTATTCGATACTCTCACGCTCTTTCCATCGTTCTGACCGAGCAGCACTCCTACAACACGTTTCCGCGTGCCTTTTGCCGAGCGGCCATAATGATCTGCTGCCGAGAGGAGGACGAGAGGCGCTACGGACACAGTGCGGTTGACGAGTTGCAGCGTCTCCGCTGTGGTCGCTGGCATCGTTGACGACGAGTGGTACTATACGGTGGCGTGGTAGGTGTGTGGTTGTTTGGAGGATGGTACGTCGCGTGCTCTCGTGATGGCAGGTTGCGCAAGTGATTGTGTTGCGGCTAGTTGATGGGAGCTCCAGGCAGGTCGGTGGTTGCGCAAACAGACTTCCGTGCTGTCTGGGCCACCGTCTCTGTGCTGCTGACTTCATCCACCGCTGCGGACGTTACGGGACTTTAGTGGCAGTTGCTGCATATATCGCGATTTCTGTTCTCAGTGTTTGCATAACCTCGACCAATCTGGAGCTCAATGCCCTCTGAGCAACGCAAGCCCTGGGAGAGTGAAGCACTCTTTGACTCTGAAGTTGTACATCTAGATTGCATGTAGCGTACAGCATCAATGCCGTTTTGCGGAAGGCCATTGCTCAAGATGCGACAAAAAGGCACGTGTCGACGCGATGCTTGGCCGCGTAGGGCTTTCATCAAGCATCAGAGCCAATTTCTAGTCTACCTCCTACGTGCCATTCGTTTCGCTTCCTCGTGTTCGAAGCTGCGCAAGCTATAGTGTCGTTTGGCCTGCTGTAGGGAGTGCAGCTGCCGCTGTCAATGGGAATCCATGTCCGCTGCTGTGCTCGGTTTCAGGCGGGTTATCCTTCGCGGGGCACCAAAACCATCCCACTTTCACTTGAACAGCTGTGCACGCCATCGACCATTGAGCGTGACAACGAGACGAGCGCCGACTTCACGATATCCGAATCCCGTAAACGCCGCTCGATCGTCTAAATTCGCTGCACTCTTGCATTCCTTCCCACCGGCCCTCGCCAGTCGATTTTGTTCCAGTCACGCCTCTAGCACCCTCGTCAAGATGGCTTCCGATCGAGACATCCTTTCGGACCATGTCAAACCAATCAACTATGCCATATCGCTGACAGATTTGGCTGCTGGCGAGCCATGGACCTACCAAGGCAAAGTCGACATCGAAGTCGAAGTCAAGAAGTCCACAAAGTCCATCACACTCAACACCCATGAGCTCAAGGTGCACTCTGCCGAGCTGGTCACAGACTCAGGCAAGCACTCTTCAGCTGTCAAGGCTTCCGACATTTCCTACGATACGAAGCATCAGCGATGTACCTTCACATTCGATCAAGAGCTGGCACAATCACCAAGAGCGGTTCTCTCGATTGCGTTTGAAGGCGTAATGAACAATCACATGGCTGGGTTCTACAGATCAAAGTACAAGCCTACAGTGCCAGCATCGCAGGGTGTGGCAAGGGACTCGGAATGGCACTACATGTTTTCGACACAATTCGAGTCCAGCGACGCTCGCAGGGCATTCCCATGCTTCGACGAGCCAAACCTCAAGGCAACCTTCGACTTTGAAATTGAGATTCCTGAGGACTTGGTTGCGTTGAGCAACATGCCAGAGAAAGAGACTCGTAAGAGCAAGGATGGCCACAAGATTGTTAGCTTCGACAGAACACCTATCATGTCAACGTACCTCTTAGCGTGGGCAATGGGAAACTTCGAGTACATCGAAGACTTCACGAGGCGGAAGTACAATGGTAAGAGTCTGCCAGTCAGAGTATACACCACCAAAGGCCTGAAACAGCAGGGTCAGCTGGCTCTGGAGAGTGCACACCAAGTCGTGGACTACTTTTCGGAGATTTTCGAGATCGACTACCCGCTGCCGAAGGTAGACTTACTCGCGGTTCATGAATTTGTAAGTTCCGTCGTCTCTTGTTCACCTACCAGCGCACAGACCATCTGATCTACGCATCAGCCCATTATACGTCCTCCATTCCCACATTTCTACTGTCACATACTGACCAATGCTTCTAGTCACACGGTGCCATGGAGAATTGGGGCCTCATCACATACAGAACGACCGCGGTCCTCTTCGATGAAAAGAACTCGGATCAAAAATACCGAAACCGGGTTGTTTACGTCGTAGCTCACGAATTGGCCCACCAATGGTTCGGCAACCTCGTAACGATGGATTGGTGGTCAGAGCTCTGGTTGAACGAAGGTTTTGCGACTTTTGTAGGCTGGTATGCCGTCGACCATCTCCATCCTGACTGGAACGTGGACGCGCAATTCGTCACCGAAGGCATGCAAATGGCCTTCCAGCTGGACAGTCTGAGAACCAGTCACCCTATTGAAGTCCCGGTACGAAACGCGCTGGAAGTTGATCAGATCTTTGATCACATCAGCTATTTGAAGGGCAGCTCTGTCATTCGCATGCTTGCATCGCACCTGGGACACAAGACGTTCTTCAAAGGCGTGGCAGACTATCTCAAAGCTAACAAGTACTCAAATGCCACCACCAACGATCTCTGGTCAGCACTTAGCAAGGCCTCTGGGCAGGACGTCACGGGGTTCATGGATCCCTGGGTCCGTAAGATCGGCTTCCCTGTAGTCACTGTGGCGGAAGAGCCAGGTCAGATCAGCGTCCAACAATCGCGCTTCCTGTCAGCCGGCGATGTCAAGCCCGAGGAGGACACAACTACCTGGTGGATTCCGCTTGGGCTCAAGACTGGACCACAAGCCACGGATGCCAAGCGTGATGCATTGACTGCCAGAGAAGACACATATCGTGACATTGACACGAGCTTCTACAAGGTCAACGGAAATCAGACAGGCTTTTATCGCACAAACCTCCCTCCACCACGCCTGGTGGAGTTGTCAAAACATCTTGACAAGCTATCTATCCAAGATCGGATTGGTTTGGTGGGAGACGCAGGTGCCCTGGCTGTTTCTGGTCACGGAACGACCTCGGCCGTGCTGTCTTTCATCGAAGGCTTCCATGTAGAAACCAACTACCTTGTTTGGAGCGAGGTGCTGACCACCCTCGGGAAAATTCGACGCATTTTTGCTTCTGATGACGAAGTATCTCAAGGTCTTAGAGCGTACACCCTGAAGCTGGTGTCTGCCGCCACTGAAAAGATCGGCTGGACGTTTGCGCCCAACGACGACTTTCTCACTGGACAGCTGCGTGCTCTGCTCATCTCCTCTGCAGGCCTTGCAGGCCATGAATCCATTGTGGCAGAAGCCACAAAACAGTTCGACGCCTTCGTCGGCGGCGATGCCCAAGCCATTCACCCATCACTTAGAGCTGCTGTCTTCAAGATTGCGATCAAGAACCAAGGCGAACAGGCCTACAGAGCCGTGCAGAAAGAGTTCTTGAACACCAAGTCCATCGACGGCCGCGAAATTACCCTTGCATCCATGGGCTCGGTGCCGACCAAGGAGCTCGCCAACGATTACCTCAAATTCGCATTCGCTGGCAACGTGGCAATTCAGGATCTCCACACTGTCGGTGCATCGCTGGCGAACAACTCCAAAGTACGCAGCACTGTTTGGGAGTACATTAAGGCAGAGTGGCCTGCTATCCGTGAGAAGCTCGGCGGAAACATGGTCGTGCTGGAACGATTCCTCCGCATGTCTCTGCAGCGCTTTGCAGATGCGAAGGTTGAGCAGGACATTGCACAATTTTTCGGCGATAAAGACAACACCGGCTACGACCGAGGATTGGCAGTTGTCTCCGACACAATCAAGGGAAGTGCCCAATACAAGGAGCGCGATCTCGAGAACACGCGGGAATGGTTGAAGGCGCACAACTACATCAAGTAGGCATTGTGATCGCCACAAAGGTATCATGAAGGCGTTAGCCGGCGTAGTGCCACGGCTGTGTTTGTCAAATGATTCGGGAGAGATGGCGGCATTCCCGCTTCCCTGTTTCCCGGTCCTTCTGGCGGCACAATGTCGTTTGCACACATCTGGACGCTGGTGGGCTTAGAAGCCCTATTTGCACAGAAAAACAAGAGGCTGAATGCGAAGGCTGCGACTGCAGCTGGAAAGCGTCCAGCTCGTACAGTTAAGAGGAATCTCGAGCCTACGGCCCCTGTAGCTTCAAGATTGAAGCGTTGCATATCAAGGCAAGCCAGACTCCAGCTGATTCTCCTCGTCCCACCATTCTCGAAATTGCCTCAGCCTCTCCGTCCTCTCCCGAGCAAGTTTCTTGCCTGTCTCCGTCTTCATCATGCTCTCCAATTTCAGCAGCTTATCGTCAAAATGGTCTATGCTGCCTTGTAGTCCGCGATCCGAAGCCTTCACGGCACCGAAAGCAAATACCCTTCCAATCCCTACGGCCCCGATAGCGTCCAAACGATCCGCATCCTGAACAATCGCAAGTTCTGGATGTGAATTGATATGGGCCTTGACGAGCTGCGGTCGTTTTATCTCATTGCTGTACGACACATTCTCCACAATGAGAGCGATCTTTGCCACGTTCTTCGGTGGGCAACCATTCTTGCTGAGGAGAGCAGAAACTAGATGTTCTGCGTTCTCGCCCGGCTGGGCGTATTTCTTATCACCGACATCGTGGAGAAGGGCGCTGAGAATGCATGCTTGGTAGTCGTATTGCTTGGAAGGATTGGCTTTTATCTCTTCGGCGAGAATGTGTTTTGTGAGAGCCAGAACGCGTCGAATGTGGTTGAAATCGTGAGAAGCGTCGTAGCGACTCATGTATTCTTTGACATAGTCCCAGATGTTCTGGTATAGAGGAGTTGCCTCGAAGGCGTTTTCGGTCTCTACGCTTCCCATGACTGTAGTAGTCGTGTTCGTGAACAAATGGGAGTGAGCGAGCGTATGGAAGTGAAGTCAATCTGAAATGCCTGTCGTTCTAGGCTTCACCGCCAGTCATGCTCAGGTAATCTCACGCGTCGCGAACGTGCGGCGGTGTTCCCAAGGGAGCCATGGGTCACAGAGCTTGCTTTTAGCCGGATAGGCGACCGTGAAATGAAGTGAAGTCCAGGCATCCGAGTCTTGGCGTGACGCGCGAAGTTGGAAGTGGATGCATCGCCCCTCAAAGCACGCGACACTTCATGCGCCGGCTTCTACACCACACAATGTGTAGTCAGCGCCGAGCATCGACGACATCCGGGCGTGCTTGATAACAACAGCTTCTTCATCCCACCGCTGCGGCCCTTTCTGTCTCACCGCCGTTGCCCGCCGCGATGTTCTGCTTGCGGCAGTTCATCCCCGTCTTACTCTTTCTGTACGCAACCATCATTCGCAGCCAGTAGGCTACAACTAATTGTCATCATACAGACTGAACGCCTCACCGATCTACGCTGTTCTCTTCCTCTCGACCTACTTTATCATCCAGCGACCATGCGTTTATTGTAGCATTCTGCTCTTCGTCCTCGTCGGGTCCATCTTCGACTTCAGCAGCACCGATTGGTTTGAGCCCCGATGGCAAGCGAACACCAGCGCATTATCGGAGTCGGCGGCAGCATATCTCAGCGGCAATGCGACCCTCACCGAAGTCGTTTCTGAGACTGCCGGTCTCGTTGTTTCAGCCCTCAACGGGACAGGAGGCTCTCTCACGAGCGTCGCCCTGGACACTGTGAAAAGAAAAGTGGAAGGAACAGCCGCGCCGGCTTCCATTGCGAGCACACCCAACGGGATAAACGCATTCGAATGGATACGGAACATATTGGATAAGAGACACTTGCGTATACAATGTCTGGGCGTAGTAGTCCGGATATGAGGTCAATGCGCGGAATAGACGGACTAATGATTGCATGGACGGAGTCATTGTATGCATTTGCCTGGATATGGAGACAGACCTTTCGCTGCAGTGCGGATAATGCTGGCCGAAGCGGGCTCAGTTGGAGGTTTGAAGCATCATCTCCCTAAGAAGGTCTTATAGATTGCACAGCTTGACAGACTTCACAGTCACCTAATGACAGATACACCTTGGTGATTCTGCACAGAAGGTCATCTTTTCCGCTACTTCGCAAGACTTTGCTATCGTTTCCCCTTCAGAGCGCGCTCTCCGGCTACCCCAGTTCTACTGCTATTTAGCGACTCCGATCATAAAGTCCGAACGGACCAAGGACTACTCCAGCTCATCACGACTCCTTCAGCAACCTCCCTTTCCGGCGCCGAGTGCCGTGTTCAATGCTCTTCCCACACAAGCTTTGGTCCCAATCGGCAACCTCCCAGTCGCGCGCCATGCGTAGTTGCCATCATTCGGCGTCCATTCGAACTTCCATCTTGTCAATGCGCCGCATCCGACCAATTGCTGGCGCAAGTTCGAGCCATTGTCGCCAAGCCTGGAGTTGGGCACGTTCTTGCCACGAAGAGAGAAGTCTTCGAAGAGGAACTTGTAGGCGACGCTGCAGGTCACTTCGCCGGCGGCACGGGCTACGAGAAGTGGGTTGGTGTCGCTTTCTTGCGGCAAGACATTGCCAATATCCCTGACGAGATCGTTATTGGGACCTTCAGGAGCGCCGTGGGGCATGGCTCTGGTCGCGATGGCGAAGTATGCCAGAGAATAGATGAGGAAACGAGTCATGATGCTGATTGGTTGCTGAGATTGAGGAATATAGGCTTTTCTGTGGTGTTATGATGCTGTGATGGGATATACTGCCGTGCGCTTGATTCAAGCCCTTATATGCTCGATGGGCATCGCACGTTACTATTCTTACTGCGTGATGGCTCTCCTTGAGGTGGCACATCCAACAACCAGCACGGCGAAGCACACTGCCATGATGTAGCACGGAATGTTGGACTTCAAGACACGACCAATCTCGTTCTGGACACACTGCCCACCTGGGGCTGATTTGTGGCTGGAGGAGCTGGTGTAACCTAAGGAACAGCTCTAGTCGGCAGCTCAATGAGGCAGACTGAAAGAAACCTATAAGTTGAGACTGAAGCGAACTCACCGGTGAGCATTGAACGGGTAGCCATGTATGCCGCACAAGACATCGCTAATGGTACCACATGGAAGGAAGCATCGGGGCTGTGCTCGACCAGTCGCAAGCTCGGAAGGGATAGCTTGTTGTTCCAAATATTCGATGCTCTCTCCATTGCAGCCGCATCGTCGCATCGATTCGGCATGATACAATCACCTTCGAGCAGAGAAGCTGTGCTAGATCTGGCTGACGACAGGACCTGGAGCAAGAAGATGTGGTATGCCCTTGCTTCTTGGCAATGATGAGTCAGCGAATGTGAAGACTTCAGGTGCACTTTCACAGAAGTAACATTTGCAGACTATTGTTCTCGATACCGTGACCCCTTCGGCGGCACAAATGCAAACAACTCACTCCGCTCTGCGAAGTTCACAATACCTTCATAGCCTCCTCGAACCGACTGATCCGCTTCAAGGACCTCTTCACTCAAGAACAAATTCAGATAATCCTCGAATTGGATCTTCCATGATATTCCTTCAGCCAGCTGCCTCTGTGCTCACCGTAAGCCATACGGCATGCACCGCATGCATCGCGAGCAATTACCTCGGCTTCGACCAAACAAGTCAGTTTCGTGCAAGTGGATGTCTGACATGTAGCTGACTGTACTCACTCAACAAATCCAAGACTCGCTTGGCTTCTCCCAACACGTCTCTGCTGCAGATATGCATAGATGCCAAGATATCTCGAAGACCTGGCTGCGATTTAGCTATGGTGAAAGCTCTGACTCTGGCCTTGTAAGGGTAGACGGTGGAGTAAGAGGCAAATACCGGGAGATGGGTATCTTTTGCCACGACGAGGACTTTCTTCGCGCCATCCGCGTGAATGTGGGCGCTGGTATCGACTTTGGTAGTGGAATCCTTTTGACACGCAACGACATGCAGCACACCTGCCTTCGACCAGGGCACCGGGTCGTTAAATTTCTCATTGAACAGAAATATGGTCCGCTTGCGATCGTTGTGTAAGAACGAGATTTGATTCTCGCCGACATCTGATTGTCTTACTTCGATGTCTTTCAACTCCGGTGACCATTGTCTTAGGAGCGCGGCCTGCATTGCATGTTAGCCGGCCCCTTCTACAATGGAGATTTGCAAACAGACGATGTCGCGTGCGTCCACGCTCGGATCATTGATGGCAGCAACATCGATGTACTTCCTACGAAGGCTAATAGATTCAGCGTGATCAGCTCCGCACAGCAAGCGCAACTCACGAGTCTTGCAAGATCATTAGTCCCAGTTCTCCTGTGCCATCTATGCCAATCTTCGAACATTAGCGAGGCGCACTGCCCGAGCGAGTAGGTCCATTTTACTCTGAAGGTCAGATCGATGTTGTCGAGAGCTATTTTGCAGCTGACTGAAGGCTTCAGAGGGGGCAGTTGGAAGGACTGCTTCATGTTGCGGATGTATCGCATGAGACAGTCAAGACAGATGGGATGCGGTGTGTCTAGGCGGGGTAGAGGCGCAGCTTAGAGTTGGAAATGCATGAAGACCGCCGAGCGTGGAACCTGAAGATCACTACAACACATCTATTGTCACTGGAAAGGGCCCCGGTTGTAGAGCCTTTCTTACCCACATGCATAGCTTCATTACTTCATGATTTCGCGAGGGAGACACAGAGAAGTTGCCCGAAAGGTGTGGTGTAGCCAATGTGTAATTGCTTGAGTGGAAGGGGATGAGGCAGAGGGCTCATCAAGGAGTGGAGAAGAAAAAGCGTTGTAGTGACTGTGAAGATCGAGATGAGTGAACAGATACCAAGCGTCAGCAGAATCTAAATGGTTCTTTGTACAGACTGTGTCCGCGTAGATACATGCATCCCAAACTCCCAAAAAGCGATGATTTCCATTGTCTAAAGTGCCCAAAGCCTTTCGAGGAACTCTACTGTCTAATACCGAGCTTCGTCCCTGTGACATTGACATAGCCTCCTGGGTTTTTCCCCTTCATGTAGCAATGACCTCGCTGGTTGATCGGGCCCGGGAAAGCCACATATCTACACCAAGACCTGTTCCATTTGCCTTCGCACTGCCCCATACAGTCATCAAAATCGTCCGCTTGCGTATGATTGAAGCCACCTTCGCCGTCGTTTCGGGTGTCTTTATTGCAGCGCACCTTGAAACGACCGGCTCGAACCATCTCATAGTCGATTCCAGGGCAAGTCTCCAGGTCTGCGCGTGTGTCCAGAGCGTTGGAGGTTTCAGATAAATCCACGGGAAGAGCGGAACCCGAGACCAGGAGAGAGCACGATAGTGCCGTGGCTAGGATGCTGGAAATGAAATGCATCTTCTCTGACTGGGTCGTTGGAGTGCAAAAGGATCAGCGATGTGGGTTGGTTATTGTGTTTGTAGTGAATGTTGCTGGAGACACTTCCACTATTGTGTGTTTTGGCGGGAACGAAGGTAATCTGATCAGGCTACCTTTATATTCCTGCAGAACAGCGTAAGTCACTTTTGCAAGGCTGTGGCACTTAAAGTTGGCCAGCCAGTCCAGTTAGCGCTGTGCATGCAACAATCTGCAGTTGCATTAGTCGAGTAGCCATCACAGTCAAAGGCCTAGATGCTCCGCTGAAGTCAGAGTGGAGAAACTGGGGCTGCCTGGTGCGGTGACTATACAGTGTCCGCCAAAAGCGCCGCCACCGGGCCGCCTCGAGTCTATGACCGGACGACTCGGGATGTTACGCCGCTGCTAAGAGTTTCCATGTGAGGAGAACAGCAAGGCTGCCCTTCCAGAGGCTGAGAGAAATCCCCACTGACACATTCTTCGCGTTCTCGACCTTCTTTGCAAAGGTAGTTGTCGATGCTTTCCCGACTCATTCCCGGATCTGATTCAGCCACCTTGAGCTTCGGTAGCATCACGAGGACATGTAAGTTAGGATGTTGTTCAGAGCTCTGTAATGTTCGGGATCTGTTTCTGAGTCAGTTGGTGCCATTTCGCGTGTTGCAGTCTACGATCCAAGCCTCTCCACGAGGCAACTCGTTGCCTTGCCGCCACGTGGCAAAGGTATCCTGGTTTGGACTGGAAGTGAGCGTTGAGACCACATATCTCGATCGTAGGCGAGACCTAGTCGGCCGAAATGTGACAACTGCTGCATGAGCCTGCGACACTGGAAAGATCTAGCAGAATCTTCCGAGGCCGCGAGCATGTGTTGCTCACCAGTCGAGATCTTGCAAGCCTAGATGGAATGTGTTTCGCACAAGGCTGCGCTAACGAAACCTCATCGCAGCCTTGTTCTCGAAATAGCCAATACAGATTCCTCGCCAGCCATGGTACCGCGTCCGTGTGCAGCAAAGCAGCATCGTTGTGCATCTACCGCCCCTCGGTAAGAGATCTAAGCTATATCATCGCCAAAGCCGAAAATCCATCGTCTCCAGGAAGGCATACATGTCCGTCGGGACAGATTCAGGCAACTTTCCAAGGAAGGCTATGCTCGTGCATCCTGCGAGGCTAATGCAGAGCCGCACGCCCAAGGCGATTCAATAGTTGTCGAGCGGAAGCATCAATACGAGAAGTCATGCGGCGGCTCTGCTGATCCAGCGCCAACACATCTCAAGCTCGACTTGAAGTGGCGAGCCCGGGATTCTGTCTTGAGTGTGCACAAGGCCTGGGGCAACGCGGAGGGCTGAATTGTCTCCTGCACGGTCGTGCTTTCCCTTGTTCTTTTTCTTCTTCGCTTCTTCGTGACCAGCTCCTGAGTCTCTTGCGGTTCCGTGCGGCCAGACAATCTGTAGGCTCTGATGCAACTAGGTAATCATGTCGTGTGGACTGCTCATGGAAAGAAGGCACAATCGGGAGCCCAGAGGTAGGTCGGGTATTAGTCATCAAATGCCAAGGATGTATGGACTCCCTGCTACAAGATTATTGGAGGCGTCGATGGGAATTCATATTCAATGGGATGGACGTAGTGGGTTGCGATGAAGACACTTCCATATTCGATTTACTCAACTTTTGTGGCACCTAGCGACTAAGCACTAATATTACAGCCTGAAACATTCCATATCGCGCGCGTAAGATATCGAAACTCTGCGGCACCCATGTGCAAGCAACCTCGATTACCTCCTTTTTGAAACAACGGAAAACATCGCCAGTACATTCAAAGGCTAAGATGCAAGCATGATGTGCAAGCCCGACCAGCAACGCCCGCTGTTAGGTAAAGAGCTGCCAATGATCGATGTATCAATGGTGACGGCATTGCTAGACAGCCTCGGATCAAAAAGCACAAGAGGGCCGAAAGATCCCCAAGGTAGCTTTGGTGTAGAAGCGAGCAGAACAAGCGAGCCAGTGTGGCAGCGTAGATGGACGATCGTATGGCAGCAAATCCTTGGTGTCAGGATCAGCCTTGGCGAAGGTTGTATGTCTCCGCAGATGTCAACAAATGTGAAAGAGCCTAGCGATAGCCTCCGTAAGATCCACGGCCGCCGAAGCCACGCTCACTCGGGAAAGGACGTGACAAGTCATGGCCGAAGCTGCCTTGGCCGAAAGCTCCATTGCCGCGGCTCATGAGGAGACCAGCTGGCGGGCCAGGACGGGTGGTGACAGCTGGGTTGCAGCAGAGCATCGCAACACGTGAGCCGTACTTGGAGCCGCGAAGGGAGACCATGTGCTTGCGGATCTGAGCGGCAACGATCTCGCGGCGCTGTGGCTCGGCGCTGCTCAGAATGTACTGGATGAGGTAGTTGCCGAACTGGTCGCCAGCAATGTCGATGAGAGGCATACGTGGGCGATCCGGGCGAGCCTCGCAGATGCGGTCAAGGTAGCGGTCGAGGAACTCGTTGCCGCCAATCTTGAGACACTTCTCGACGACCTTCGAAGCGAATTGATCCATGCTGTATTCGCTGGCGAAGCGAATGACGTGGTCGATAGCGCGAGTGCGGTCAGGAATGGCGCCGTGTTCGCAGATGTGCTGGATGCACCAGTTTCCAAATTGGCCATGAGCGACAACGTCAATGCTAGCCAGCACTTCGTTGATGCATGGACGCTTGTCTTCTTCCAGACAGTTCTCGAAGATGTTCTGGACCACGAGACTGCCGGTCTCGCCAAGAGCCACCTCGTGCCACATGCCACGTAGGGCTTCGTTGACATACTTCATGATCTGAGGTGGTGAGTCGCTCCAGCGGAGCTCGAAGAGCTTCTGCCAGACGTGACAGGCGTAGCGGTGGATCACTGTCTCGGGAATGCGGCGAAGGAGCTCGTGGACCATGATTGCCTTGTACTCCTCAGGAACGCAGTCGAAAGCCTTCTGAACGACGTGGCAGCCGAAAGCATCCATGCTGAGGTTGAGGGTATTGCCACGAATGGCCTGAGCGATCTGAATGACCTGCTCGGGCGTGCCGTGCTCGAAGCAGCGCTGAACAAGGAAGTTGCCGAAGCGGTTGACCATGAGTGGGTAGGCCTGGTCGATGATGGCTTGGACGATCTCAAACTTTGCCTCAGATGTGCCGACTTTGAGCTTCTGCTGCAGGAAGATGGAAGCCTGCTGGTCATTGCTGCAGACGATCTTATCGACGATATACTTCCAGTTGCAGCTCATGTTGCGCTCAAGAAGGCGACGGTAGTTGAGCGGCTCTGTGGTGTTCAGATATGATGGGCCATGAGACTGCTGTCCGTTCCACTGACCGCGACCGACGCCGAATTCAGCCGCTGTTGGGGAGAGTCTCGTACCGATGGGTTGCGGGTGGGCGATGCCACCGGCGCTGGGGCCGTATTGCGGCTGTGAGTATGAGACCGGAGTGATGGAAGGCATGTAGCCAGCACGGTTATTGTAACCAGGCTGTTGGCGTGAAAACGCCTGCATTGGCATGCCGTCAAAGCTAATTGAAGTCAGTCAGATGTCACAACATGCCTCGCGTGACAGTGGGAGACCTACGACTGGTGCTGCAAGCTGATGTTGCCATTCTCGAACGGAGTCGTAGCGCGACTGAAGTCAGTGGCCTGTGAAAGACCATTGACCGACGGCAGCATGCTGTGGCCGGGGATGTTGGCAGCAAGATGCTGTGCGGTTGGGAACGGGGAGCCAATGGCCTCCTCCATTGTGTGCTGGGCCAGACGTGACTGGGTGAGCTGTAGGTTCATCTGTGCCATACGCTCGTTGGCGAGATCAAGCTCGCGCTTCAGGCGGTAGACTTCGTTGTCAGCTTGCTCCTCGTCGGAGTTCTGGCCGGTTGGAGGCGTGTTGGAGTACGGGTCAGTATTGGTCGGCGAGGTGCTGCGGTTCTCGCTGTCCTCGACTTCGCGCTTCTGGCGGGAGTGCATCTCCTGGCGGGCCTTGACCTTGGCCATGAGCTCTGCAACGACAGCAGGCGAGTCGTGGTGAGCCATGTTGAACTGCTGGCGAGTCCGATTAGTAATGGAGAAGATGGAGGAAGATCAGACGAAATAGAGTGCGCGCACCTGTGGAGGAGGACCCCTGTTCGCGAAGCGCGATGTTGTTAGTGGCAACGGCATCGCGCTGGCCGTGCGCTTCAAGGCGAACTACAGACAAACATTAGTTAAAGTTTGACGCGTGCGTGAAGGGTCGCGCGAACCTGCTCGGGGGTGTTGCGAGCGTTCTCGTCAAAGATGGTGAAGGATGCGGACATCTTCTTGGTGGGAGAACCGGTCCACTCCATACTGGTGTATTCGATGAAGTTCAAGGGACCACTGAAGTGTCGCGCGACAAGTGTTGACACGACTCGACGCTTTAGGAGCGTGAAGCTGCTGCGCGACCCCCTTAAGATGTCGAAGACTTGCGCGTGCGACGGGCGCGCAAGAGTGTTGTTGATTGATGTTGGCGGAAGCTGGAGCGGCTTCGTTGTCGATGCCGATGTTGATGTCGTTGTCGCACAGGTGGTGGTGACCGCGACGGGGGAGCTGCTCAAATAAGGAAGGCGACAGCTGCGTCGATGCCAAGAGCGCCACAGTTTGCTGGGGTGAATGCGCCTGCCTGGCCGAGAAGGAGCGCCGATAGCGTGTTGAGGCTCACAGGTCTGCGGTGTACTAAGATGGTTTCGGTGTCGGTGTTGAAGCAGAAGTGGAAGTGCAAGGGCGGCACGAGGGAGAACGTGGAGGAGGGCAAGGGGTTGATGTAGGGCTGCGGAAGGCACCAGGGACAATATCACCTATCGACAATGAGGCAACTGCGACCGCCACAATAGGACTCGAGTCTATTGTGCAGTCGCGATCAATCTAGCGCCCTCATTTCCCCGAATATGACGGGTCTGCCTGTCTACTCACTTTTGACACTGGCGAGCTTTCTGAGACTGGAGACGGTCTGCCATTGACCGTGAATCATGCTGCTTGCTTCCGCAGTCCCTCAGGAAGATCTGACTCATCCGGCGGGTGTCCCGTGCAAAAGGCAAGATCCATATGTACCATGAGGCGCAAGAAGAGCTTCGGCCTTTGACATACCAGATTACTCCAGTCCAGCTTTATCCTCGTGTGGCCAGAAGTCGAATAGTCAACATCTTTAGAGCTCCGGCGCCAGTTTGACATGGCACTCATGAACTTCTCGTCATCTTGGGCATAACCAATCATGTTCATCAGAAGGTCAAAAACGAACTCGCTGCCTCGGAAGCGTTCTCGACAGCTCTCGAGTGTGCGCGTGAAGATATCCAGCTTCCGACTTTCTGTGGCCTCCAAATGCGTACCACGTACCGCAGCCAAATTGATCGCCTGAAGCAGTAGGGGAGGGCCCACCAACGGGACTATACTGACAGGTAACGAGTCCAGTAGTCGTGTTTGAATCAACTCTTTGATGCGTCGCATGATATCGGCGTTGGCATCTTCCAGTGCCTCTACGGACTCTTCAATAGTGTCTTCATCGATGAGTGATCTTGAAGCCGGTACCAGCTCGTGGATGAAGATGAGCTGACTTTGCAGCGCGAACACTGCCGACGCTTGGTATACGAAAAGCATGTTGGCGTAGATTGAGATCGCTTCATCGACATCGCTATCGTCCAGACTAATGGGGGACGGGAAGATTTGCAGGGCACTCTCTTGCCACCGTCCTAATTCTGCAACGGCTCGGTGTAAGTTGTTGATACTTGAGACCAGAGAGCGCGAAGCAGCTTCCAGTCGATCGTCTAAGCTCTCATGATGGTACACTAGAAGACATCTATTAGCAAAGCGAAACACTCAGAGATGCTGGAGTTGCAGAGATAGGGACAGGCATGACCAAAATCACCTCGCACTTACAAATACCGAGGGCTCCGCTCAGACCGGGCATCAGATGGCAAGTGAGGTTGACCAATTGCGCCAAACGAAGCTGAGTTTCGAGACTGTGCACGGGCGACACGCCTAGCTCTGAGTCGAAGTCAGCGGCAGAGAGTGCATATTCCTCCTTGAGTCGACCATGGGCATCCTCCCAAGTAGGATCGATCTCGACTTGCAATTTTCTCCGCAAACCCAGAGACAGTATTCTGTCGCGGAAGACAATTCCCCACCAAAGCCGCTTCAGTAACTTTGCTCCTTGGTTGTCACTGGTCTGGTACCGATAATACGACTCTGCCCGAGCCATTCTCGCAAAGCGTATTGCATGAGCGAGCCAGGACGAGTTGATGCGCAGCTGCATAGTGCTGGTCTCGTAGGTCAGAAGAAGACAGCTTTGCGCGTTGGAGATTGGGTCTCGATCTGCCTCGAAGTCGAAGACCAATTTTGCTTTGCGATACGATGCATTTCTCGCTTCGCGTCTGTTTTCGAAGCCCAAGGCGGACAGGAGACTGGCGTTCGCATACTATCGATTGTTAGAGGCAATGACAGACTTGGCAATTGGAGGAGCTCTTACACCGGATGCTGCGTATATCATAGCGCGGACGAGCAGCAAAGAAAATGTCCCCAGCACAAACTCATCTCCATGCCACCGAGACCAGAAAAGCTCTTGGGGCACAATGGGTAAATTCGGATGAACGAATTTGAAGTATAGCAACATGAGCTCCCGGAAGACTCCTTTCTGAGGCAAATCGAGGCAGCCCTGTTCGCGCAGGAAGGTAAGATCATCTTTGCAGAGGTGTGCGAAGGTGGCGAAGGCACCAGGATGTGGTGATGGTGGAGCATTGGCACTGAAGCTGTGGGAAGCTGCCAATGGCATACTTGAGCTATTGCCAGTGAATGTGAAGACATCGTCAAGATCAAGCATATGATTATAGTCGAAGGACTCCACTGTCATGGGACCAGTGCTGTCTCTGTCATCTGAAGGGCTTCGTGCAAATGGGCCCAGGACTTCCATGGCACCATGCGCAGGTGAAGCCTGAGCGACCGAGACTGGTGGGCTGCGTCTTCGGGCATGCTCGGATAATAGGGACTCTCGTCTACGGGTGATATGAGTACTGCTCAATCGCGAAACTATTCGGTTCGTACCTGTTCTTGCGCTTCCGCAGCACGCAGGAAGCGCGATAGGTTACGCAATTGCTGCATGGTGATCCAATGTCCTCGACATTGCAGCGTAGCTTGCGTACGTGGCAGTTCTCGCACACCTTGCGAGATCTCCTTTGCTTGGCCTTGCTGTCCATGGCCTAGACGGTGCAGTATGTGCCATCTTTACTGTTCTGCTGACTTCCGGCTGGAGAGCTGGCAAGCCGAGGGCCCCTCACGGCGAGTGGCCACATTTGTGTGAGATCCGCCACAGATCTCAGAGCCTCCTATTCCTGAGCTTCAGATGCAGCAGGGTGGTGATACCGCCGGACTGCAAGGGTGCCAGCTAGGTCCCGCACGCGACACCTGTGAGGAATTCATGTTGTTCGTGTCTCGCCAGCTCAGCAAATTTGTCGTCCTGATTTCGTTGCGCGGCACTTTCCAGTCCGCAGGAGTTGCCGTGAGCACGCACCCGCCAAGCGAGCAACTGACTTCACGCGTTGACGCGTCGTTGACTGAACTTCAAACTATCACCATTTCTCACTGTTCTTGCCTAATGCATCTCTTCTGTATCTTGGCTATTGCTATTTCGATATCGCATGCAGATGCATCCCGAGTACACCAGATGCAGCTGTCACCGAGCAAGAGGAGAGTCCAGACGTAGCAGAGTACCCACCGCGGGACAACATGCGATGGGATGGACCAGAGTCGCCCATGGTATCTGTGCTACATACCAGAACCGGAGAGTGATTTCGAGGACGACTCGCATAATGCATGATCAACCTTGCAACCACAATTGCGTCTTAGAATCAGTGCTACTACGCTGGGCACTATTACTGCGATGTCAGCCAGATCTTCCCCAGGCCTTGCAGTTGTGCCTGCAAGATTCAGCGAGTGTAAAAGTGTCGCCTCCCACTCACTCCTCGCATCTATTCACATCACAGTGCATGCCCATGTCCATGCTCAGGTAATTGTGATCACATTGAACTCCTTCAACATTTTCACGCTGAGCAAACTGCCTCACTTTCCACGGCACAAATTGGAACTCATTCTTCCATTGTGCATCCAAGCACTCTCTCACCACATCCTTCCACACTTTCAACAACATTGACTTCTACCCCATTCCGACCCATCCCTACCTTACTTACTTAAGCAGATACCACATCACTGCGGCGCCGCTGCCATGGCTTCAGTGGCCGCTTCGCCATCGCCTTACGATGCCCTGGGCAAGCGTAAACGTTCTCAAAGTGTCGAGTCTTGCGGCACTGACGACGACAAAAGCGGATCGCCGCTTCCCGAAGGCGCTAATAAGCACGACAGCAACAGCGACACAGACTCGGAACAAGAAGCTTCCGAAGGCGACAACGCCGACGATGAGAACTTGTTCGTTGACGATAACGAACATTTCGACGAGAATGACATGTCCTTAGAGGATGAGCTCGATCCAGATGCGATCTATTGTGAAGCAAAGGAAGCATACCCCAAGCTGCCTGCCTATGATCCAGTCTTTTCGGAAATCGAAAATGGACTCACAGGCATCGTTGAGCACATTATCGACCTCGTGGGACGCTTTCCCTGCAAGAGCACTTACGTGAAAAACTTCCGAGCCAAAGCAGAAGAGCTGCGGGCGGTTCCACGACCCCAGCCGATGCGGATAGCTCTGCTTGGTGATACGGGAGCTGGTATGCTTGTCCGGACACCAAGTGCCTCGGCGTTGCTGACAGTCACAGGGAAAAGCTCACTTCTGAATTCAATCGTGGATGTGCCGAACATCGCCAAAGCCGTATGTCTCATGGTTCAAGACAAGCTGCCACGTAATCCCATAAACTAACGAATCCTACGCAGATATCTTCTGGCGAAAGTTGTACGGCGACTGCTATGGAGTACTGCAGCTCTATCGATGGACAGCGCGAGGATTTCGCAGCTGAGATCACGTACTACGACGAGGAGACAGCCAAGGCATTGCTCCGAGAACACCTTGCACATTATAGACATAACGCGGAGGTCCAGGCCGACTGGGATGACGACACACGGCAGCTCTACAAGCGTCGTGCAGACACGGCAGTGAAGACTCTTCACGCCCTCTTCTGTGACAAAGAAGAAATGTCATCTCTACAAAGCGCAGAAGAAATGCTCGGTCAGTCTATCGCGGATTCCGGTAAGGTTGCTCGAAAGCTGCAGAAGTGGTGCAAGGAGCTGTTCGTGCAGATGGACTTGAACACTATGCGGACGGTCCGCCGAGAGACAAGCTCAGCACGAGCGTTTCGAGAAGCAGTTGACCCCCTTCTCCAGGCCACATCTTGTCCAACTCAGCCAAACCTGTGGCCTCTAGTCATGTTTGTGCGAGTTGGAATCCGGAGGTCTCGGGTTTTAAAATATGCTTCGATTGCAGATCTACCGGGTATGTTCGCATTACTCATTCGCCGTACGTTTCGATTGCTGACTATGCGCCTAGGCATCAGCGACACCAACGCAGTCAAGGTCAATGCTGCAAATGCTTATATCCGCCAATGCGATGGCCTGTGGATAGTAGCCCCCATCGGACGTGCTGTGAACAGTACTACCGTGGATAGCCTGTACGCCAAGTACGGAGAACGCTTTCAGGACAACATTGCTATTATCTGCACCCGGGCCGAGGACGAGATCAATTCAAACCTTGCAGAACATTTCGAAAACGAGAAGCGAACCACTGCTGCTTACGACAAGTCTGCGCAAAAGTGCCGGGATCTGCAGTCTCAATTGAGCAAGGCAAAGCGCGGGCTGCAAGGGAGGGAACGAGGAGCACCCACGAAGGAGCGTAAGCAGAAGATCCGAGCAGTCCAGAAAGCGATCAAGAACATTGAGAAACAGAAAGACAAGGCCGACCAGGACAGACTTTGCAATCTCGTGGAAGTTCGAAACAGATTCGTCAGTTCAGGTCTGGAACGTGAGCTGAAAGGTCACCTGCCGCAGGGCAAGAAGCCGACGATCTTTTGTGTTTCGAACGCACACTACAGCTCGTTCAAGGGTGTGGCAGAGACGGCAACAAAGTTTCAGCTCTCGGCCAAACAAACGGGCATACCAGCCCTTCGAAAACATGTTCTCGCACTGGCAGCGCCGGCGCTTCTCACAGCGCTGGAAGACTATGTCCAACATCATTTCCTAGTATTCCTGAAAGGCGTACAGCTTTGGGTAATCCGGAAGAATGTCCAAGGCGCCGAGGCTCTGCTGGATCTTGTGAGGCAGCCGCAAAAGTCGCTGCCGACCAGATTCAACGTATATCGGAAAGAATGTCACGATCTCGTGGCAGGCAAGCTGCTAACCCAGTCTACTGATAAAATCGAAGGGTTCGTCTCGGAAGCAGGCACCAAATGGACTGAGAAGATCCATCGATTCCACTGGAGCACTTTAAGGGCTTTCATCAGGAACTCAGGCAGCCACTCGACCTCAACCTGCCCCAGAACATCGTGGAACATGGAGTTCTGGGGCAAAGCGCCTTTCTCACTCATCACTGGCTGGAACAATATCAAGAAGCTTCAATCGAAGGCGATCACGAAGCAGGTCGATTCGATCGTGGAAGAGCTGAGTTCGATGGAACCAGCACTAAGGAGTCAACCGGCTGTCACCAATCTGGAAATGGACAGCTTCTACGAACTGCTCAAAGGCCACATCGCCGGTGTCAAGAACGCACGCAGAGATCATCAAGCGGTTTTCGGAAAGGAGCTTGAGTAAGTTGATACCAGCAGCAATGGAGTCACTGAGCTAACGTTACCAGAAATATCAGAATGGACGCTTCGGGATCCGAAAGCCCGACTCACCACTTTGTCATTGCGATGCAGCCTGTCTACACGCAACTGAAGGCAGATAAAGGTATGTGCACTCTTCACTTCAAAAAGCGTATTCACTAACAGTGTCCTAGGCAACGGTTACGTGAAGCGTCAGGAAAAAGTCATGTATGACTACCTGACGCAGAAGGGCGAAGCATGTCCTTTCGACGTTGCTTTCGAAGCGATCGCTTCCGCTATCGAGAGCCAGATGGAGCAGCTCAGTGAGCAGCTCGAGAAGCAGATTTCAACGATACTTGAGGAGATCTGGGCTCATTTCGACGGCATGATCGATCCGGACGAGCAAGACCCAGGCGAACAGCCACTGCGCGACGAGCTCAGGGGTTTCCTTGAGCAAGCAGTCCCAGCTTTCGAGGCGTTTCGAGAAGGACTAAGCAGAATCAATCAGAAGAAGAAGACGAGCGTGAAGACCGAGGAGGTCGATGAGGAGTAGTGTGACATGCAGTGGATACCCGGGCATTCGTTGACTTTGTGTGCACGGGGGAAGAGCAGCATTGTTTATGTGAGAGGTCTTTCATCAGCCTCAGTGCAGTCAGTAGCAATACAATTCAAGCAATATCAACAGCTCTTGTCCCAGAGTCGAAACATCTTCCGGAGCTGAGTGATGCGGCCTCGGAACTTGTATTCAACTCGTATCAACGGGCACCGAAGTCAGTGGGCGGGCATAGGTCGCACAAGTGCGGTTGAGCAACAATAATGCGCCACGTTTTGATATTGGAGCGAAAACATGACAAGATGCAAGGACAGCCTGGAGAGGAGACGTAGTCGGCCTTGCTTGCAAATCATTGTTTGCGAGCACGAGGTACTTCTGGAACCATCAATGGTCTTGGAGACATTGCAAATTCTTCACTCAGAATCACATCTTGAAGTTCGAGAGCCAGACTCCTCAAATAATAGTCTAACCGGTTTTGGCAAACGACCTTACTTCTTCTGGCCAAGGCACAGCATCCATGCTTCGCCCTTCTTTTTGTCCAACTTCCCCCATGCTTTTCGCATTGAAGAGCTGACTGGCTGCTCTGTGCGAGGAGGCGGCAGGCTGCGTCTACGATGTGTCGTGGAGTTTCACCCTATCATCGCACAAGCAGATTCCATTGGTCATGGCCAGGCGATGGAGGACGTGTTGTCATCTGCTGCTCAGCGTCGGGGAATGGCCGGCAAAAGGTCCGAGGGGCTCCCGCGTCCGTCTCCCCGCCGACTGCGGTGAGAAGAGGAAGATTGATCGTTCAAGAACAACGACAAGCAGCAGCAGCAGGCAATGATGCAGTTCAGAGTAGCCAAGGCAGAATCTGGGGACACTAGGCGAGGTTATGTCTCGCAAGGCCGGGAGTGTTAGGGATCATGAGGGCGGATGCGGGCAGTCACGGATGACTGCAATGGAGGTCTGGGGCACGCCGCAGCGGATGAGGGCCACGGCTGAGGGCGCGGATCTCCGTCGTCGGCGCATCTGGCGTTCATGCGGTATATATAACACTCGTCCAGGGCGCGCGGTCGAGTGCCAGCATTATCGTCGTCAGCCGCAAAGAGCGTTTGTGATAGTAAGTACCTCCGCCAAGAGCGCATCGTCACAGCTCGGTCGACCGTGTTCAGTCTTGTCTGGCCCGAGCTTACTCTGCCCCACCAAACAGCCCACGTCCCTCGTCCATATATTTTCTCCCCAACTCAACCACTCACCACTGCTTCAACCAAACACTGTACGTCGCGCTGGATGCATTGATTGAAAGAGACACTGACACTGACTCTACGCAGCTTCCACAACACACACCACAACTCGAAACACCGCAAATATGGTCGTCAAGGTGCGTCATTGCAGAACGCGCGATAGCGGGACATGAAGAGAAGGAATATGGACGCATGCTCATACACACCGCAGGCAGGTATCAACGGATTCGGCAGAATCGGACGTATCGTCTTCCGCAATGCGTGAGTGACTTGCCAAAACAGCCTCGGTGCAAGGCAGGGCGGAAGCTGACATTGGAGCAGCATCCAGCACGGTGACGTTGAGGTCATTGCCGTCAACGACCCTTTCATTGAGCCACACTACGCTGTAAGTTGTCTTCGATGGAGAGCTGCTCGGCTATGAGCTGACATGTCCTCCAGGCGTACATGCTGAAGTACGACTCCACACACGGTATCTTCGATGGCAAGATCGAGGTCGACGGCAACCAGGGCCTGATCGTCAACGGCAAGAAGATCCGCTTCTACATGGAGAAGGACCCAGCTGCCATTCCATGGGGTGAGGCTGGCGCCGAGTACATCGTCGAATCCACTGGTGTCTTCACCACCACCGAGAAGGCCCAGGCACACATCAAGGGCGGCGCAAAGAAAGTCGTCATTTCCGCTCCATCTGCTGACGCGCCAATGTTCGTCATGGGCGTGAACAACACCGAGTACAAGTCCGACATTCCAGTCATCTCCAACGCTTCTTGCACAACCAACTGCTTGGCTCCTCTCGCCAAGGTCATCCACAACGAGTTCACCATGATCGAGGGTCTGATGACCACCATCCACTCCTACACTGCCACACAGAAGACCGTCGACGGTCCATCAGGCAAGGACTGGCGTGGAGGCCGTACCGCGGCCCAGAACATCATCCCATCTTCGACTGGTGCCGCTAAGGCTGTCGGCAAGGTCATTCCAGACTTGAACGGCAAGCTCACTGGCATGTCCATGCGTGTGCCAACTGCCAACGTCTCCGTTGTCGACTTGACCTGCCGCATCGAGAAGGGTGCCAGCTACGACGAGATCATTGCTGCCCTGAGGAAGGCTTCCGAGGGCGAGCTCAAGGGTAAGAAGCGGAACAACCACATTTTAACTTCAATGAATGCAGTCATGCTAACTACGCTCTCAAACAGGTGTCCTCGCAGTCACCGACGACGACGTTGTCTCCAGCGATCTCAACGGCAACATCAACAGCTCCATCGTCGACGTCAAGGCCGGTATCTCCCTCAACAAGAACTTCGTCAAGCTCGTCTCCTGGTACGACAACGAGTGGGGTTACTCCCGCCGTGTCATCGACCTTCTGGCATACATTGCCAAGGTCGACGGCAACGCTTAAGCAAAAGCCTCTTCCCGAAGATGGATCAAATTCTCGAAAAAAGCAAAAGCATGCCTACAGAGCAGACCACAGTAAGGAGTGTGGTGTACACCCTTTCTGTTGCCATGCAACGGCATTGCAATTTATGGATATGAACAGTAGCTAGCCACTAGCCAGCTAGATTATGAGCATGACAACTTTCAAACACAGACAAATGATAGTCTCGTGATGATTCGATCAAATCTTCGTCCTTTTTGCTGCCTCTGCTCCCTCCAAATGCCACTTGACTCTATCTCCTGTTCTGATACGAAGGCTTGAACATCCGCTTCGCCTTCTTCTTCATATCTTGTCTGGCAGCACCAGCTGAAATCCCAGCAGTCCCATTAGTCCCATTAACCGGATTCGGCGCATTCGTCGTCGTATTATACGTAGCATTCGCCGGCAGAACCGCAGACTGCATCGTCCCATTACCCTCTCGATAAGTACTCTCAGCCGGTCCAACACTCTTATACTGCTTCCAATGTTTCTTCCCAGTAGCAATATCTTTACCATTAATCGCTCGCTCAAACATTTCTAATGCGAGTACAGGCTGATAAAAGGGAACTTCATGTCCACTTTCATACACCCTCACAAAAGCGAAATTATCCGATTATTTGACTTGCCCGTGAACAATGTTATCCAAAGTCGTGACGTTTTCGTAGCCTGCGGAAGAGAAACCTGGTGCGTTGACCTTTTCGGCTATGACTTGGCCGCCGCTGGTAGCCGAGATTTGTTAGTGTTAGTGTATGTGGGTGGTTGTTATTGTGTAAGGAGAACGGGTATTCTCGGAGGATGAGGGAGATGTCTAGCTGGGGTGAGGTTTTAGGATGAACTTGCAGCCAGTTGCCTAGGAGGAGAGAAACATATATTAGTTATTGATTTGCTATGCAATGCGTGATGTTGGAAGAAAAGAGAAGCTTACAATTGTAATCTGCGTCTCCGGCGAATTGAACGACGTAGATGCCGTCTTCTACTAAGCTGCGGACTGCGGCGATCGTGCCTGATTCTCGATCATCGTCGCCTGTGCTACCAAAGGCATTGCCGACGGCACTGTTGGATTCGCTGAAGTTTACGAATGCGCCGATGGCTTGTTGTACTTTTGGCGTATTGAGGTAGTCCACGTAGTAAGAATATGGGAATGGATCGGGAGAAAGTTCTCGGATATCATATTCGTCGCGGTTGGCCACGTTGTCGAGAACGGATTCCACTTCGTTGGCACAGAAGGTATCGGCTGCGGAACAGATCTAGCGGGTGTCAATGACAAAAGTCGCTTCTAGGAGACTGTTATGATACCTCGTTGATGCCTCTGTTATAGCAATCCAGAGTCCGGTCATAGCAATTGCCAGGTCCGTACATTGCGTTGTACAACTGATTTTTGGTGGACTGGTTGTATGGATCATAATCATACGTGTTTCCGGGGAATACCGTGAAATTGTAGAAAGCAGCGTACTGTACCAGTGGGTCGTACCATCCTTTGGAAGAAGTCAGCCAAAGGCATACGAATAAAGCTTTATGCTGTGAGCGATGCGTACCATTTCCGATCAAGAGAGTCGACAGCTTGATGTGATGCGCTCCTGGCAACGAGGACTTCTCGATCAAGTCATTTTGAGATTCGATGTATGCGTTGAATATGGGTCCGTAATGTCCACCATATGATTCAGTTGCAAAATTGAACTCGTTCCTGGAATATTGCGGGAAGGCTCCCATGACTGGAAAAAGCACAAGAGGTATCAGTAAACACAATTTCCCCAAACGACACAACCTTTCCAAAGCAGAGTGCGCGCTCTCACTCGTTACCTAGGCTCGAGGCACAACTATCTTGCAGACACATTTTTGAGGTGCCGCAATACCTGACAAAGACTAGAATGTCCAGTGTTCTGGATGATAGATTCAAATCTCCAACGAAAAGGTACTCGACTTACATCCTTGCAATGTGCGCCACATGCTCGGTGCCGCATCAGCAGTTGAGTTGGCAGTGTTGGTCAAATTTGGGTAGCTGTAAGTTCCGCATGTATCTCCAGCAAAACCGAAGCAGGTCGCATTTGGCAGCTGGGCAACTTGTGATGATTTCGTCTCATATCCAGAAACGGGAGTCGAGTAGCTGAAGCCCACCTGAGCAGGATGGTCGATGAACAACATGTTCGAGGCATTGCTGACCATTTTTAGAAGTGATTGAGTATGACCTTGAGAACACTTACTTCCAGGCGTGCTCATTCGTATAGACATTTCCATCTGCATCCACACCGCATGGCCCCAGTTCCTGGAAGAGGCCAATCATGGAAGATGATCCTGGTCCTCCATTGATCCAGACTGTCAAGGGCGCTTCTTCTGGACTTCCGTTGCGGCTTTCGAAGAACCAGAAAAAGACATGCTGATCTTCGAAAACGTCGACATATCCTGAATAGCTTTTCACTCCTGGTGTCAATTCGCAAATGCCTTCAGGCACTTCCTTCCATCGGACTGGAATATCGAGGTATCCTGCTGTGGTCGTTAGATCTGTCGGAGGCGTTACGAATTGGGCACTCGCGGTGGCAGAGAAAAGCAGCCCAAGAATGCAAGCACTGGACAGCATGGTAGCCATTTCCTGATACTCCCTCGTCCACCAGACGGGGCAATGGAAACTACTTATCTACTCAACGTATGAAGCCCTACCTGCTACCTTCCACTTTTGTGCCTGCGATCAGAGCACGGGCACAGTCGTGACTGTAACGCAATGACGATGTTCTGCACTGTCTAACCGCATGTAGGAGATCGTCCCTCGAGTACAGTGGGCTTAATGGCGATAAGGATTTTAGTCACTCCGGCTGAATTTGAGTACGAGGTCGCCACGGTTTTGAAGTCCCCCGGGCGCGGCAAAGTATGGCGAGCCTGAAAAGCCATTGCACAGTGAGCTCTCAAGAGCCACTTGTGTCTCGAGCTCTGTCCTCAATGCTGTGCTGGTCCGGCACACAGTCAACATGTCTGAGAAGTGGCGCCAGAAGCGCATGTCTTGTCAATGCTTGACCAAGCTTGCCGTTGGCAGACCCACAAAACCTCGGGAACTGCGGCAATATCACGTGGAGATCCTCCTTGGGAACCAAAGTTAGCCCGACTACCTTCCCCTCTTTGCTCTTAACCTCCATTCTCCAGCGACAATATCCTACTAATTGACCCTTTTCAACAACATCAGCAAAGTGCCTTGAGTGCCGTGTGGATGTCGACTGCTTGAGCATTGGACGTCCACTGCGCTGGCCGCTGCTGCGACTTGGGCTGGTCCCAGCGACACCGAGCTGCGAGTGGAACGCGCGGCGCAGAGGATGTATCGCCAGCATGGCGGCGGTGCGGAAGCTGAACAGCAATATCAACTTGGTGACAATACAGGCATGACGCCCTTTGGCCAGACACAATTCGGCTCTACGATATATGATCACCAGAACTTGCACCCGACGACGGGGAATCATGCCAGAAGCTCGCCCAACGGTTTCGCGGGATCGACACAGGCTTCCAGCATGCACAGCGCATCACCAGGACGCGACAGCGTGTTCGGCTTCAAACCAATGGACCGGTCTTTGCCGTCCACAGACGTAACAGCAGAGAACCTGACACAGACCTTCGTAGACTTCATACTCTATTGCAATCCGAATTTCCCAACAGATGTGGACACGACCGCTCTCAGGTCCGGCTTTGAAGGTCCACCGAAGAGCGACGGGAAAGACTTCAACACTTGGGATCTGTTTGTGCTCATTCGAAAGCTCGAGCATAAGGAGATCAAAACATGGAACCAACTTGCACTGGACCTCGGTGTAGAAGCACCGGACACTTCAAAAGGCCAATCTGTGCAAAAGGTCCAGCAGTACACCGTGCGTCTGAAGCGATGGATGAGGGCCATGCATATTGATGCATTTTTCGAATACCTATTCGGAAAGCAACACCCGTACTTCACAGACCTACCTCCGCCGAATGACCCATACCCTGCCAGTGGCAGGGACGGTGTCGTTGCGGAGGAGGACTTGGCCGTCAGAGCACTCGATCCATCATTCAGACCCAAACGAGGACGACGCAGGAACTCCGAGACTGGCGCCAGTGATACTGCTGCGGCAGACTCCAGCAACAAGCAGCAATCCGACCCTTACTCTGCGGTTCCCTTCAGCGCTCACCCAGGTGGCCAACAAGATCCATGGGCCATAGCCTCTGCAGTGACGCCGCAGACCTTTGCGCCGTGGTCAGCAAAGCCTTCTGCCCCCCATGCAGCATCATCGAGTCTACGATGGCAGCTGGGACACTCGCAGACGCCGAGCACGCCGCACCCGTTCAGCGCCGTACCAACATCAATGTCTGCACATATCGATGCTGCATTTGAACAGGAACCGCGATCAGCAGTAACACCTTCAGCTCGCAAGCGAAGGAAGCACGGGCCTGCGGTGTCTAGTGCCTGGCCGTCGTCAAACGCGCCTGGAGCGAAACCACGAGGTCGTCCTCCAGCCAGTCGCAATGTGCAGGATGGGCCATTTGGAACCTTTCCTGTAGACCCCAACAACACGAGAGGAATAAGCCAACCTCAAGGATCACCTCCTGATCCAAGCACGAGACAACCGACCTCACAACCTCAATCGCCACAAGCATCGTCCTATGAATTTGTTCCACATCCTGGAAGTAGACCAGGACGGCTGTCTCTGCAAGTGCCGCCACATACAGGTGCTCCAGTCCGTCTAGCTACACCGCCTGCTTTGCAAGTGAACGGTGAAGCAAAAGAGCTGGAGACCAGAAGCGACTCGGACGACCCGCATCGTGCGTTCCTGGCTCAGGCATCTGCTGATATGCAGCTCGCGACAGAAAGATCTGCACGAACACCACTTATCGCAGACAGACCTGTTCCAGGCTTCTCATTTGAGGCACTGAAGCGCGTCTTGACTAGTGACCTCCTTCGTGCCGAAATACATGGCAGACGACAACGCTTCAGCGGTGATGAGGCCAAGCGCCTTGCGGACTCCATGCTAGATCGAATCAATGTGCCCAGGACAGAAGCTAACCCACGAGACGATATCGCCAGACTGAGCGCTGCCACATGGCTGGGTGTGGGTGACCAAGCGAATGTCCCATTAAATACTGCTGCCGGGCATGGGAAACGTGTTACAGTGACCCGCTTTCGCACAGACCACGAAGGGTACGAAGAGATAGTAACCGACGAGGGCGCTATGGAAGGAATACGAGAAGTCTTCGATCTACAGTGGCATGCAAGTATGGGAGGCTGTGTAGGTGCCTTCGAAATGAAAGGGCTTTCTCTTGCGGGACGAGCGGCTGCTATGGACGGCCCCACCGAAACGGTACATGATATGATGATGCGAAAGAGTATCGAGGCTATACATAAGTTGGATAAGAACGGCTGGGTCGACGAAAGTATGGCTGACATTGCTCGATCAGCAGCGAGAGCGCGGCAGGTCGGCGAAGAAAACATCGACTGGAAAGCACGGTGCAAAGCTCTCGAGTTCGCTGCGAATGTGGCAAAAGGGGAAGTGGAAAGGACGAAGAAGAGGATGTTTGAGAAGATTATGGATGCTGTGCTGTAATATATACTCATGTAGTCGCGGATCTGAGAAATGTACACACTTGTACCTGGTCCGATGTCAAGAGATGAAAGAGACTTCTCTGCTGCTATCAGTGAGGCGTCAGCTACAGAAACTGCCATAGCCAAAGCGGGCAGTGACTAGACCCCGAGAATGGCAAAGACATGCCACCATTCCCAGAAGTAAGCCACTTGGATAACACAAACGCAACCCAGGAGTCCGACCTTCTCCGGCCATTCATCTATCCAAAACAACCAGCAAGCAATAACACGTTCAGGGAACAGAGGGCATGCCCATAAGCAGAACATCCCAAGAAAACAGGGGTATATAGCGGTCAATCTTCGCTAATTCACACCACACAAAACGCAAAAAAAATATGCACAACCTGATGACCTGACCTGATCTTCTGACCCCGGAGTAAAGCAGAACAATACTCCGTACAGCGAACGCACTTTCGCTCTATCGTCGGCCACCAGAAATCCCACTCCCAGGCCCAACCATCCCCCTCTGCTTCCCAATCCAACTCTTCGGCTCCTGCCGTCGCCTCCCCAACGAAACCCCATTATTCTGCAACCGATTCGAAAGATCATACCACGCAGTAGCCATCAACCGATTCTCGCGCTGTAGCGCCGCAATATCCTGCGGAAGCGGAGCTTCTTTCGGTTGTTTTTGTAAATTGTCTAATTCTCGTCTGAGGTCGGCGATTGTTTGTTCGCGTTCTTCGAGTTGTTGCGCGGTTTTGGATTGTTCTTCGGCGTTTTGAGAACGGGAACGGCCTGCGTCTTCGAGGGTTGCGTTGCGTTGGGAGGCTTGTTTGAGGCGGAGGTCGGAGGCTTCGAGTTGTTTTTCGAGGAGGGCGACTTTTTCGGCCCATTGTTTGGTTTGGTCGTTTTCGCGAGAGGTGGGTTTGGGTTTCGGGTCTTCGGAGTCTTTTGTCGGCGGTTCTGGAGGATCGTGGTCGATTTCGTCTTCTGGGCCGGCTTCCTGGAGCTTGTTGCGGAGTTCTTCGATCACCTCGTGATCGCGTTCTTGTCGTTCTCGAGCAGCTTCGAGCTTTTGTGCTAGTACTCGCGCGTCGTATTCGGCGTGTTTTCGTGTCGTAGTCAGCTCGTTGATTTGATACTCCTGGTTCCGGATCAGGCCCTTCTTCTCGATGATCTCCTTTTCCAAGCCGGCCTGGAATTGTTTCAGGCGATCAAGCTCCTCTAGCCTCTCACTCGCCTGCTTGAGCTCTTCCCGCAACGAAGCATTCGCCTTCTCTTGTTCCTGCAAAGCTTGGATCTTCTTCTTGAGATTCTCGTTCGCCTTGACCTTCTGGTTCAGATCTTCGTTCTCAGCGCGCAGTACTTGGAGATCATCGCGTAGCTTCTGTCCGGCTTCTTGCTCGTCCTTGAAACGCTGTATTTGCCTCTCGTAGTTGTCAACCGCCTCTTTAGATGTCTGCAGCTGCGCTTCTAATTCATCGATGTAGGCTCTATCGTTGTCTGCCTGGCGTTGCAGCTTCTTTAGATCATCTTCAGCACCTGCTGGCCGTCCCCGATTGTTGATCTCCGATCGGTATGCATCGAATGCCTCTTGAAGCTGTTCCTTGTCTTGCTTCAACGCTTGTAATTGCTGCTGTGCGGTCTTATGGCTGGCCTGCAGCTTTTCAATCGTGGCCTGCGCCTGCAGTAGCTCTTCTTCTTTCTCCAGCATTGGGTCTCCAAAGAGGCCTCCATTCTGCTTGCTCTCTGCCGTAGCAGGCCTTCGCTCGGGCAGCTCCTGCTCCGACTGATATGCCGACTCGTCCCTGCTCAGCGGCTCCGAATCTGGGGCTTCTGCATCCTGCATGCTTCGAATCTCGTACGCGATTGCCATGGCGTGCTCATTGCCCAGTCCCAACAACCTCTTTCCCATCCTCTGATTCGACTCAGGCGAAGCCATGGCAGCCCTAATGATCTCCATAATGAGCCTCTCGAGGTGTGGGATAGACGACTCAGCAGCAATGGCCTTCAAATCCGGTCCATTGCTCACGCCAGCAGAGTCATGCCCATTGCAAACATCGCGATAGTAAACCGAAAGCTGCTTCTCGAGGTGCTTGAGATTCTGCCACTTCCGAGTCCAGTCGCTGGAAGCTTCAATATCCGGCTCTGGCAGGCTGCCAGCGAAGTAGGCCGGGTCGACGTCCTGGAGGATGCCCCACAGCACCTTACCGTCGCTCAGGTCGCCCAGCTGCTCCACCTTGCCCCCATCGTCGAATGATCTGACCCAGGCCAGCAGGCTGTCCCCCAGCGAGTCCGCGTCGGAAGAAGCCATCGGGCTGGCTGGCTGGGCGATGTCGCGTCAATTCTCTGACACTCCGTTCACGCGCCGTCTACGGTGCTCTGCGGGCACGTGCTGCTCGAGGGAGGGCGCAGCAGCAGCAATGGCAGTGTCAAAGTGTCATGGCCGCGTGGGCAGAAGAAGCGGAGTCTCACACATGGACAGGGCAAGGGCAGCGTTGGCCGGCGTCTCATCAAGATTTCACCAAAAACACAATCTCACGCCTGGCAATAGCTTTGCTGACTGTGCCTCTGCGCGAGTGGATACCCCATGTCACGCCAAGCCCCGCCTATTCCCTGCCAGGCAAAGCTGCTGCGTGTCTTGCCTCCTGCAAGTCAGAGACAACTTTCCCAATCGTCGCAGCGTACCGCATGGACGCACAGCTGCAACTGTCTCGGATGCACTCACGCGACACGGGAACTGTATCTCAACGTCGACTGTCACAAACTCAACTGGCAAAGTCAACTCATTGGCAACACGCCCGTCTTCATTATTTCTGTTGCTTCGCTCATCATGCTGCTAAAATCTAGCTGCACTTGTCTGCTAATACTCTACACCCAATTCATTTCCTCCCGTTTCATCAGTCGTCAAGTCAAAACTTTCTATGGTACAAATGAGCCGTGCTCTTTCGTCACTCCCTCCAGGCCGTTGCGTTTGAGTCATGCATCTCCCTGAGATGTGGTCGTCGTGTCTGATGTCTATAGCGTTGGCGTCAATGGCGTTAGATTTGGTCGTGAGCTCATACCAGGAACCGCTGGCTTGCTGAATGCTGCGCATAAGAAAACCCGAAAAAGCACGCTATGCAGATGCTGGTAACTTAAAAGGAAACCCTCTTCACCGCCGCAGTGTCTCGGTCGTGGGAACCGGTGGCAGAGTGTAACGTATCTGGTTGGGCGGCGGACCCGTGACATCGTGAATCGAAGGCAGGGCTCCTCTTCCCATCGGTCCTGAAGCTGCGACGGATCTTGCGCTGTCCGCTCTGTGTCGCAATGCAGCGTGAGCTGCGGCGTCGTCGCTGTTGCTTCGGAGCCTTGACTGTACCGGTGAGACGGGATGCGAAAGCGATTGCGGGATCTGAGGCAGAGAGTGATTGTGCGTGTGGGAATATCCCATGCCGGGCAGTGCTGCACCGCCACCGGACGAAGGTGATGTGCTGGCACGACCCTCTGATCCAGGACCTGCTTGTGCGGCTCCTGAGCCTTGCTGTCCTGCCAAGTGAAAGACCGGGACATTCGCTCTTTGTGCCATTTCGACTTCGCCGATCTGCCAGTGCATCGCTTCGGCCGCTCGCCATGGCAGTTGCATCTCCTTTGAGATCTTCTCCCACATATCCTTCTTGAATCTAGACATACAGATTAGTGTTGAGCATTGGCTGGTCGTGGTGACCGGCGACCCACCTCTCGTATAGACGAGCGAGTTTGTTCTTCTTCTCCTCGTCCCATTCCGATCGTCGCTCGAGATAGTTTTGAAAGCGAAGACGGCAACTGATGGCGCTACGACCGGGCAAATGCTTCGAAATGTCTTCCCATTTCATGCCATTGCCCCTCAGTTCGATTATCGAACGGTCTTCGTCAGCAGTCCACTTGGACTGCTTCTTCTTCGCGGGTGTCTCGGAAGGATGAGGATGTGGAGGCGCCAGACGCTTGTTACTTGGTCCTGCAACGTGAGAAATGGGTATAGATAGGCCAAGTCTTGGATCTGGCATTGATGTTGGAGGATAGGGCGAGTAATTTGCTACTGGGTGGTAGTGAGGCGGTCCCGGTGGGTACTGCTGCGGCGGATAATGCATGGTCTGCATTGGTGGAAACGCCTGGGGCACTTGACGCTGGTATTCGACGGGTGGTGCTGGATGAGGTGCTGGAGTCGTTGCACTCGTGATTGTTGAAGTGTGAGCAGAGCCTGGGTTATCGTCTCGGGCTCTGCTACTTGTCGATGCCTTGGAGCTGTTGCTAGCATTGCCTGGAGAGGATGCTGCTTTTGGCCGCTCCAGCAGCGACGAGATATCCACGTTGGCGGCCCTCGCTGGCTTCGAGGCCAGCTTGTCCACGGGTATGGAAGTGATCTGGCGTGATGTGAGGAGATGTGAGATGGGACACGGTGTCGATAGTGTTGCAGTTCTATCGAGTGACAGTAGCCCGACGATGCGGTTCCAGCCAGTCGGTGATCCGAGGCTGGTATAACTGTGAACGAAAGGCAGGCTCAGTGGCAGCCACCCACTCGATACGGCCTTGGTCGGTAAGCTTAGTTCGCCTCGTTCCGGAGAATGGTCGTCGATAGTTGGTCGTCAGCAGGCAGTAGCAAAAAAAGGGCCGGGCGCGCGGTGGACTCGATGGGTCTTTGCTCCTCGTGACGTATCACAGGACGTTGGTGTTGTCCAGGTCGAGGAGAGGGTGCGAAGCGGTAGTTCCTGGGTTGGTTCGATGGATGGCTAGCATTGGCCGCATAAAGTTGGCCGATGATCGACGGTATATGTACGAACGCTCGCACGACCGCCTATAATACTGGCTGCAGCGTGCGAGGATGGGCCTGCACGCGAGAACTTCGTGGAGGATTGAAACCGGACAGTTGCTCGACGTGGGCCGTGGAGGGTCGTTTCACGCAGCGCTTGACGTAACACACCGAGGCACGAGACGGAGGTAGTTCTGAAGCTAAAGAGGGACCCAGAGATGGACTTGTGAAGAGCTGCCAGCCCAACCTTTCAGCGCGAGGCGCGGATAGCTTTGCAGTCTGTGCGGTGCTAGTCGAACAACATGCAAGAAATACTCCCGACGGACTGGATAGCTGGCCAATGACGGCCAGTGCAAGGGATGAAACAGCGTGGACCTATCGTGTCCAGCGAGCCGCCAAGTAAGGAAGCTGCGCTGAACCAGCGGGTTGCGGCTGGTATAGAAGAGGCAGCATCCCAGCAGTTGGACGCTCACCGGCGAAACCTAAGCCAGCCTGCATGGCATGGCGCGCTTCTTGTTCGCGCACGACGGAGCATGGGCGTGAAGCCTCGACAATTTGCAGCCCCAAGTGGCTAGCTCGCCTTTGGCTGCCGCTCGGTTGTGTGCAGTGAAGGAGCCAGGACTGGGTGGGCATTCGGTCTTGGGGCCCGGTCGCTGCTGCTGCGAGATGTGTACGCTCTCGCCAGGGATGTCCGTTAGTCGATCCATGCGGGCTCATGCACCAGCAACTATGATACATCTCTCTGTGACGTCGAGCATGGAGCTAGGGGCTTGGGCTACCATATAACCAGCCGTAAGGGCCAGGTCATCAGCGCAGGCGTGACAGGTTCTTTGCACAAATTGACTCGAGCGCGCGCAGTCCCGCGTCCCCACCCGTCCGTTTTCGAGGGTCGGTGGGTGGTGGGAGCTGGCTGTCAAGGCGCGGTGCAGGTATCCATCGATCCTGCATTTTCATTAGGGCGGTCCGGGGAATAAGCGTTCAGATGTCGCGAACGATCTGCAGAACTTTGCTGGCCGCGCGCGTTGAGTCCCGCGGCAGCAGGCCAATGGGGAGATGGAGGGAGGTGAGGGCTGCGAGGATGGTTGTTTTCCGCCTGCTGCTCTGCCCATCAACGGCATATAGCTGGGCCGTGGCAGGCAGTGGGCATTACTCGAGCGAGTCGAGTGCACGTTCGCGCGGGCGCATGGCATTCCAGTGTAACGCTAGGAATGGGCGGTGAGGTGTGAAGTGCCGACTGGCTGGGCTGGTAGCGAGTGTCATCTACAACGCTTGTGACACGGTGTGCATCTCGGATCTCGTGACCCTAGTCGGAGCAGTGCCATTGAAGAAAAACAGCCGCCAGCCGAGACATTCTCGCACTCCTGGCGTCGATTTCACGCCCTGCGTTGGAATGCGTGGGCGAGGCCGTGAGAAGAGCACAACATGTCCTGCCACGAGAAGATCACAGTATAGCACAGCACGCACAGCAAGCACAGCAAGCACATGGCGATGGCGGTCAAGAGGCCGTTGACGCGGACAATGCATTCTTCACAGGGGTAGCTGCCTGACGCAAGTCATTCGCCTTTAGCGTCATCCTCGCCAGCAGCACGCAGCAAGCACAGATCGCATGTTCCGTTCGATGGCCGAGGGTGGAGGCTACAGGACGGGGCTGCGGCTAAGGTAGTGGGAGGCAAGTCACGAAGCTTGATGCCACTACTGCCAGCACCCGGTCGAGGAGGCCTGCACAGCGCCGGAGCGACGACCACGGCGCGGCAACGTGCGCGCGATGCCCGGCGAGTTGCTGCGTGCAGGCGGGCGATGGGACGCTGG